ATAGTTAAGATTTAAGTTATTTATAAGGTTTATTGTGAAAGGTGGGTAGATGTGGAACTTGTGATTCCATCTACCTGCCTTGGGCCTCCACTCGCAGCAACCTCCTCGTGGTGAGGCCCGGGCAATCGGTATTATCATCGGTAAAGTACTGTAAACTGAGGACAATATCGAGCTAATGGCTGCGAACTTCGAATCTATATCATAAAACCACGTTCTATTTAAAATCGAACCAGGATTATTTTAGAAATCGATATGAGATTCAAAGTGTAAAAATGTCTAGTACTATGAATGTTTTAGAAAAGTATTCGAGGTAAAGATGTGTGGAACTACGGAAAATTACTTTAGATTCCTTTTCCTTATTCTGTAAATTCTTTGATTGGAATATGAATGCTGCTGGAAGTATGAACATTTTCACAGGACAATAATATAAACGGAACTTTAAAACTTTTTAAGTGTTACAGTGATATTTCGTTGGCCTGTGTATTAATGCACTGCGCCGAACGCAGATAGCATGATGTTGTAGTCGCAAGGGAGCAATTGAATCGAATAGACGTATTGTACGTTTTTCCGCCGTTTTGGATTTTTCAAAAAGCGCGGGAAAAATTGGGAATTTATGGGACATATAGTGGCGCCTCCACCACTTTGGTGGCGAAAATTGGAACTAATTCCAGAACTTCTTCGATAGTTCGCAAAGACGCCGCCAGATGGTGCGGCTTAAAAAGTTTTAGAATTAGTTTCAATTTCCGCCACCATTACTTTTGGTGGCGACATGAATTCTAACAAATTTGCACTTTTCTTGCGCTTTTTTCAATTCAAATTTCGTACCAAATTTAACTGTAAACTTAATTTTAACGCGATTTTAATTGTATTTAACGATTATTATTGCTTTATTAATAAAAAATACGGGATAGAGGAAGTGATAGGCTTAGCAAACAACATTTATGTAACCTTTAACTGCTTTTTATTGAAGAAATGGTTAGAAAATGTACAATTTACAGCTGTATTTGTATAAAGTTAACAATAATTGTCTTAAATACTACTTATGTACTCGATTTTACAAGATATTTATTATAATATATGCATAAACTCAGTAAAACACGGCTTAAATATTATTCAGACAGTGTAATTTATCCATCTCAGATAAGTTCCACTTCTGAAACTGGTAGATGTTCTGTACGATCTTCAAAGCTTCGGCTTCATACGATAAATGTGCGTAATAAATTGGAGTATCTCACTCATTCTCCTTACGACCTGTTACGTTACCGCAAATTCAACGATTGTATCGAAATTTCGATATTTATGATTAAGTATCGATACTGGAATATATCGTCAAATTAAATATCGATACAAAATATCGATATTATGTTGCCCATCACTACATACGTATTTTATGCTATGTAGCATGTAGCTATGTACTACATAGTATGTAGTCGACCGAAGTCGACCTGTTTATTTAGTCTGATGCAGTCTGATGTCTCATGTTTGATCCGTCTGATCACGTTTGATCCAGTCCAATCTAGTCTGATCCAGTCTGATCACAGCAGCACAGTTGAGCACACAGCAGGATTTAGAGGAGATATGAGTATGAGATGACATGAGACTGCATGAGAACACATGCTGTAAATGTTATCTTAACCAATCTTAACGTCGAACCAATCCTCGGCAATCTTGCACGTGGTTTAACGCAGGCAAACAGTATTACATACGTTTATATATGCTGTACTGAATGTTTTACTGTCACGTGTAATAAACGAAGTTACTTCAAGTGCAATAATAAATTACCATTATTGCCTTCAGTGAACTTGTACCTCCAAATATTTGTATTAATGTTATAATTACATGAAATCTCGTACATCTCTCATAAACGGTAAATTTGATTTAATTCGATCTTTAATAAATTTTCATTAGTGTACAGGTTAGATAACTGATGCGATATTTCTTAATCGGAAATTAGAAATTTTATTACACCTTTTTAGAACATGACTCGGTATACAAGAGCTAAAGGTTCAAAAGCGTCGAATGAAAAAATTCCGAATGAAGCAACACCATGGTATGTAATGAAACAACAATTGGAAGAAAATTTGTCTAAACCACAAGAACGATCAGAGAAAAACAAGACTGCAAAAGAGCTGTTACAAGATAGTCAAGACGTGTTTTACCATGATGTAGGAAATGTTAATAATGATTGGGCACAATTTGAGGAAAATAAAGTGGTAAGAAATAATAATGCAGAAGTTAACAAAAAAAAAAAAAATAAAACTGACATTTTTAATGCAAATGAGAAAAACGTAGATAATGTTATGCCTAAGAAAAAATTGTCTTCAAAGAGAAACATCAATGAAGTTGATGATTCCACAACAGATGTGAAATTTAAGAAGCACAAGAAAGACAAAAAATTGTCACACAAGTTAACTAATAATTTAGAAGAGAAAGATTCTCCTGACCAAGTTAATAGAAAACAGAATGAACTAGATGCAAAGGATGGGAAAGTAAATAAAAAAACAAAACAAAGCAAACACATTGATCATAAGCCTTTAGAAACACCAGTAAACAATAGTGAGTCTTCAGAAGTCCACAGAAATGTAAATTCATCAAATAGTAGATCTAATTCAAACTTAATAAAAGAAAAGGAAGGAACATTATCTAAACGTCAAAAACGTAATATGAGAAAACAAAGGAAAGATGTTAATAAAAATTCATCAGAAAATGATACAATTGTTACTATGAAAAGTAAAGTATCTACGAAAAATGATGTTGATCCTGACAGTAATAATGACAATACAATTAATAATAATAAAGGGAAAAATGAGAATAAAGAAAACAGTCATGAAACAAAAGGGCTTAATCAGAAATCTATAAATAAGTCAAACAATTTTAAAAGTGCTGCAAATAAGTTTGATAGGAGTAAGTTTGAAAATAACAAAAATAATAGAAAACCTGCAAAAATTCGAGATGATAAGGAACATAAACGAAGAAAAGCAGACATTGGTCCAACAAAAATTACGATCAATGGTATGGAAATAGAGATTGTGAAATTTGATGGTTTTCCAATTAAAAAGGAAGATGCAGATCGATTACGTGAACTGAGACAAAAAATGATAATGAAGGGTAAATATATTTATTAATTATAAATGTTTGTTACTTTTTTTTTGTATTGTATTATATATATTTATATATTTTTTATACATATATATATATCTCTATTTAGGTATCCCAAAAAAAGATATGGAAGCAGCAATGAAACTAGAGAGGCGAAAAGCTGAGAAAGCATTGGCAAGGATTAGAAGGTGTGTCTGTTTCCATTGTCGTAAAGCAGGACACAATTTGTCTGATTGCCCTGAACTTGGATCTGAGCAAGCAGCTACTGGAATCTGTTTCAAGTGTGGATCAACAGAACATACGCATTTCGAATGCAAAGTGGCTAAACCGTCAGAATTCAGATATGCAACATGTTTTATTTGTCGGGAACAAGGACATATTGCTAAACAATGTCCTGATAATCCAAAAGGTGTTTACCCTCAAGGTGGTAGTTGCAAAATCTGCGGCGACGTGACACATCTAAAAAAGGATTGCCCAGACTTGATTAAGGAGAAGGAAGAAAGTACCATTACAGTAAACACAATTGCAGATGGTAACATAGAATCTTTAGAAGGAAGTACCAAAACTACTTACAGAGAAGATAAAAAGCCTAAGAAAATAGTAAAATTTTAAGCATATATAAAACGTTTTTTGTACATACGTTAATGAACCGATTGTTTGCAATGTAAACATAAAATTTATTGCAAGGTACATGCTTTAACATGTATATACATATATATATTTCCTTATTAAACTATCATGAAACATCTGATATCAAACAAGACATAATGAAGATCAATTATCACTTTTTATACATTCGTTTTATGCTGATATTGTGAAATTCTCCGCTTGTTTATATGCGTTTTCCTAAGTAAAATAATAAATTACTTACTTAACGTTGTGATATCAGATTTTTTTCTATGTACAGGAGACAAATGACAAAGACATATTTAGATACATATGAATATTATCTGTACATAGCAGTAGTTTGTTACATAGGCTTCATTAGCAGGTGTGGAACCATGCACATTGTGTAGGAAGAATGACTTTATAAAAGAAAATTTCAATACAATGCGATTAGTAGGAATGTAAGGAAATACCATAGGCAAAATGGTAGGGAACACAGAATTATGGGAAATAAAGGGAAAGAAAAATATTATACAATAGGAGAGCTAAGAGAAAATAATCAAAATTCAAGACAAGTGTATTTACGTTTGACAGTCTAGTATTAGAAGTAACGTTACATAAAATAAAGCTGTTACGTGGAAGGAAAGAGGGGAATTAGAAGTGATACAAACAGAATTATATATATAACATAGCGATATAATAAAATTATTTGTAACGTAGGCCTAGAAGTTGCACTCCCAAGTATATAATATCGGATGAGATAACAGAAAAAAAATTAAACAGAAAGCTGGTAAATATGCTTTCAAATTCGAAGAAGACATAAGAATAGCAGAAAGTTACAAGGGACGAAAACAGATAGGTTAATAAGTAGAGTCAAGAACTATAACTGTATGTATATATGTATGTGCAATACAATAGGATTTATCTATATAATCAAGCAAGAAAGACGAGAAGGCTAAGAACTCTAATATAATAACACAATCGAGATGTTGAGATATGAAAGAAGAAAACAAATATTGGTCAGGAGAAAAGGATAAGAGTTAAAGTTGTTCAAAAGAGGAAGGTGGAGGCTGTAACATAGATTAGAAAATTATAACAAAAAGAAGCTATATAGATAGGAGAGTAAAGACGGAAGAATTATTGGTTAACGAATAGCTATAGATCAAAACTGGAAAATGGTAAGAAAGGAACTGGGGTAGTGCTAGGTACAGAACGATACAAGAAGTATTTATATTGAAATGTAAGAAAAGGTTACAACAGGCATAAATTGTATAAGAAAGTGGAACAGAATGAATGGGAGATAGATAACATGAATAAGAGCTTGAGAGAAGGATAGTGTAAATAAAATATGATCAGAGAATAAACAATGTAACAGGTGTGCTTGGAGGGAAGGGAAAAGGTAGAGAACAGCATTGTAGAATTCAATTTTCTGAAATATAAAACCGAATTAATTTGTCATACATACACAATCAGAATATTTTACAAAATTTTTTAGCATCAGTTTAAATTTCATACATATAATATCCAATTTGTTATATAAATAACCATTAAAAACGTATAATTCATTTTTTCACTCGTAATATTTCCTGTTTAATCTATGAAATTTGATACAATGCCGCAAAATTACATATTCAATTCACAATTTTCACCACATTATTATATTATGAATTAGTATAATCTGTACAATTTGTGTACTTAAAATAAACGTCATCTTTTGAAGTACGAATTCTATGAATATATAACATATATTTATATTTGTACCTCTATATTACATTTGTCCTTATACTGCCCTATGTGTAATATATAAACTCTCTATACTTTATATTAAATTTTCTACATATAAGTTATAATTTTATCACCCCTAATGGCAGACAGTGTTACTACTCTGCAGTGGTAATTAATCAAGTGCACAATGAAAAAGTATTTATGCATCTGTGCCTATCAATTGTGAAACTTATATATCAAAGAATTATACTAATATTTCCATGCTTACTGCAACGCCATTCACTGTACTGTTAATTAATTAAATAACAATTGGTATAATTGTGTATGTATCAAAATACATAAACACTACATGATTAAATTAAAAATAATGCAGATGTGAATGTAACATATTGCAACATGTAACAAAGGATTTGACTGGTTTTTGGAATTACAATCCTTTCGATATTACATATCGTAATAAAATTAATAATGAATATATACTTTCATAGAAAATCTATAATTTTCACTTTGAACGTTTAATTCTTTTTTTCTAAACCTCATCACGACATAGATAAGTAAGAAGTGTTAATGTTTTTCAACTTCTGTTAAAGATAAATCTACCCCCACTTAATTATAAAGGAAAAATCAAGCTTTAAGGATTAACACGCAACAAATCGTGAAAACGCAAGTGTCACAAATGAATTAATGAAACTTTTATCTTTATGAATATCTTAATCTTCTTTTCTAGTAACAATGGGTACTAAAACCAAATTTTTCGTCTATAATGATTTTTACTTACGAAATATAGATACTAAAATATTTATATAATCAACATGCAATATGAAACAATCGGAAGTAACTATAATTCGCTTCACTCAAGAAATTATACCTGTTGGAATTTTACGCTCGCCATTCGTATTGATTATTATTAAAAAAAAGAAAACAAAATATTATCGATACTCTGTAAAATTCTTTTGTTACCTACAGTGAAGTACAAATTTATGGATTACCTAGTAAAAAGAACGCCGTATGCCAAAGTTAACAAAAGTACGTAATGGTAAGATCAATGATAAGAAACACATGATATAAACCGAAAATTTATGTTTAGCGTACCATTAACAGATGTGTCAAATTATTCTCCTCTACTACTTTAGCCTCTGATATTAATTGAGAATGAAACACTAATTCTTCAAGGATGGACGACGAATGTGTAAACACTTTCTGTACAATTTCATGTTATACGCTTACATTACAAATTTGAGTGTCATATTGCATTCAACCGTGTCACTTCTAGTTTCTTCTTTTTTTTTACAAACCGTTATTTAGTCAGACATTATTTGGAATTTTGTACATAAAAATTATTTCTAGCAATATTTCGGTAAACACAAAATTATTTCTAGCAATATTTCGGAAACAGTGCTTAATCATAGATTATATTGTATGAAATAATGTTTGTAATTACAAAGACACGCAGACATAAATATAATTATTTCTTTTTAAATCCATCTAGCAACAACAACCGGTTGAATGTTTTATGTCTTGATAGTTTTACCGTTATCTTTGGTATGTAACACTTTAGCTTCCTTTTTTGTGAATTTTATGAAGAGATACCGATAATCAAAGGTGTCCAAATTTCTTGCTTCAGAATACATTCGCGTGAATCGGAAATTCTTACCATTATATTTGTTCTCAGAATGTACCTGCTAGGTGGCTTCAGCTTTATGAGCTGACTCAATAATTTCTTTCAGACAACGACCGAACTCCTCGATTATTAGTCTTTGAGATGTTTCATCATCGAACATGTTACGTTCCGCTTCATCGGCTTGGGCCATCAGGCATTGACACGTGATTTCGACTACTTTGTCGGTCAAAAAGTTAAATGGTTGTCTGCAAACAAATATTTTACGTAACTGTATAAACTGTATTTACAAAAGTAAAGAGGGTAATATACTACAAAATTAAACATAGTGAAAACTTTTATGTATTTGGTGTATTAATAAGTAATTCACTATTTTTTATTTTTTTGGAAATTCTGTACTTGTTTCGAAAGAACCCAAATACTCACGTTACGTTAATATTTGTTGTTTCGTTACATCATCCTCGGTCATTTTGATTGAACAAAAGATCGGACAAACATTCTGAATTTAAATTTAATCACAACCTTATTGCGAACATAGTGAATGATTCACTGATACACCTAATACATTCAGGACAACTTATTTTAAGTACGGTTTAAAGCACCATTGTATAGAGGTGATTCTCTTGCTAAAGGAATCCATCGATAACATAGAGATTGAGGCCCTAAATTTTGCGGCGTTCCGTTTGGGACCTCCAGTAAAATTATTGCTCAACGGCCCGATCCTGACACGTATTTCACACAGATTTATGTAATTATATACTATTTATCTAGTATTATTTCTACCTTTCGCGTTTCAATTAAAACTAAAACAATCCAAATGAGTTGATTTACTATCATCGATTACACACCTCGCACCACTGTTAGATGCAGCAGGTGGTCTAAAAGCCATTTCAGACAACTGCAGTTTCGCTTTGTTCAATGTGAGTTGGGCCGTTCTAACTTCAGCTGCTTCTGCAAGATCCTTGAGAGATTTCTTTTCTAAACTCGGTTCCTCCACGTTACGACATCCTATACATTTACAATTAGCGGAGCAGGGAATTTTAGCCTAAAATAAAAATATTAAACTAGTAGTTGTAAAAGATCATTTTAAAAATACTTGTGCATATAAATGTACACATACCTCGTAACATTCGCAATAATTTTTCAAGCATCCACTGCGTTTACAATTACAACCCTTATTATGTCTACGTATATCATCGCCAGTCTCGCGGCCTTTGCCAATTTTTGGACGAAAAGCGTTTGGATTACGTTCCAAACAGGATTTTATAGCACGTTGCCTCTCTTCTTCGTTTCCAAGATTGTTGGAACAGTTATTGCAGTTGCACATATGACAAAACTCTCCATTCGCGAAACAGTCACAGTATCTGTGACAAAATGTTCATAATTCACCACTTTTGATTATTAAGACAAAACGTTCGCACACTAACGTCACGAATCATTCTTGATTTACATAGAAATCATCTAATCTTTTAATTAAAGAAACTTTTGGTTTCATTTTAGATTGTCATTTTTCGATTCATATAACAAAAAAGCAAAGAAGTCGATGCTCAACTTTTGAAACAATAATGATAATATGTGCATATAATGACCATAGTTACATTCAAAATTAAAAGTGCAATAGAAACAATATACTTACTATGTATACGTACTACATACTTACAATTTAAGACATTGTGATTTAGTACAATTGCATGGCTTCCTTGGCCTAATTCCATTAGGTTCGACGTTCGTGTAGGATCTTTGAGAGCTTTTACTTTCTATAACAGACCCCACGGATAAGCTTCCTGTCGAGCTTTGTAAACTTTGTGAACTACTCAATAAACTAGATGTAGCTTGTTGAGGTTTCAATTTTATTTCGTCTGATGTCTGTTAAAAATTAATAATACAAATATTGTAATATACATATAACTTATTTAGATTGAATTTCATTCTTCTAATTATACACGCAATATACTAAACCTGTTGCTGAATATATTGAGCTGGTAAAACAACAATGTTTCCCATGTTTGAATTGGTTGAAAGGACTGCTTGCCCAGATGCCAATTGACTCAAAGCCGATGCTGGAATAGCTACTGCATTTTTCGATTGACTACCCACTGTAGCAGTTGCGGGAATTAATAACCTCTGGCCACTACTTGTTAACGTAGCCTTAGGTGCGACTGTCCGCAATGATTGATTACTAGTATTTAATGGAACTACCTGTATCATCACCATGATTATAAAAGCTGATAAGAAATTGATACAGTTTCTTAATAGTTATACTTTTTTAACTATTGCACGAACCTTAACGATTTGCTGTTGGCCTCCTATTTTCTGACTGACACCAACGGTTTGCAAAGTCGTTTGCGACTTCGTTTTGCCCACGGTAACGACATTCGTAGTCCCTGATGATGGAGTACTAACTAATCTTACATATTGAACCTTCGAAAAATTTATTTGTCGTTATTTGGAGTAAATTATAACGCGAGTAAATGAAGCATAATAAAAAGATATATATTACTTGTCTTCCAGGCATTTGTATTTGATGTACTTGATTAGATCCCGTTACAATATTTTGATTAGCCGGTATTCTAATGACTTGTCCACTGCCAAGCACAGTTCCAGGTTTCAAAGAGCTCTGCAAAATATTGTGCGATTAATACATCAGAATAGTGAAAGGTAAAAGAAACTATTTGTGTATTTCGAAAAAAGATAAATTAACCAACCTGTCGTATTATAACTTTCTGTGGACTCTGTTGCACCGATGATTTATTAGTAGAAGAAAACGAGGATTGCTGATTCGAAATAGTTGATGTTTTCACTTGCGAGCTCAATGTAGGAGCAGGTAATATTTTTGTGGGAGATTTGATTGTACTGCTTGGAACTATAGTCATTTTAGAGGGCTGAGTACTCGATGATTGCACTAATTTATTTACAATTATTCCCTTCAAGAATTATAAGCATATATGTATTATTTCTAAGAAATTGGTTGTTACAGTTTTTCGTTATACGAATAATTAAATTCTATACTAACTTGTTTTTGTGGTGCTGAGGGTAAAATATGTTGGACTTTATTAGTGGAGAGTAATCCCATTTGCTGTGCTTGTGCCAGTGTTATAGTTTTTGTCGGGCTCGTAACATCTTGACTTGAAACACTATTATTTAAAAATTTTATCGCCTGCGCCTGTTGATTTTCACTTTGTGAGCTAGTTATAAGAACCTGCTGTCCCGATTGTGTTTGATTTCCAGCTAATATCATTTTTGTATAAACCTAAAATAGTATTAAAAAGTAGTATTATAAAAGTATAATATATTGTATGTGTAAAGGTGTATTGAAAATTTTCGCGGCATAACACAGGAGGAGTCTATTCAAAATTTCTTTTTCATTATTTTTCAACATAGTCCCCTTTCAAATTTTTACATTTGGTTCATCAAGGCCGTAATACCATGAACCCGATTTGGTCAAATTTCTCGTCCTGATCTGCAAAATACTGCGTTACAGCTATTGGAATTTTTTCAGTTGACAAAAATCGTTATCCCTTTAGATGATTTCTAAAGTCGGGAAATAAGTGAAAATGTGGTGGAGCTAGATCCAGTGAATACAAAGGATGGAATACCAATACAAAGTCACACTGGTAAATTTGAGCCACTGAAACTGCTGATGTGTGGGCTGAGCAGCTGGAATGAATAACTTTCCAGAGCAAGACAAGAAATTTTACCAGACAGGGGTCAAGGCTTTACAACGTCGATGGACTAAGTGTAGAGATTTGAAAGAGGACTATATTGAAAAATAAAGTAATAAATAATTCTTAATACACTCCCCTCTGTGCTAGACCGTGAAATATTCAAATCATCCTTGTATGTGCGAATTACATACTAAAATTATCTAAAAGCTCAACTCTGAACTTTTTGTGAGATAAATACTTCAATGAGACTCTTACATTTCGACTTTGCGGAGTACTCGATGCGGTTCGTTTTACAGCTGTTTGAACTGTTTTCGCATTTTGTACATTCCCTAATGTGATGCTTCCCGAATGGCTAGTTGCCATTACTTGCTTACTGGGTTGTGCTGATCTTAACTGAACTATGTTGCCATCAGCAGACTTTGCTATGAGAGTCTGTGCTAATGATTGCAATTGACCAGCCGATGCTGTTGACGGATGTGAAATTTTTAATATCTGGCTAGCACCTTGACCACCAGCTGGAGAAACTATCATAATAGATTGACTTTGTGTTGCTGAACCAACATTTGATTTTACCTATTGAGTAATTAAAAAAGCAACATTAGAGTGAGTAATATTAACGTTTATCTTGCATGTTCCAACACTGCTATACCTGTACTGTAGATGTCGGAAGCCTTTGTAGTGTTGGTTTTGTTTGGAATACAATATTTTGATTATTCTGATTAGCTGTTGTATAGATAATGTGTTCCTCTTGAGCTTGTTCCGAAATGTCAGCCATTTCCACATCAGGTACGATTGTTTCAGTCTCGATATTACGTTCAATTATTATGTGTTCCTCATCTGTTGTCATAACTTCTTCAGCATTCATACACTCCAATTCAGCTTGGATACTCGCGAATGCTTCGAAGTCATTAGACGAATATTGTTCATTACTGTGTGATAGAGTCAATGCACTTAAATCTCCATCCCCAAGTGTACGTGAGTCAAGAGCTAGTGGTTCAACCAAAGCTCTAGCATTCTGTCCTTTATTTACAGACATGATTATGTTCCTGGTCGAAATATTACATATTACAGAAGCTCACATCTATTTGAAATTCATCAATTAAAAAATTTATAATTATAATTATTGCTAAGAATATTAATTCCTTAAAACAGATTTTTATGTGCACCATTATATTAAATTAGATTACACTATTTGAAGTATAATTCATAAAATACTTTTCAGTTTGTTCCTGCATTTCATCCTACTTTTCCTTGCAAAATCTTTCCTCATTGTGAGATAATTATAAATGAGATGACGTATAAAAACTATTTAAAACTATTATTCTCTTTAAAATCATTCAAGTGTAAATAAAATTTAGAAATCAATTACATAACTGAGTACGAATCTAACATGCGCAGCATAAACTTTTAATAAGTTACTTCATTTTACTATATAATATTAAATTATAAAGTTTAATCTATTCTAACATTGTTTAATGTTTTAACATCACATGTACTTGCTTCTGTTTAAAACAAGTCTATCTATGTTAATAATAAGTTGTCCAGATGTCTATATCTTTCATCATAAACATGTACTTCATACATATGCAGGTTAGAAATTGAAGAATTGTGTGCTGTCTACACATAAAGCTTCAAATGTCGAAAAATTATACATGAAAATAAAGTACTGCAAATCAACAGTAAAACGTAAGACGAATTACGAAATGACGTGAAAACGAAATGAATCAGTGAGAATTTAAAAATTCAAAAATTCAAATCTTTAGAAAGTAAATGCACATTCCTTAAACACGAGGAACAATAGGGTTGCCTACGCGTGCACCCAAGTTCACAAAGATCGTATGAAGTTCGAACTTTTAAAAATTCGAACGATAAAATTTGAATAATGAAGAAAAATTTGAAGGATAGTCTACTTAGGAACATTAGCGCCATTTATTACTCGAACGCGCCATTTTCCACGAACTGAATTTCTGACTGCATTTTAACGATCTTAAACACTCCGTGACAAGTCGACATTGATGCACACAAAAAAAGGAATTGTCCAATACGTCAAATAATAATAAAAAATAAACTTCTCGCTAACTTTCGTCTTATAAACATGCAAAATTTAACTTAACCTATAACTTATCAGTTCATATCAGGTACGTACAGTGCTGGGTGGGGGCGTGCCACGAAGCTTATTTTAATCACGATAGAACATTCGAAAAAGTTATTAACACATACTTCACGAATTTAAATTTCATTCAAACTGTCTCGCGGTTAATTTAATCTGCTTCCTAACACATACCTGGGTGTTTCCTTGATAGCTCCAATTTGTTCAAAATCACGCGCCCACCATTGCTGTCCCACAGTGCACTACGCACCGCTGTGTACAAACAGACCCAAAGGTCATTTGGTATTAAAGTCTCAAATAGATGCGAGAATGGTAGATTTCTTAAATACTATAAAATTGACTATTTTTAGTATGTCATTCGTCAAATATTAACTTTATCAACCAAATGTTATGTCAAAAGTGAACAATATTTTCGCGCACTTTGCAAATTTCGATTTCGCCATTTTCGCTCTTCCCCGGCTAAAAACACGTCAGCCCGATAGCGCCCTCTTAAGCCAATAAAAAGGCAAGTGTTCCGAAAACTCGAACGTTTTAAATGCAACATATCGGCCGATAATTTTGCATCGTCATATGTAAACTGCATAAATTCAATTTGTAACGATTTAAATACCGTAACTGTTTGTATACAACTTCACTAGGCGTGTCATTGAACTTCATCTTTCTTTGATCTAAGTTTATAACAAAAATTGAAGTTACGATAAAAACTCTAGAAAAAAATTAATGACATATTTTATGTTACCATGTATGTATATAAATGCGTAGTATGTACTGGAACAGGTGTATGCATACAAGATCTATGACGACTTTGTCGACACTTAATCATTAGTGCGTAATGTTCATTAATAAATTTATTATCCTAGTAATATTTATTTATGTTGAATGATATTTCTTAGTAACTATTGGTAACTATTATTATATGTAATCAAATTGTGTAATTGGACAATATAATATCAATTAATATTTTGTTACAGTGAAAGATATACACTGTAATAAAAGTAATATGAAAAATTGAGTTTTAAATGTTAAATTCCCACTCGTGCATTATATTTTTACGTAAACAATACAAGAAAACGTAATCTTAATTACTTTTCAAATAAAAATACTTTTATATTACACTTAAAAACATGTGTTAATTAATGAATTTGAAATTGAAATACATATTACGAAATCTGTCCACGAATATATAAGTTTTGGCGGCTTTAGAAGAATGTTATTAATAAGGGTACTGAAGTGCAATAAAAGAAAAATTATTACAATCATTGTAAACAAAATTGTTTTTTTAAATACAAAATGAAAAACACTTCATCCTTTCAAGTTTTTAACGTCCTTGATTACTATCATTCTCAAAATTAAAATACTCAATTTGTACGTTATACTGATTTAAATAAAAAAATAATGTATTATTTGTATTTAAGAACATAGTTGTTGCGTTCTTAGTTACATTACATTTCAAATATGTACTTCGTTAACACTTCAAATTCGAAAGCAATAACCTTTGTGCTTATCAAAGCTTGAGCACACTCATGCCAATCCGAGACATGCATAAGCTTCTAAGACACACTACTAAAAGCGCTGGTGCCGTCACTGCCGTCCCATATAACGCTCTCGTACGCATCTAGGTAGAACAGCACTGACCAAGGAATGGTTTATACATAAACTAATAATGTCTATGAGTTTATATTGTTTATATGTATTGTTACTGATTGTTACTGACAACCATTGAGCTATTTACTAACTGAGGAACGAACTCCTGTACGAAGAAATAGAGGTGACGGAGATCCAAGGGAAAAAGAAGATATGCAGTGAACCTATTCTTCTTCTTCCTATTATCCTCTCTATCTGTACCATTATGTATTATGTAGTACAATAACATGTAAATAGAAGAAGTGTAGACGCCACACCATGATCTGTACGTGTGTGTAAGATTGCAATAGGTTTACTCGGTTCACCGCATATTTTTCCTCTTTCTCGGGCCACTTCCTATCCCACAGTTCGCTCTCCAGTTAGTCCTATTTTTCTTAACATCTTTTGAAATTTTTCTAAGTGCGTTCCGTTAAATCTCATAGCCGATAAATTAAGTAGGACTTTGAATTATATTATTGAGAAGTCAGAGTATATAGAAATGAGTAATATCAAGAAAGTATCACTTTAAAAGTAATCTTAATTCCTTTTGTCTCGGAACAGTGCCGAAATTTTCACAGTTTCATTTCTCGTCATGTCAGAATATTTGGCATTCTCCTTGGCTTCTAATATATTCTATACGAGAAAAGCAACAAATTATAATCAAAGAACCTTGTATGTGATAAAAGAAAGAGGAATTCCCAATTTGCCTGAAATATTAGTTTTAACGTGTTTGTTGGTACTTAATATACTACATATGACGCAATCAGCTATTAATAAGGAACCCTAAATAGTTTGGTTCCGTGTAGGCTTGAGTAAAATAATAGAAAATAGAAATAATTCAACGTTAGATTAGAGACTTGAACTTTAGACGAGTTGATACCATGATACCGTTGATACTGACAGAATGTCACACGTGCATGGCGTTCTTACCGTTCTTACCACAGAACTACATGGGTATAAATCATATAGATTGTCACTGTAGCATTTGTCTTGAAAATATAATTCTACTTAAATTAGATATGATTAACATTATTTATAAAGAAATTAATGCAAAACTTTGATGTTTACCATTGCCGTATAAGATAGATGATATTAATTTTCATTCGCATTGCGCTTCTCCAGTATAACTTCCACTGATCAGATTTTGTAGTTCATGACTGTAATAGGCACAAAAGCAATTTCGGGTTATTCATGTAGAAAAGATGGTGGTGACGGCAGCTGCTGTACGTCAACAACTTACGAATTTAGCGTATTCTGGTGGTTCCCATAAAGATCAAGCGGAAAAGTAAGCTGAAAAAATAAGATTGAATACACACTTTTTTGAATGTCCGATATAAATAATGGTACTTGTAGGTATCGAGCGATTTTGGATTCAATAATATTGTCATCCGGCGAAGAATTGGTTGATGCCTTGAAGATATTTATTGAAGCAAGTATGTTATTGTATTTTCTAAAAATATTTCGTTTTATAACAAATATAGGTACACTGAAGTCCGTTTATAGCGACATTCAAGGGACAGAGAAATTACGTCGCTGTAAACGAATGTTGCTATAAGCAGACTGAAAATATATATAAAGTAATGTGCATGGGAACCGAACTTAGAGAGCAAGTCGGATGCAATATGCAGTCTGCTGTTATAAGCAGTGTCGCAATAACTGGGCTCCACTGTAGATACATTTGTCGGAGACTAATATAATAATATTACTTGTGAAGAACTACTTCACGTTTAAAAACATAAGTATTTATGTTTGATGCACATAGTTATTTATTAGTATGCAGTATATATCATATTATCATAATACATGTTTAGACAGTAATAAGTTATATTTTTTATTAGGTATTTGTGATATTGTTTCTGTAATCTATATATGTAAAAAGTTATTTTGTTCTATACATTATAATATTATACTATCGGCATAAAAATATATTATTTCATTTTGCAGTTGTAAATGAATATGTAAGTTTGGTCATCTCAAGGCAAATTTTGACAGATGTTAGTACTCGCTTAATATTTCTACCAGATGAAATATCAAAGGCTGTTTCACATTATACATTGGACAAGGTAAGATATTTCTTCTCAGTATTTATGTATACAGTAGGTGATAATACAGACTAAAATAAACTTTATTAATTGTTTAGATTCAACCAAGAGTCATCTCTTTTGAGGAACAAGTAGCTAGCATAAGACAACACTTAGCAGATATTTATGAACGCAATCAAAATTGGAGAGAAGCAGCAAATGTTTTAGTCGGAATACCATTGGAGACAGGACAAAAGTAAATGAAATTAATATTATTATGTATTACTAATCAATAGTGGGTCAATTGTGGTTCCATGTTTTCACACGTAATTACAATTGTTCACAGGCAATACACAGTTGACTACAAGCTTGAAACCTATCTTAAAATTGCACGATTGTACTTAGAAGATGATGACCCAGTACAAGCCGAAGCATTTATAAATAGAGCATCTCTTTTACAAGTATGCAATTATTAATGAAACATTTTGTTTGAATCTGTTTTGTATTTTATTTTTAATGACAATCCGTTACTTCTTCTAGGCGGAATCCAAAAACGAGCGATTGCAAATTTACTACAAAGTCTGTTATGCTAGAGTATTAGATTACAGAAGAAAGTTTATCGAAGCAGCTCAAAGATACAATGAATTATCATATAGAACTATTATACACGAAGACGAACGGATGACCGCACTAAGAAATGCATTAATTTGTACAGTACTAGCTTCTGCAGGTAATTATTTAAATGTGTCTTATACATAGAATTTATAAATGAATAACGCCACACAATTTCCAAATTAGGACAGCAAAGAAGCCGTATGTTAGCTACCTTGTTCAAAGATGAACGCTGTCAACAACTTCCAGCTTATTCGATTCTTGAAAAAATGTATTTGGATCGCATCATTCGGCGTTCCGAATTACAAGAATTTGAAGCCTTATTGCAACCCCACCAAAAAGCATGTACGATCGATGGATTGGGATCAACGATTCTTGACCGCGCTGTTATAGAACATAACTTATTATCTGCTAGTAAATTATACAATAATATAACATTCGAAGAATTGGGTGCTTTGTTAGAAATTCCACCGACGAAGGCAGAGAAAATTGCTAGCCAAATGATTACGGAAGGTCGGATGAATGGATACATTGATCAAATTGACTCGATTGTACATTTTGAAAGTAAGTTTGAAAACCAATACAATAGTAAGAGAACTCATTGATAAAGGCATTTTCTCACACAAATTTATTTTTTTTTATACAGCACGCGAAACTTTGCCAACATGGGATAAACAAATACAGTCGCTATGCTATCAAGTGAACCAAATAATAGAAAAAATTACACAAACTGAACCAGATTGGATAGCAAAAGCAATGGAAGATCAAATGGTACATTAATGTAAACTTTTTTCTAATATTAAATAAACACAGATTGGACATTCATGTGTTACATATGTTACTCGAAGCATTCGAAGGCAATAAGGAGAAATTTTTCTAATAATATTCTAATAAAGCTTGTAAGTTATAGGCAACTTCACATTTAATATGCTCGCCAATAATTTTTTTTTTTAATATGTATGGAAACATTTTTATATGGTTAGTAAACTTTATTTTTTTTTAAATTTATAACAAGATAACGATTCTACGTTTTGTCACTATAGTTAGTCCATTATTTATAAAAATTAAAAAATAAAATACGTACAAAACCAAAGAAAAGACAGATTATTCATGAATACCTGAAAAAGCAGTTTCATACAATTGACATTAAAAGATTTCATGAAAAAACATTCTAGTTAAGAAAGTAATGTAACTTCCTTGCAAATAAATATTCACACACTACATAGAATAAACTTTTTCTTTATTCTAATAATTAGTCAAAACTAAATCAGATATTATTTAGAGTTTAACAATTGTTGATTCATAGGAGAATAAAATTATGAGTACAAACCTCTTGTTTATTGTTAGCGCTACATAAAACAGGGCTGTGGAATTGTTTGTAACTAAAAGCGTTTATTCATTCGTATTGTTGTTTTAAAAACGTGATATATTTATAATAAGACACAAAATTATTGGAATATAGCTGGAATATTGTCGTCATAACTAGATATGGATTTTACTGTGGGTTTCAATCTTAAAATAGCCACATTGAACAAGTCCCTGTACGTAGCTATTTATTTTATATAATATTAAGTGCAAGGATTTTTACATTAAATCCAATTATTAACATTATTTCTATAATTATAAGAACACGTGTGCATCATACTGTGCCTTCTTACTTCAAAATTATGCATAAAGTATACAATTACTTCATAACATGATAATACTATTCTTTTTTTAATATATATTCCCAGAAGAGTTTAAACACAGCTGTTTTCTACTTTAACTTCATCAATATTTCCAATCCACTTCAATCTGTATTTACGTATTTCTTTTTATATAACGTTAGTGTACAATTAACCTTTGTCTTTACTATATAAGATTGAACATTCTCAACAGGAACTGGAAGGCTGCACCGTAGCAAGTGTAAAAGAATCGCAAAGGAAAAAATAATAACTTCTGTTTCACTGAAAGAGTTGTGAATCATATTGTTCATGGTAAGATATACTGATATTAGCATTTTTACACTTGTAGTTGTGTACATTTTAAACTAATATCCCTTCAACTAAGTTTAAAAGATGCATGATATTTCGTGGCATCTATTCCGGGATAAACCTATCTACAAATTATAGGCAATACTTTTATCTGAAGCATGTAAAGTGATGCTGTCTTTGTGACACAAGGGTCATCGAGTAATTCTGTGGGTGAAGTAGTCCTTTTGTGTCTGTAGTTCATATTTAAGCTTCAAGGTCTAATGCGAAACCAATCTTGTGACCACCAGAACCGAAGTTCTTTCCATCAATATTTGTAGAAAGTGTCAGTGTTACACCTAAAAAGAAACATATAAATTATGTAAAACTGAAAAGTATCGTTACTATTCTATTTAATATTCCAGTGATTTTTGCAAACGATTTGTATTGGCATTTGACACGTCATTTTTTAGAAATTACTAAAACGAAATATGTAAAGCTACCTAGTATACTAAGCAATATTTACAATGAAGTTGTATGTAAACATAAATATTCGAAAATATAAATATATTTCTAACAAAACTAAAAACATACCATCGCGTAATTTTTGTTGATATCCTAGACCTATTTGAAGATGAGAATTGACCTTAGCTTTGACACTAGCATCTTTGTCAAGATTATACTTTGTACCAATTCCAAATTGTGTAACATTGTTGCTTGAATTCCAAGCAAGATTGATTGCTCCTTCCAGATCTGGTTTTACCTTATGGTAAATGGAGCCACTGAACTCACGGCCATTATCTCTAACAGAATAAAGAAAATGATGTATAATAAATTCTGTAAAAATTACACTAGAACCTTTGAAAACATAAATTTATACATACACTGCTGTGTGAAGAGCAAAGTCAGAAGCAGTGAATCCAAGTGCAAAGTTATTCTTTGTAAGTTTATTTCTTTGTGTATCAAAACAGGCCTGATAACCAGCCAACCATCCTACGATAAAAATCCAACATTTTATAATTCAAGAAAATTTTGCCCATTTAGCTCTGTCATTATTAAATCTTACATTCTTTATTTTCTGGAATATCTCGGACATTGGGAATAAAACAGGGAGGGACTCGATTGGAATTACAAGGAATCACATGGCAGGAAACATATGAAAAATATTAAATATCTAAAGAATAAAAATATTTAATATTTTTCAATTTCAAGTTTAGTGTTGTCAATAAAGGATATTAGTAATTGCACCACGAATTGTACATTTCGCTTACCTTGGTATCCTACAACTGCTGATGCATTAATTAGAGGACCAGCAGAAAGGCTGAGATCAAAATCTGCATTTGCAGATACATTTTCATGTTTGTAATTTGTTTTCAATTTTCCAGTCTTGGTCCTATAGTAATATAATAATTATACTTTTGTTTCAGAATTTATTAAAATAATTACAGTTCAATGACTGTGTAGGCACCTAATTAACACCAAAGTGATTAGTGACTTAATAGTTTACCCTGTTTGAGGTGAGAAAGTGCAACTGTAACCAAGAGTAAGACCACTGAGCAATTTATCCGCAAGAGTAACATCGGTAGCAAGTGTGTTATCGGTATTCCACTTCTCGCTAAATGTAAGTCCGTAATCTTTAATTTTGTATTTAGTCTCCAATGTACCGAATACCTTTCCAGTATCTTGATTGGACACCCCACCACTGGAGAATTCTACAGCAGAACTAGTTTTTGTTTTAACATCTAATTTGATCATGCCAAAGTGATATCCCTGGCCAAATACATCTCGTGCACTTTTGCCCAAGTCATTATATGATGGAGGGGCCATGATCTAAGAAAAGATATCAAACGAACATATAAACTTTTCAGTCAATTTTACAAAAGTAAGATACATTGTGCGCATATGTTACTAATATTTACGTATGTATCTTTATAAATACATGAGAAGTTTATAAATAGGAAATTATAGTAACTATATGCACTATAATATATAATTACATATTCAAGTATGTATAGCACTAAAGAATTCTAAAAATAGTATCCCTTAACCTACAAATACTACTTAAATTAGATAGTTCATAGAATCTAAAAGCAATTATAATTTATAATAAAATAAATGTTTATATTATAATCAGTTTATTACCCTAAAATTTTTAATAATTTAATAATCAAAAAGCAAAATTATACAAATTAATTTAGTAATATTGTGTTGCATAATTACGAAAACGTGTCCAATTACTACAAATTACGAATTAATGAAGATTGTTCTAGTTATAATATTCAGCCCTTAATGTAACATAAAAAGTTTTTAAGTTACAAATGTACATTTAGAAAAATCTAGTAAGGAATTTATTTCTATACAGATAGTACAATTAACAGCTGCATCACAAATATATATATACAGTAAAACTGATAATAATTAGAATAAATGACATAGGTAGGAATGTCAAATTATTTAGTTAACAATACGTTTATTAGAAACAGCGTAAGTAAAGAACCATTAAGATTACAAGGAAGTATTCACATTGTTATTTATTACAAACAATCGAATGGAAGTGAAATAATGTCCTATCTATAATTTTACAGTAATGTAGAGCAAAAATGGAGTGGTATTGACCTGTTCTAGGTATTACATAAGGGAATAAATTAGCGACTTTCAATACCATAAATGATTTGTATTTAAAATTGTTGCCCGCGAGATTTTTGGTTTTCAACAAAGACTGTCGTTCTTTGGATCAGGAAATAGAAACAAAACGCGAAGCATACACTAAAATCAGGAGAAAAGTCGTGAATGATAGCGCCAGGCGACAGCCGACATTACTATCGTTAACCCATGCCGGCTTTGCAAAAATTCAATATTCCACGAAAACCGCAAGGGCCGAGCTTACGAACAAAGGATTGAACTCAAATAACGCGATGCATGTGGACAATAAAATTCGCTGGTACTTACTGTTTTCTGTTATAAGACACGGGTGCAGAAAACTGCGCGACTTCAGCCGAGAATTGCGTACGTGAGACGGTACACCACCGAGAAAGAAAGACTATGACCTGCGCGCAGTTGTCCCCGCGCATGTGCAGTACAACAAATTCTGCAAAAATTGCAAACTATTTTTATGCGAGAATGTCAATAATATTAGCAAAATAAAATTACACAATGCACTCGTAAAAATATTGCACTGTTCCCGTTGGGTACGCGTTCGATTGTTTAATCGATGTGTTGATCCATTTTCGGGACGTTACGTAACCTTGAAGACCACCCTCGCAGGCGTCGATGTTACACGTATTCAGACACTCGAAGCCGTTTATCGAATTTCAAGGGGAAGATAAGGATGATGAATGGAGTGTGTCCTTCCAAAAGACTCGATGAAAAAATTGCATATGTAATAAATAAACACATTTAATACGTTTATCCTATACCCCCTTTTGTTAGATTTTCTTAGTTTAATTTTTTTGAAATCAACTAATATCAGTTTCATCAAAAACAAATGGCGGAGCTATCTTTTTAGTATGAAACTGTCGTTTTAATTGTATTATGACGCATATAAGCCTAGATAATACGACATGACGACATGAGATTGTACATAAGTGCCACAGAAACTAAACTGATTAACTTCGATTAAGAAAATGTTATTGCAAACAGTCGATGTCCCCCTTTCGCAATTTTTTTAAACAACACACACTAATAAACATTATGCAATAACTTGTTTAATAATAACTTTTTATGTTACGGTATATGCAATACTTGAAAATCATTTTTTAAGGATATTATTAATTGAGCAGCTTATAGAAAATGAAGTTGATTGGTTTTGTCTCCTGAATGGCTTATACAGTATACATTGCTGCTTATTATTTGCTCAGTTATATTTGTATCATTTTATTAAAAAAATACGTGAAGATTTTCGAATTATATCTTATCCTTTTTAATACAATAGGGATAAGACAAGAAAAATGTATAATTATTTGTTGAGAACCTCCAAAATGAAATTTAAAGTAGAGAAAAGTAAACTTTTCTTCGATAGGAGGATGAAAACTAACTAGGAGAATAGATAGATTCATGACGATTTTCAGATATGTAAAAATAATGATATATCAACGTATTCGACATCGTTAAGAATTATTTATAACCAGGGAATTATAATATTTTTAATACTTTGTACATATTATATGATCAAGCGATGTGTATATTCACGTCATACAAATGTATGGTCAATATTTTCAAGACGTAAATACGCATACGTATATTTTCATTTAAAAATAATATAATAACTTTTTCTACAGTTTACGAACGGTAAGTAATGCCAAATATATGTATATATGTAAAATGAATCTAATTTTTTAATTTTTCAATCAAATAAAATTAACGAAGAATGCAAAATTTTATTTCATTATTTCTTTTTAGAAATTATTCAAAACATGGACGATTATTTCTACAAAACGTTTATTTTTAATACTAAACCTACGGAACCCTTTAAAAAGCCATGAATTACGAAGAGAGAACGGCGAACCCAGTCATTTGACCGATAGTGATAAGTGTAGTGTTAAATGTAGACCTGGAAATGCCTAAGGCATTTCTCTTTTAGAAATACAAAATTTCACACTAGCTTTCATTCTCGATGTTCGGATAATATATTGTCAATAATTATTTAATTTAAACAGATGAAATGATTCTTGAATCAATCTTCATAAAATTAGTCTTCGACTTGCTGTTTCTATAATTGAGTCTTATTAATAGATTAAATAGTATCTATGTATAGGAACTGTTGGAATTCTGTATATACCTATGTAGTAAACATTATAATTTTAAAATTACACTTTGAGACTTATAACCCGGCGATATTGAACCCAAAAAGTTAGAACGAATTTTAACTGTTCATTAACTTACACGCGTTTATAACTACTCTCCAAAGTGGTTTCTCAAAATGGATACTTGCAATTCAATGAAACAGATATTATATGGAAGAAGTCAAGAATCTTATAAAAGATCGTTTTTCAATAATTCAGTAACTTATATTTCTAAAACTACCCTTCAAATTCGTTTTCAAACGAAGCCTTACAAATACAGTAAATCCTCGATCAGTGTTCGAAAGCTCCTCGATACTGACAAGCAGCGCCGGATTAAGGGGGAGGATAGGGAGAGCTATAACTCCGGGCCCCACTTTCAAGTAGGGCCCCGATCTGAGCCTCCCGTTTATGTCAAAAACTAAATTAATGAAATTTTGATTACTGTTCCCTTTTGTTACTGTCCCCAATGATATCTGTTTCAGTCGCATGTGGCCATTAATTTCTGAAATATTTAATGTTCAGTGTCGAGGAGCCTTCGAACACTTATCGAGGATTTACGTGTACACCTATAACAATTCAACGTAAAGGGATAGAGAAAACTAGGGAACGTAAATAGAGCGTTTTTAAATGAATCCTTAAAGTTGTGCTCGTGAAATCGATCTTCGAATTGTCTCAGGATCGGCTCGCGATACGGAAAAATGGCGCTCGTAGAAAAGTACAAAGTATTACCGCGACTCTACGAACCGCGGATTGTTTCGATGAGCAATAAGGTCTCCTGTTCTACAAACGTCGCGACGTTCACGGAAGTGCTTTAGATCTTTCTATGCGTTTCGACAGCCAAAAATATCCCGGCTGCCTCGGTACGAAACGTCGGAACACTCTCGACGCGAAGACGGTTCCGTGAAAGACGGTGATCGTCTACGGTGAATAACGCCATATAGATCGTACCCTTTGGCAGTCTCAGCACATAGTATATTTTTAATAAATCGATTTCATATATATAAAGGATCGTGCAGATTTAATTTTCAGTCGGTTCGAAAGCTTCTGCGTTCCTGTGCGTTTGAAAACGAATTGAGAAGACGGTTTTGTTGTCGGTGTTAATTGATTGTTGATCATGTCGCAGCAAAGTTCGGTACGTTTTGAACGGGATGCATAAAAAACTGCTGTGTTTAGTTCGGAATCGCTATTACTTCGATTTTGGTCGTTTGCATTTGGACGTGCAAACTTTCGATTGTTACCGTTGTAATAATTATTAACAGTGACAATGGATTGTTGGGGCTCATTTTTCAAATTTCTTGAACAAGTATTACTTTGCAAGTGCGAATGTTTGTAAAGAATTTCATTTGAAATGCAATTATAGACCTTGTTGAACTTTGTTAAACTTCAGTAAAGTTTATAATTGAAACTAAAATAATTGGTTTATGAAATGAGTAATCGATCAATTGTGAAATGCTTGACATGTTATCACTTTTAGGGGGCATCGAAGATAGATGGTAAGAGCTCCGAAGCGTACAAGATTCTCCAAAATGATCAAGTTGGAAGGTAATTCTAATCGTCTCATAAGTTTCATTAAGTTCGCACAAAAATTACATTTCTCCTCCTACATAACTTCCTTGCAAAAATATAAATTTCTGTATCTATAGACGATCTATCAAGAATTCGATTAAATGAAAACTTTATCTCATCAGTCGAAAAGATTATTTACCATAGAATAAAATGACTACTTTATTATTCTTCAATCATATTTCTATTTTGTTGTGTTCTACCCAAATCACGTTGTTCTTGCAAATACACCTACAAATACATCGCGGGCATAATTAATTATCCGAAAATAATTTTACTGTATTTTAATACGCGTGATGTAATATATGTCCGAAAATAATGGTACTTTCAGATACATGGTGGCGAATAGAGAGCTACAGCCAGGCGAGGAAATTGTCACAGAGATGCCATTTGTAGTCGGACCAAAGGCGTTCACTTACCCCTTGTGCCTTTCATGTTACACACCCTGGCCGCCAACGGCGAACGATAAACCGCTTTGTTCGAAATGCGGATGGCCGGTATGCTCCGCGGAATGCGAGAATCAACCGCAGCACAAAGATTATGAATGCCAGGTACGAGTTGCAAAGATGAAAAAATGATTGTAAACAAATTTTAAAAACCACCAATATTGACAATAGTTTTGTTTTTATTGCTTGAAGAAGTTCAAAATTTAATGAATATCTGCTTTATACGACTGCGACTTTATTACAAAAATATTTCCTGTATCATTCTAGTTCATAAGATAACCACTTTTATATAGATTAAGATTATTCTTTAAATTTTGTTCAGATGAGTACAACAATTTTAATCATGGGAGCCATGAAAACATATATTGCGGGGGTAAAAAACCCTTGACCTATACTAACCTAACCATTTTTCATATCATGTATCGTCTAAGATTGACCATTTAACAATGGGGTCTTTTTTTAACGACACATTAATGGTAGGTATTCGCACAAGCGAATGAAAAGTTCAATGTGGAGGCGGCTTTGGAGGAAACCAATGAAAATGGAGTACCCCAATTGGAATGCATAACACCGTTGAGGCTGCTGTTGGAATCTGAAAAGAATCCTGGAAGATGGAAGAACGAAGTGATGGGAATGGAGGCCCACACTCAAATAAGAAGCCGAAAAGAACATTGGAAGTTGGATCAGGTGAACGTCGTGGATTACTTGAAGAAACAAATCAAGCTCGACAGGTAATGGTGGACGTTAATGCAGATTGATTTATAAAAATTTGAATCAAACAAAGACTCGTTGATTGTTTTAAAGGTTTTATCAGATTCCAAATGAAGTATCAATTTGTGATGCCTTTGCATCGCTTGGCTGTACATTGAGAATTAAAATATGATAAATTTATATAAAAAAATAATTGAATGAAATTTTGTAGAAACAAATCAGATGAAAATTGTTTGAATATAACGAAGCATTGTTCGTTATAATGAAGCGTTCGTTATGGTTACATGTTATTTAATTTTATTTAGAATAAATTTCAGTTTTTTAAGACACCCTCGAAGGTTTAATAGCCCTGGGCCACAAAAAATCTTCATTCGGGCGTACATTTTATTTCAGATTTTCGGAAGAACAAATCCAAACAGCGTGTGGAATTCTGGAGATAAATACATTTGAAATTCGAACGGCGAACGGATACAGCGCGAGGGGTATTTACCCGACAGTCGCTATGATGAATCATTCTTGCGTTTCGAATACATGCCACAGTATTTCACCGACAGATTTCAGGTATAATGGTCATCTATTAAAGGAATATATTTATATCACACATTTTATACTTTTTGTTTCTTTATATGAACTTCTTTCATTGTTGTTCTCTCCCCTGTTCATTGCTCAGCTGTGCTCCAGATGTTAAGGAACACTCCATATTTCGCAAACTATTCATGATATTAAAAAACGTTCCAGACAAAAGTTAAATGGTATCAGAGGGCACATTTCTTCATGTAACTTTTTTCTATGTGAACGCGTAGAGGTCATATGAAGGTCAACTTTGTTGTTTTCTTTAAAAAGGAATCGTATATTTTTTAAAGCACTCCCTGTTGCGAACCTCTGGCTCTCACCTGTGGCGAATTAGTGCATTAAAAAATATACGATTCCATTTAAAAAAACAAAGTTGACCTTCATATGACCGCTACGCGTCCACATAGGAAAAAAGTTACATCAGAAAGTGTGCCCCCTGATACGATTTAATTTCTGTCTGAAACATTTTTCAATATCGTCAACAGTTTCAGAGATATTCGAGTGGATCAATTTAAACCTAGATACCACACGACGTCTTGAAAACGCCCATTTTACAGCTATTTTAGGTCTAAGGCGCCTTTAAGCCGTCTTCAAGGCGTCATTGGGCTTCGTGTGCTATCTGGGAATCGGACATCATGTATAAATGCAATACTGTGAAGATTTTCTCGGGTGTCGTTCACAGAATACGATTGCGTACCACGGTCAAGGTACCGCCTGGCGGTGAACTTTACGGAAGTTACACGCATTCCCTGCTACCGACGATGCTGAGGCGAGATCATCTTCTCGAGGGGAAACACTTTGCCTGCGCTTGCCCAAGATGCGCGGATCCCACCGAGCTCGGAACCCACATGTCCTCGTTGAAATGTAACAAATGCGACAATGGGATCGTGTTGTCGTTAGATTCGCTGGGTAACTATTGCGACGATGACTATCCATAATAACTTTAAGAAATAAGACGTCTTATTAGCGTTTTCTGAGGGTCCAATTACGATCGAAATACGTCCGAAATAAGGCACCTTAAAAATGTTCAATTTTGGAAGTTTATAAGATATTACAAGCGTCCTCAACATTTTGAACGAATGTCCATAAGACGTCTCTGTATTGTCTGGGCACCCTTATGCGATCGAAGTGTGTCGAAAATATAAATATTTTATAAGTACATGTATACATATGATACACTCCGAAAATAATTAAGGGATCACCTCTACGAACCGGTAAAATGGGGCCAATTTCAAATAATCGTAATTCTGGCAAAGATTGTCCTTTTGATATTATTTGGAACTGTAAAATCTCTATTTTCAGATGCTTTTTCAAGGAGTTAGCTGCGTTGCTTCTTGGAAAAGTTCTAGCAATATAAAGAGCATTTGGACAATTTTTTAAAATTGTCCAAATGCTCTTTATATTGCTATAACATTTCCAAGAAGAAACGTAGCTAAATCTTTAAAAAGGCATCTGAAAAAGCAGATTCTACATTTTCAAACGATTCATTAACAATATCGATACGACTAATTTTTCCGTTTTACGACTACTTGAATGTGTCCCAATTTTTCGGATTCATAGAGGTGAGCCTTTCATTTTTTGCGGAGTGTAAGTACTATTTACCAGACATTGTACAATACATATTGCCTTCCCACCGTTTCACAGACCCCGATAGCTCCTGGAAATGTACACACTGCGAATTCTCGACCAGTGGATCCGCGGTCCGAAAAGTGTTACAGATAATTCAAGCGGACGTTAACACGGTGGAGGCAATCAGCGGTGCTGATGGAGCCGACGCAATTCAAGCAAGGGAAACAGTCGTGAAAAAATATCACTCCGTTTTGCACCCCCGACACGCCTTCAACACTATGTTAAGGTAAGCATCGTCGTATTCTTGCACTTTCGAATATAAATCCTAATTTTACTGACCTGAATAGCTATGTATTACAATATTTAACAAAATTTTATTTTATTATTAATATAAATTTTTAATTGTTGTTAACATTTGGCGATACAACCATTAAGAAAAAAAAACTTTCAATATTTGTTGTTTTCTAGGGTGAATTTTCTTTATATTATGGTGAATTTGATTGATTAAATACATTTTTTTGGCAAATGGGGTAGACCAGTTAAGAACTTGGGCAAAAAATAAAATGAAGAAAAAAAGATAGGAGAGGCATGGATTCTAGTTCTATACTTGACAAATTACATTGGCAGTTGGCTCTTTTGGTGGAGGGGTTGAAACTGTACTAAAATAATTTTGTTGTGTTTTTGTTCTCAGGCACTCGTTAACACAGATGTACGGCCGTGTCGATGAGTACCTTTTAGACGATCTACCTGACATCGTGTTGGAACACAAAATTGACATGTGCAGAATGTTGCTTCAAGTATTAAACGTTGTAGAGCCGGGTTGCTCGCGGATCAGAGGTAAGAGATTATTTTATTTTGTATTTTGAATTTAACGTAACTTTGACGGCCAGTATCGCGTACGTGTGACTTTATTTAGTCAGTAGTTATCAATTTATAAAAATAGAAAAAATAACATTTTTATCGGTTATTGCTATAAAATCTGAAAATGTCATTTTGTATATAAGAGTGAAAAGAAATTTCCCAGATAGCACATGACGCTTTGAAGACGCCTATTTTACGGCTATTTTAGGTCTAAGGCGTCTCTAAGCCGTCTTCAAGGCGTCATTGGGCGTCATGTGCTATTTGGGTCTAATAAACTATGAAATCCGTCATTTCGCGTCTACCGGCATTAGAGAAACAAAAGTTAAATAGAAAGTTTAAGAAACCCTAATAGATGATTACATTACGTAAAAAGGAATTTAATGTTTGTATTAAGTAATGTTAGGGGTCTTATTTAGTTGCTTTTTCATTCATAATTTCGAATTATCTGCTGTGTTCAATTCACAAATTAGATTTAATTATTATTTGTTGTTAAAGGAATGACACTATACGAACTCCACGCACCATTACTTTTCGTCGCTAAAACGTTATGGAACGCCGGGGTGATCGACGAAGCCGCGCTAAAATCGAAAATGATCGAAGCCGCCGAAATATTGAAGGAATCGGCTGCCATCTTGTGCTTAGAACCGCCGGACACGGCCGAGGGACAAATAGGTCTCGTCGCGAAAGAATCGTTGGTTCAACTCGAACAGTCAATCAGCGATTTATGAGTACTTATTACAAATCAATACTTATAAGAAATCATGATTTGTACAATTGTACTTATTTATTAATAAATGTACAGGATGAATCACCTAATACAGCAGTCTCGAGTTATTAGAAAATTATTCTTCCTACGACAAATTTTTCTAAAAATAGAATACACACTCCTCTCGATTATTGTCTCGCGCCAGGGCATGATACTGAGAAAAGCACCATGTACAAACTTTTTAAATCGAATGATGTTATTTATACAATAGCACATATTTCGAAACGCAATTTTTAAATGGTGAATTATCAGGCTCCGAAATACATGCTAATTTTGACGTAAACTTCAGTAACTGAATAAGCAAGACAGATAAGAAATAGCTTCAACGACCTAAAAAAATTTAATAACCATTGATAATTATTTTTCCATACTTTTTTTTTCGTCCCATTAGTTATTATTTCGTATCTCTGTTAAAAAATTATTCATGAAAAATTTTCCTTTGCTACTACATTTCCTACATCCACACTGACTCTTTTTCATTGCAATTTTTGTATTCTCTTATTATTTAGTCCTTCGATCGTATTAAATCACATTCAGATGTTCGATGCTAGAAACGACCAATCGATTTTAACCATTTAATGCTCAGTGCAACACTCATTCTACAAGTGCGTCAAATTTTGTCGGTGGTTGATATGTAATTTTCGTTAGCAAGTTTCCGTAGTTTCACTGATATAAAGTAGATTTTCACGTTTTCAGTTAAGAAATTAAGGCATTCTGTCGAAAAATAAATAAAAGGAAAGACTGAAAAATATACCTCTGTTTGGTATCGATATTTTCGACTTCAAAATGGCAAGATACAACATATATACCAGTGTTATAATGTTTAAATAACGATAAAGGGTCTGGGCGTTAAGAGCAATTTCGACTCGTCAGTATGGTAAACATAGAAAAGAGAATGAATGTGCCTTAATTTTGAAATTAAAACTCTACGACTTCTACTCGTCTTTATGTTCCATTTTTTCTATCGATAACATTTCACGAAATCGATTCAAATTTCGAGTGTCTTCACGGCTTATGAACCTTGGGTAGTATTAACCCCTTGCCATATGTTTTTTTTTACGACTACAATTTCAATACTTACATGATCGTTAATATTTTCCCATATAAAAAAGGAATTTTATTCTAATGTCAAATATTACATTTATTCAGTTAAATCGTTATTACGTGTCTGACTCGATGTTGTTAGGCAAAAGGTTAAGAAAACCATCGATCGTCGGATCATCTAATCCGATGCCCACGCATTGTTTTGCCACGAGTATACTCGGCATGCACGCGCCACACTGACTTCTAATAATACAGCGAGACGTATCAAGAGTGCACCATACAGAGACTGCTACTGCTTAAACTTCCTGTGTGTATCGGTGTCAGTTACAAACCGTCGGAAATGCACAAGACAACGCGACGTTCACGAGTCTAAGTATCGTTCTAGTGTATATCTTCATTTTGTTTTGATAAGAACATTAATAGAGGAAATAATAACGAGCGTCACGATGGCAGAACAATCGAAAAAATGTATGCCCACTCCCCCAAAATATAAAGTTTCTCGGTCAGAAAAACTCGGCAGGTATAGTTCTGTGGTTCTATAAATAAATAAATACAATTAAAAATTAATACAAACGAAAAAAATATATATATTTTTTGTTGTTATATTAATCTGACCGAAGATTCATACTTTTACGGAATAATTTACGGAACCAGCATTACATAGAAATTAATTTCTTACGCAGAATTTCATTCAGCTAAAAGAGAAAAAAATTGTACGAACGATCATTTTAAATTTCATTCGGTTATAACTTTCATGTTTGTATGATGCATTAAGATCCCCCAGTAGATCAGTGTGCAAAAGGCATATAATGAAACTTATCTATTGCTACTTATAATTCCTGCAATTTTAACAGCGAAATTTATGTAACTTTAGTTTTTATTATACTATTATCATTTGTTTATATTTTTGTTCAAAAATCAGGTAACTCCCGTTTCTTTTATAGTTTTTTTTAATTTCACATGTCAGTATTATGTTCATTTGTACAAATTTGTTGCGAAATGCATTTTATACTTTTTTCAGATATTTACAAGCAGCAAAAAATCTGGCAGCCGGTGAAGTAATACTTCGAGAGACACCGATCGCTGTCGGACCAACGACTTCCAGCAGGGATTACGTGTGTTTCGCCTGTTTGCGCTTATTACCGAAAATGAAAAGAACGCCGCAATTTCTGTGCCCCGAATGCAATGTTGCACCTTTATGTGGTACCGTCTGCGAGGTAATAAAGTAAAAAAGAAATAACCTATTTGGTTCTTATCGGTACAATATGTTGTTAAAAACAAATCATACACAAAATACGATATATTAAACTTGTTTCATAATTCCATTCTAGTTTGTCTTAAAATTTATATAAATTCTATTTAAGAGATTTATGGAACTTTGAACTGTTAAAAACTATTCAATTATTGGAACAATGCCTTCTTTATCGTTATATATTAGCAATTCCGAATTGTAATCACTTTAGCACACAGATAGTCACATTTACATTCTAATTATGGATTAGACACCTTCAGAAATGAATATTTAGTAAACATGGCGACCATTTATGGTATAGCCGTAATTTTTTTTTAGATTGTTGAAAACGTATCATATAATATCAATTTTTGGGTCAAGATTTGACAGTGATTGCCATTTACAATTTACTTCAATCACCAACTAAAATAACTACGATTTAATACCGAATTTCCTGAGAAAATTAGTTTTCCTAAAAGTAATTGTCGTGTAAACTTATACAGACTCCTCTGGATTATCGTCTGGCTTGTTCTACACGATTATTGTCCAGGCGTCATCCCTACCACTGAGGAGGAGGACGTGGATTTTCTAAAGCGGATACTTTGTTGCCTGCTTTGGGCAAAAAACAAATTTATGAAGGTCTAAAGCATTTCTCCCTATAAGATTATTGTCCGAGTTTGGGACGATAATTGCGAGGAGTCTGTAGCATTGTTCTCCTCAATTACCCTGTGTCCTTTACAGAATTTTAACTCTTTGCACTTGGAATTCCTGATTTTCCATACATTTTGTCCCTTCAGAGGGGATAATCGAGTGCAAAGGGTTAAACAAGATTATGTATTTTCAGAGACACCCGAAGTATCATACAACGGACGAATGCGAAATATTCAAGAATAATACGGGTCTATCGTCCAACAATATGGCGGATGTGGTCGGTGTCTTGTTGCCGTTAAGATTATGGCTATTGAAACAGAGGGATCCAGAATCGTGGAGGTTGGTAGAATCCATGGAATCCCACATGGACAAAAGGAGAAACACGTCCGTATGGAAGGACAGGGAAGCGAACGTTATAAACGTATGTAAAAACAACGGTGTCCGACCCGTCTACATCTGCGTAACATCATCTCACTGTGACGACTCAATAGCACAAGGACTTAACTTGAATTAATTTGATCCTCTTGTATGTCATTCGCGAATTTTTCATTTAATACTATCCCGATGTAAATTCACTTTCACTCACCGTAAAAGTTTCACCGATAGCTATTAACACTGAACATTGGTTCATCGACATCGACCTTGACTGACGTTAGGTGTTAACAGACATTTAAATGTGTGTCGGTGAATCGGCGTCAATGCACTAACTACACCGTGGAAGTTTATGCAAATTCACAATTCCAAATACTGATATGTAAAGATTAAGGGGTAAAAAAAGATGGTTTGTGGTGTACAATATATAGTAAATCCTCGATAAGTGTTCAAAGGCTCCTCGGCACTGAACATTAAATATTTCATAAACTAATGATCGTATGCGGCTGAAGCAAATATCATTGGCTTCAAAATTTCAAACTCTATCACTGTCATACACCTCATTAAAAAGTCAGTGCTACACCTGGAGACCTCTCCTTATCAATGCCGAGGAGCCTTCGAACACTCATCGAGGATTCACTGTAGCACCTCGTTCAATCAGCTGAAATGGAATCTGGGCAAAATGAAATCTAATTACAAAATCCAAATCACAATTGCAATGTAATTGCAAAACAATGACATTGTAATTAACTATACTAAATTTACAATGTAATTGCAACTTAGATATTGCAATTGGATTTACTTTGCCGAACTCTGTTCGATAAGTGGACCCCCTTTGGCTTGCCTATACCTGTCACTTCGGACAAGGTTAGTTTTCAATAACGATCCCATAGTTTTCATCTAAGTTTATCATTAAACCGTACGTAAAAACAGGTGATCAAGGCCCTTCGATTAATTACCGTGGACGATGCTGCCGCCGCCGAATTTCTGCAACGGTTGTGCGGAATTTTAGACGTGAACACGTTCGAGCTACGGTCCCCGGGAGGTCTGGACGGGCTTCTTTTACGAGGTTTATATACGGAAGCCTCCCTCATGGCACACGACTGCAGGGGGAACACTCATCTCACAGTGGACGATGACTTTCAGCTGACCGTATACGCAAGTCTACCTATACAAGAGGGCGATGCTATTCTTTTCAATTACACATCGTCACTTCTGGTTGGTCAACTTCTCACTAATAGGAATCGTTAACACATCGATGAAACATTGCTAAAATTCGCTGCACTTATTGGTCCACCGAACACGGACACCAAACTGAAAATATCCTTCGTAACGAGACCAATAATGCTCGAATACAGTAAATCCTCGACGAGTGTTCGAAGACTTCTCGGCACTGACAAGAAGAGATCCTCAGGTGAAACGCTGATGTTTTAATGAAGATTAGCACAGTGATAATGCTTGAAATTCTGAAGCCAATGATATTTATTTCAGCCGCATACGACCATTAGTTTATGAAATATTTAATGTTCAGTGCCGAAGAGTCTTCATACATTTATTTTCAGTACAAAATTGAACACTTCGAGTCACCTTTCAAAAAATTATGAACACTTTTCAAAACGCAAATGTTGCTCCTTCCACGGCGAATTTTCGACTGAAGCTCAAAAGTCACTATACCTGGTTTTTGTTTATAGCCGAACTTCGTTGCTTAGGGGCCGGTGGGAGAAATACGGACCCAGGATAATCCCGGACACAGTGATATTCACTTATTCCACACACTGTCGATGCGTGACTTTTTGTTGTGACTTTTCTCGGCACTACATATCGTAAAAACAATCAAGGAAACATGGCACGAAGGGTAGGTGATGCGTGGATATCATTGTGTCTGGGATTACTCTACGTCCGTGTTTTCCTCAACGTCCTCTACCTGTCCAAAATTCTTGGGTGTTCCATACTACATACACCCACCCTAATAGACGAAACCCCATTGAGGAACTTTACTTCGCCTGAAAACAATAATAATGACTACGTTTTCAGTGAATGTTAATTAATGCTAATGGAGAAAGTTACAGCTTCAATTTTAATTTTACAGCTTGATTAATACCAAAGTGTGTTAACGTTCCTGAAAATATTATCATTCCACTTTATACAATAACTTATAAGTAGACTGCGAATGTTTATGCATTTATAGCATTCCTTAATATTATTTATGTGTTATTACAAATGTAGTGAAACCTCTAATACAGAATTTAAGATTATGTCCTATTTTAATTTTTAAATATTTGTACCTAAAGTTGTGAATTTGCACAAAGTTCCACAGTCTACTTATAAGAATTCGTTGTTTCAGAAAAATTGCAATCTTCCTCCAGATTTGCAAATCGTGGCGTATCGAAAGGCAATCCTAGATATTTGTTTCAACTAAAAGAGTTTTTAGCTGTATGTGATGATTAGACTGCGGGTTCTATGCATTTAGAGTTTAAAGGGCTCTATAATATACAATAAAAGACAAAAGTTTCATTAGATATGTAACGAGGTTTCTACTTTATTCTTAACCTAATGGGATACTTAAAGGGAAAAAATTCCTACTTTTATTTTTCTCCTCTTGAATTACTTTATAAAATGTCCTTTTGCATTCAAAATCCGCAGTCTAGTGATGATGTGGAAACGTTTCATGGAATTATTTCATTATTAGGGAACGACAGGCAGAAGAGAACACTTACGTGGCGGGAAGTACTTCGAATGCGATTGCTCGTTATGCAGAGATCCATACGAAATGGGATCGTACATGAGCAGCATTCTGTGCCCACGGTGTAGAGAAGGTTACATAGGGATGCAGAATCCGTTGGCAATCGATCCGTACGAGAGAAACATGAGGTGGCAATGCAATAAATGCAAGAGAAGCATCGGAGGTCGCCTTGTACGAGCTACTTTGGACATAAGCAGAACGCTGATCGATGACACGGATGACAGTGACATCAAAGTATGTACCAGATCGTGTCCCGTAAAGCCAAGGCGAGCACGTTTTACATAAAAAAAGAAAAGAGTCTGTCATTAACATGTAGGTCATGTCCAAATTAAGATATTGAAAACGATCTGTAAAATGGCTTAGGGCCTTAAGAGATTTCGAGAAGTTACGCAATAAGTATTCATGGTTTCTATCGATGTTCTTGTTTCATTGTTCTTCCACTTCTTTTAAAACCATTTTCAAGGGTCTGGAAGTGTTAACAACTAAACTGATGCGATCCCTTCACCCGAATCATTTCTTACTACTCTCCTTGAAGCAGAAGTTATTGGCGGCGTATAGAAAAGAGGTGGCAACGCTAAACCCACAGAAGAAATGTATGCAGAGAATGTTGGACACGTGCAAGGAAGTGTGCGATGTACTGGATATAGTTGAGCCGGGGATATCTCGGTTAAAGGGTAACTTTTAACATTTCATTTCGCGTCAGTTTTCATGTACACCAGTATTTTTCGACGTTCTGTCCGTGGGTAACGGAATATTCCGTGTATTTCCGACAATGATAGTCTCTTAAAGAATACGAATTGCTTCATGAAATTTGATGTATATATCAAGAAGTATCCATTTTTAGGTATAATGCTGTACGAAATGCACTTACCATTGGTACTGTTAGCGAACCGCGCATACGCGGGACGTGAAATTTCATCGATGGAACTGACTTCCCGCCTCGAGAAAGCCGGAAGTCTACTGAAAAAGTCGCTCAGGACGCTTCTTTTGGAGCCGACCGACACGCCGGAAGGAAAATTAGCGAAACGAGCGTTACAAGAATTAAAGGCTCTTAATCAAAACATCGCTGATGTTAAGACGATTGCCACGATGGAAGACACACGTGTACACAATAAAAGGAAATCACAAAAAGATAAGTCGAATACGAAGAAATAAAATTTGTGTTGTTCGATCCTTGTCTACAAAATAAATTGAGTATACACATTGCTCCTACAGTAAAATTCTGATGCTCCTATTCATATGCTAACATAAGATCAATTTAAACGTAGATTCCGTTATAACATGACGGCGCGTCGTATCACGTGATTCACGTGACGAATACTTTCATTGGTTCATTTCACGGTGATCAGGAACGTACCTGTTGGCAATATAGCCTGACCCCGCCTGAGCACAAAGCTCCCTTCTTTCATTCTTTCAAATGAAATATCGTATTGCTCACCAAACCTCTGGCTTCTAGACTGCAGCAACTTCCTTCAATAGCGACATTTACAGCCGACATTTTTAATAAAAAGCAATTTTTTGTAACTCTAAACGATAAATATATAGTACTGAAAGTTTCATAATGATTTATTTAATAGTCTTTTTGTAATAAATTCACAAAGATCAGCTTATGTTCAGCGTTCTATATGTAATTTTCCCCTTAACGCGCAAAAACCTCTTATGTTACGTAAAACCAATTCCAATTGATACAGTAAATTTGTGGTTCTGGCATGTGCTACCGTTGAATTAAATAGGTTTTTGTATATGCTAATATGGAATCAAATAAGTTCTTGTATATGCTAGCGTGGAACAAAAACGGGTAAATTCCTACTATTAAAGTCGACGGGCATGATTAGGCACTATATTGTTTTCTCGTAAAATCATTAAGTTGTAAAACTGCCCCTGTTTCGGTAGTCGAAACTATAATTCGAGACAATTAAGCCTCTTCAGGAGCGTGCAATATCAATTTAAAATGGGTTACCTGCAGTTTAATTTAAACCAATATAGTAATTACTATTGAGTAGGAAGCGGCAGAGGCTAAATACCGTATACTTTTGATGAAATATTGTAAGCAGAAGTTTTACATATCAATTTGCAAATGACGTTTACAACCTGACATTCAAGCCGCTTCCAAGCATGTTAGGACCCCTTGCGGTGACACTGGCACCACTGGGGCAGTGGCAGTGGCACCCCGTGCACACCGCGTACAGCGTACACCCTACTTACAGCCTGTTACAGCCCTTGGTGCGGTTACATGAATAAGCGACTCTAATAAACGCTTAACAACACTTATTTTTACAAGGATACAATTGAACTTGATTGACTACAATATCATTCCTGTCGACTTTATGCCAGAATTGGCCGCTTGGTGCAGCACACATACTCGGGGACAACGATACCCGGGCTGACTGGGAGGTTGGGGACTGGGGCGCGTGAGCACTCTCATTTCCTCTCTAGTGATATGTAAAATATTTTCATTTATTTTAGTATATAATTAGTATGTTTGACCAAAGCATTATTGGTCTATGTTTCTTCGTCTGTCTAGCAGTGGTTTTTAACTGTTCATTACATCGTATAGAAGAAGGTCATGTTGGTGTTTATTTTAGGGTAATTATTTTCAAAGGTAAAATAATATGATATAATTCTAACGATATACGTGTATTTATTATGTTATACAGGGAGGGGCATTATTGCCTCAAGTAAGTAATCCTGGATTTCATATGATGATACCTTTATTAACAAACTACAGATCTGTTCAAGTGACATTGCAAACAGATGAAATAAAAAATGTACCATGTGGTACAAGCGGTGGTGTGATGATCTACTTTGACCGTATAGAAGTTGTAAACATATTAGATGCAAATAGCGGTATTACATTTATAAATCATGTATAAAGAATCAACAAAACTAAATTAATAACAATTTACATACTAATCAATTTTTTACATTATACAGTTTATAATATTGTGAGAAATTTCACGGCAGACTATGATCAAACATTAATATTTAACAAAATACATCATGAATTAAACCAATTTTGTTCTGTACGTACATTACACGAAGTATACATAGATTTGTTTGACCAGATAGATGAAAATTTAAAAACTGCTCTGCAAAAAGATTTAAATGATCTGGCACCTGGCTTAAGTATTCATGCTGTTCGAGTTACAAAACCTAAAATTCCAGAAACTATAAGGAAGAATTATGAGTTAATGTAAGTACAAATTTGAATTGGTAATAAGAACAGTACAGATGGTGATCACATTATTACTATTAAATACAAATGTGTATATATTTTTTTAGGGAGGCTGAAAAGACAAAATTATTGATAGCTATACAACATCAGAAAGTGGTAGAAAAGGATGCAGAAACTGACAGGAAGAAAGCTATTATTGAAGCTGAAAAGCAAGCACAAGTATCAAAAATTCAGTACAGTCAGAACATTATGGAAAAGGAATCCCTTCAACAAATAGTCGAAATTGAAAATGCAATACATTTGGCTAAGCAAAAGAGTTATACTCATGCTGAATATTACAAAATAACTATGCAGGCAGAGGCGAATCAGCTTCTTTTTACTAAAGAATATTTAGAATTAAAGAAATATGAAGCACTAGCCCAAAATGCAAAAGTTTATTTTGTTCAGGAAACACCAAAAATGTTCATGCACGACAGTAGTTTTAGTAATAATCCTGTACATTCCAGTGTAGATACGAAAGAATCATAAAGTTGAATATTAGTTTTTATTTTCTTTAATAATAAATTCTGTTATACTGGTACGTTTAACTAACTTGAGTACATTTCAGAGTGAGATTTAAATTCTTGTTAACTTTGTATATCTGAGAATAAAGTACAATTTGTACATTTTTACTGCCTTCTTTCGTAGTTTTTTAATCAAGTTAATAAAATTTTCGAATGAGAACATTACTTAATAGAATTACAATAACTAAAAATTTACAACTCTGTACTGAATGTATTATTTCATTTTGCCCTGAAATGAATCAAATTAATAAATGTTTTATGACAGATTAAAAGTGTATAGTTCAAAATAGACCTTAGATTTATAAATTCCTATTTTTATAAACCCAATTTAACTTTGTAATTATATAAAACTATAGTTCCTCCTTAATAAACCGTTCTAATTTACAATATTATGTGTATACACAGTCATTATAAATTTTTTATTTTGTCATTTTTTCTTCTACTTTAATAGTAACTAAAAAGAAACTTAGTAATAACATAATATAAGTGAATCCATTAACTTTAACTAACTCGAAAATGTTTCGCCGTTTCGATTATAAACCGCGCCTGCCGTTAGAGAATATTAGGGCGAGTACTCAATACATCACTGGTTCCAACGCCCTCTTTAAAATTAAAAAAGTAATCCGATTATTTCTTACAGTAAACTACATGGTCCATGGTAAATTACACATGCATAGTTACAGTATCCGTGATTTGTGGAGTCGCTTTTGTCACGGGGTGCTCTTGGTGTTCTGTGTTTTATTGTCAGAACCGCACTGCAAACCAGCAAACATTAAATTTAACATGGCACCAGTTGACAGTTCACCGAGAGGAAATATGGGTGGATTTGAACTTGTATATTCTGTGAAAACTAATGATACAATACCGGTGCATGTGTATAAATCTACAAATACCGGAATTACGGTTTGTATAGCAGAAGTTGATGGACCTCTTGTTTATGGCTATTTTGGCTTAGGTAATTTTTTTCTTCATATTTTATTTATTATATTCACTCTAAATGCGAAATCTACCTTAATATATTATTAGTAACTGTATGTAAACGTATGTTACAATAACGTAACATACTATTGTCCCATTTAACATATTTCAAATTTAGCTACTGAGGCACACGACGACGATGGATTGCCTCATACATTGGAACATCTTATTTTCTTGGGAAGCGAGGATTATCCTTACAAAGGTATTTTAGATTTATGGGCAAACAGATGTTTGGCATCTGGTACTAATGCAACAACAATGATGGATTTTACCTGTTATACGATGTCAACTGCTAGCAGTGAAGGATTCTTATCCTTAATGCCTGTATATTTGGAACATATTCTTTACCCAACGCTTACGGTAACATAACTCAGATATTTAGACACATAATCCAAGTATTCAAATTACATTTGTTAAAACAATCAATTTACAAAGTTTTTTTTCACATGTTTGAATAGGATTCAGCTTATCTTACAGAAATACATCATGTTAATGGTAAAGGTGAGAATGCTGGTGTAGTGTACTGTGAAATGCAAGGCAGAGAAAACATAGGAGAATATTTGGTATATCAAGAACTGTCTCGTGCAATGTTTCCTGGTCATTGTGGTTATAAATCAATAACTGGAGGTAAAAACCCATAATTTACTAAGTGTAATAGTTTTTCATATATGCTAGAATATTAAATGAAAGACTAAGTTCGTTCACAAATTTTGTTTCTTTTTACAGGAGCATTAAAAAATCTCAGAGAAAGTACTAATAATGAAAAAGTAAGACAATATCATAAGGACTTCTATAGGCCTGAAAATTTGACCCTAGTAATAATTGGTCAAATAAAACATGTTGATGTGTTCAAAGCTTTACAACCTCTGGAACAGAAAATCATGTTGAAAGTACACAAACGAAACTTTTATATATCTTGATTCATTATTTCGTCAGAAAATAAATAAGAGACTGTAAAAAGTAATGTTTCAGGGAAATAGGGGTGTATTTGAAAAGCCTTGGCAAAGTCCTGTACCACCTCTGCTCAAAAGCATAGATTTAGATGTGCAATATCCTTGTGATGATGAAGACAATGGAGTAGTGAAAGTTGCTTGGCGGGGACCGTCTATTGTTAACGAAATATATGATTTCGTTGGTTGTATTTTGCTGTTACACTATCTTACTGATACATCGGTCAGTCCGCTACAACAAGAATTTCTTGAAACTAGTGAACCATATGCTAGCAATGTCGGTTACTATCCTTGCGAGTATTCCGTCAGTGTTCTATGCCTTCAATTCGAAAATGTGCCGAAGCCAAAAATCTCACATGTAAAGGCTCAATTGCAAAAGACGTTAAATGATGTGCACGAAAAAGGTATCGATATGAAACGATTGAAAACGGTCATTCACAGGCGTATCCTTCAAACACTAAGCTGCTTGGAAAGTAATCCTCAAAATGTAATAGCTCACATGCTTTTTATACATGTTCTTTACGGCAATACAAAAGAAGATGTAAGTCATTTTTATGGCATATTATGATGTGTTTCGTTTAAAAATATTTATACGATAACAGTACCTATTCTCTTAAAATTTAGTTAGACCAAAGATTAAACGACATAAAAGATCTCAAGAAATTGGAAATGGAGCCTGAATCTTACTGGTTGAACCTTTTGAAAAAATACTTTCTTGATTCTCCATTGATTGTAGTTAAAGGAATCCCCAGCTTAAACAAGCAGCTTGAATTAACCGAGAAAGAGAAAGAACGTGTAGCTAAACAAATTGAAGATTTAGGCGAGGAAGGCCTTCAACTGAAAGAAAAAGAACTGGAAGGAGCTATTGCTAAAAATAATGTATGTAGCACATTAAAGTTTAGAGTTCTATAAACATTTCTCCCTCTTGTCGTTAACATTCAGATTTTCTGTACTTCAAGATACCAGTACCTGATGAAATATTAAGTTCAGTACCTATACCAAGTACTGATCTGATCAGTTTCCATCATATCAAAAGTTACACGACAGAAACTACCGAGCAACATTCTAGATTCGCCGTAACAGAGCTGCCGTTTTATACATACCTGGATCACGTTACCACAAATTTTGTGAATGTACGTACCTAAATTTGTCATGTGGTCGCAATTAAAACCGATTTTTTCGTTCAAATCTGCATTTAATCGTTCAATCGTTTTCAGATTTGCGTTATCATGAATACATCATCCGTCGAAAGAAAGTATAAACCTTACATTCCTTTGTTACTCGAAGTTATTATGGAATCTCCAGTAAAGCGAAATGGACAACTGGTTCCATATGAAGAAGTGGTAGCTGAATTGGAAGCAGATACTGTTGAAACTACGACTGGACTCGGACATTCATCTCCCTCAAGATTTTCGTGCGGACCATATAGTTACTGTGCCATTTTATGGTTGCAAGTAATTTACAAATCTTCATTCATTCTAATATTGTATCTATCGATTATTTCAAATGATTGTTTCCGTTGATTAGCTGGAGATAGAGAAATACGAAAAAGGTGTACAGTGGATTAAAGAGCTTTTATATGAAACCGAACTAACACCTAATAGATTAAAAATAATAGCCACAAAAATGGTCAATGATGTTGCTCAATTTAAAAGGAACGGATTCCAAGTTGTGGGCGATTTAATGAGAGGATTGTTGTATAACAAAGGTAGGAAAACAATTTCTACGAAATCCTAGTATCCTCATAAAAAATTATGTACGAATTTTAAACATTTAGACAGTAATCAATTCACGTCCAGTATGCTGCGACAACAGAAATTTCTTAATAGCATCTTAGAACGTTTGAATAATGAAGAAGGGCAAAGGGAAGTTTTATCAGAAATTGAAATTGTTAGAAAAGTTTTAACAACGCCTAAAAATATGACTCTGTACGTGGCGACTAATGTGGATAAGTTGACCATTCAGATTCCGAATGTCTACGATTCATGGAATACTCATTTTTCTGAGTTAACTATGTCAGATAAAACCAAGTAAATATTACTTTTCAAACTTCCAAAATTCCTTATTACGTTGGTGTCTAAATTCTAATTGCGCAATTTAATTACATAGACTCGAAGTTATTCCTGATTCAGCATTTATAAATCCTCCGGATGAAATCCCGTGTAAGGGATGCGTTACAGGATTGGGTTGTATAGAATCCTCGTTTTTATCACAATGTTGTCCGTGCATAAATAATCATCAAGATCCAGATTTAGCACCTTTGCTTGTTTGTTTACAGTACTTAACCCAGATAGAGGTAGGTAAAAAACACATGTTTACTGTTACTCGCAGTGTTACAAAATTACGTTTTTGTAGGGTCCCATGTGGAAACTTATAAGAGGCCAAGGTCTTTCTTACGACTGCAATATCTATGCTAAACCGAGCGAGGGATTATTACATTTGACATTTTATAGATCAACAAATATTATAGCAGCATACAAAGAAGCAAAATCAATTGTAGTAAGTATACATTTCAATATTTGAACGATCAAACCTACAGCATTTACATGGAGAATGTTCGTTTTTTTTATTTAATTAATCACGTTTTTATGGATCTATTTTTTTGTTATAGAATATGCATGTTTCCGAAAATAAATGGGAGAAATTACTTTTCGAATCAGCAAAATCTTCTCTAATATATGAAATCATTGAAAAGGAGCAGAGTGTGTGTGCCTTGGTACAACAGTCATTATTGTCTTATTTCAAAAATGTTTCACATAATTACACTCAGCAAATGGTGCAACGTATATCTACAGTAACGACTGAGGATATGGGTCGAATAGCATCTAAATATTTGACACCGTTATTCGACCCAAAAGAGTGTAAAACAACAATCGTTTGTCACCCATCTAAAGTACAAGAAGTGGCTAGTGCATTTAAAGAGTAAGTAAATATACGTTATATTCACACATTTTAACACGTATTTAATATATGAAATATATACTTCATACATATTTTCTTACAGATTGGGCCATGATCTTAAACTGTACAACAGCCTTGAAGAAAATTACTTAAATGATTGGTAGTATTTCATGAAATTATTATTACATATACACTATTACTAATTTAAAACAAATGCTTATTGATTCATATTTGTAAGTCAAAACTAAAATAAACGTTCAATAATTTTAACTATGAGCGCCACTATGCATTTAATAAACAAGTTATACTTTTATAGAAATTATGTAATTTTATAGTAATTAAACTTTAACGAAATTTGATGTTTTAATGTATTTTTTATAACCTTCTTCTGAAATTACAATATTAAAAATGTTTCAAGTAATTAACAACAATAAAACAGAGGAATAAACATTTAAATATTTTGAAAAGTGATAAATTTAGAAGATTAAAGTGTTTAAATGTTATAATAAATACTTTCTGTAAAAAAAACAAGCATAATATCAATAAAATATTGCATATCAATAATTTTTAATGATTTATATTTACAGCAATATGAATATTATGACACAGAAATGCTTATTATTTCCAACACTGATACACCTTTTTGTTTGATTGGTGAATAAACTCCACCGTAAACTTGTAAACCAAGCATTGTAATATTTGCAGTATCCAATGGTCCTGCATCAGGTATCTCTCGTCCGCGATAATACGGTTTGAACTTTGCCAACGGTAATGTTACAGTTGAAAATGTAGTATTTGACATTGGTGCCTACATTAATAAATTTTTTTAGTGATTTAATATTAAAAAGACGAATGAATATCAGATATATAAGTATATTAATTGCTGATTATATGTGCAATTAAAAAACTCTCAAGATAATCAATAATATAATATAATGAATTAATGACAAATCCTCTATGAATTATTTAAAATACTACAACTGAATTTTACCAAGAATATTTGCTCATATGTTATATCTTCGTTTGTCTCAAGACCTTTATGTCGAAAAACAATTTTGTAATGGTCATTGCTACCTTGTCCTCTACAAGTGATTTCAATATTCTTAAAGTTCAATAAATTTAAATTTGCTCTTTTTCGAATTCCTGCAAAACCAGCTCCATTCGGTTGTGGATTTAAAAGAGTAAAAAATATAGCACGTTGAAAAACTTGAGTAGTTTGCAATGCTAAAACAGCTTTTGACATTCCTACTGTTCTGACAGTGTCAGATATTTCCATCCAGTCATCCACATTGTTTACAGTTGTAAAATCAAAAAGTATTTCTCGATCCCTAATACAATGTATACAGAAAAAAGATTTTAAAGTATAAAAACTATTTAAAAATTTCATTTTTTTTTCAAAGATTTCAAATTTAAAAGAAGTGTTAAAGTACATAATTATATAATCGTGATTATTGTACGAATTTTTTATAATATATTAATTTTGTGTTAACAGCACTTACGAATTATTAACCATTCTTATTATATTCGAAGCGGCAAATAGGTTATAATAAGTTCGAATAACAAATGCAATAAGAAACTGTATTGTTAACATTATTTAGAATTAATAAGATGATTAGCAACTTTTACAAGGAAAGATGTTCGTTGCAGATAGTAGACATAGTACAGATTATTTCAAAATGTTTACAAAGTATGATACGGCAAGAAACCTATTTTTTAAAACAATTCTATTATGTAAAGTATCTAGAACATAAAATATTAATATATTATAAGTTATGCATTCTATAGTTACATGGAACTATTCTATTTCTTATAATAGAATATAACAGAAATTTATTTAATAAAGATATTTTGTAACGTACAACGAGTAATGAAAGTTTCAAAAGACGGATCGACAGACAGATTTTCATGTTTATTGTTACCATTAAACTTTTATAATTTCTGTAAATACTGTTTCATCTTTTCTTAAATTTGTATGTTTACTTTATATTTACTAATTTAATTCTTTAATGTAGCATAATATTTGTATACTTTTTATAAGTAATAATATGAACCTTCAGTATCCTATTGCTCGAATGCTTTCGTTGCTAATTGTAAATATAATAGGTACCAAAATGTAACGAAGTATGAATCGGCTTGTATATGGGGACAATTTTAAGTTTACATTTCATTGACGTAAATAAGTTCTCAAAATTTAGAGGCAAGTTTTTTACTTCATAATAAAACTGGAAGTATTAATTATTCATAGCATGGACGTATTTAGCTGCAGTAATCGTAAGGATATGTATTTAGAAATAAGAAAAGACTGATTCTGTGTTCTAAATTGTTTGATTACTTAACAATATACTAATGAAAGCAAGAAATCGGTAAAATATTAAAAGGTTAACCCCCAATAACAACAACAGTCATCATTGGTCCCTGTACCTGTACACTGCGGGTGAAATGTACAAATCACGAGGAAACTGTTCATTTTCAGTCTGAGTAAATAATATAAAATAAACAAAAAGTTTTACGTAACATTACAAAATAGAAAAAAATTATAGCAAATAGATTCAAAATTGAAAATATTAAAAATCAACAGTATGTTATACAGTATAAAATTACAAAAATATACAACTCACCCCTTTATCACATGAAGCATCATAATAATTGCAGCCAATTTAGAGACGTAATAAAGATTCATGATATCGTAGAAAATAACAAGTAACCAAGTTTAATTGCTGCGTATTTACTTAGCGTCGTTATACGTTTATTTTGCTTATTCATTAAACTGTATTAAAAACATATATATTTAGACGCAGTATTTACGACGTGCGTTTATGTAATAAAATTGCGTGGGAAGATTGAAGTGTTGCATATATACATATTCAAACCAGTGATTGTATTAAGTTTTGTTTATAAATGCAGAATTCAAATATTTAAGAAATATAAATGATTTACAAGTGCATATATTACAAAGGATACCCTACACATATATGAAATTAAAGCAATTGTAACAAAGCATGGAAAGATAATATTCATCCTGTTTTAATAGTATCATATTGCACTGAACCTTACATGTATAATTACATAATATACTATATTCAGAAGGTAATTCAGTGAGACATATGGTTACTGATAAATACATCCCAGTGTTTATTTTAATACACAATTAGAGTATTGAAGTCTAGGGGTTCTGGACTTATTAGACCAAGCAGAACTATTCGTTTTTAAATTGTTTCACTAATCTTTAGTGAAATTTATTTTGAGTACTCTTTTGCACTTTTTTTGCCAATACAAATGCAAAATGTTTGTACAATGTATGAAATGGAATACAGTTGTATTTGCATTTTATTAATGTTTAGTTTGTAGTGGTCAATTTTGGTTCCTTAAATAAAGATAATATAATTAATAATAAATAGGTTTATATAAATGCACCTATTTTGTAAGTTTCGTTTGGTAGCTGATAACGTAAAAAATAATTATATTAGATTTAGCTATTAGTATTTTTCTTAATTAGTAATAGATTGATTAAGCATTTTTATAAGTTTCAACATAAAATGAAACGAAGTAAAATTAATATGATGCTACAAGTAGTAGTGAAAATTAAAATATATCAGAGGGCCTTACTTATGAATTGTTTAAATTTTCAGAATAGTGAAAATATTAACAATATACAGTGTCCTAGCGAGAGAAGCTCAGCCCTTATATCTAACAATGATTTGCTATCACGTAGATTAGGTCCAGACAACTTATTAACCATACAGACATTTCTTAACGTGCCAGGGCACGAAAATCTGCAATGGTCCCAAAAGGAAGAATACACACGGGTGTGACAATAAAGTTTTGCAAATAATTTTGTTTCCGCCAAAGTTGACGTAACTGTTTACTTTATTGCCACTTCGACGGGAACAAAATTATTATTAATTAATGTGGGTATTAAAAACAGATACCAAAAAGTGAGTACATATATGTATATTACGTACCACATATGTATATATACATATATATATATATATATTACATACCATAAATATTACGATCACTGGATCCTCCGCTGGAATGCGCGTGTACAGTCTTAATAAGACTACTTCGAAGGTGATGACCTCACATGTTTAATTTTAAAAATAAAATTTTTAAATGAATTATTCTCGAAACTTTATTGTCACGCCTTGTATACGCGTTGGAACATCGTATTTCCATTCTTATACAAGATGATTGACAATTTCTACTGTCACCTATCCGCGTTGGTGCTCTCAACTTTGGTCGTAGGCACTCAAATTGTACGAGGCACTGGCATCCATTAAATTGTTTAAATAATTTCTACTTTACTCACTCTTGCATTGATAAAATTAGAGATAAGGTAGACATGGTGAGGATGTCAACAAATTGCTAACATATATGACAAAGCAAGCTACTATCGAGAGAACACTGTATTTAGTCTTCTTTCTTCCACTAACTTCGAAATATGGCAAAATTAAGAATTTTACTTTAAAAAAAACGAAAGAAAACATTTTTCAAGCTGAAGATGAAATCTGTAACTTTATCGTAAAAGGTTTATGCTTTGTAGAATACGAAAACAGGATTATAGTCGTGAAATAATATAGATGACACTAATTTTGTTTCACTATGCCATTTTATGACAACTTTTTGATGCTATTCAGAAGTTTAGATGTGTTACCAACAATTTTTTGTATCTAAGCTTATAGTACAACAGCATCCAAACTGTAAATTAGATAACAAACACGATCGGACGTGCTTAATCTTGTTACACAAATGTACTTTACAATGGTAAATATTTATCTTATTCGACTTGTGTGTCACATTCATGTTTATCATATTTTCACGTGATTAAGTAAATATTTCGTACAATGCACCTTGTACACGTGTACCGTAATGTCCGCAAGTGCAACATATTGTCTAACATTTAATTGTTTTTTTTTTATGCATCAAATTATACGACCTAGTAGATAACGTATTGCGAATCACAATAATCATACAAAAGCTGTAACATTGAAAAAGCAAAATACAGAAGTTTTCAATATAATTTACACGTATATATGTTTATACTGCGTCACGTATTTGTATATGTTTTCCTGTAAATTAATTGTAACCAGAAAGGAATTGATATGCGTTAAGTAGATATGACTTATCAAACGTTAAGGCATAAAGATAGCAGACTATTTGCTTGCTATACTTAGTATAAATCATATATGCAATAATAGTACCGATGATTTCATGTATCTATATACAAACAAATAAAGACCTAACAGGAGCAAGAATCCTTTCCACCCTGCTGTTCATTAGATACACCTTGAAGATTGGTACGTCCCGGTTGACTAGGATTGTGTTGAACTCCAGACTCTGCTGCGTTCAAGTCCAAACTGTAAACAAAAAGTGTGATACACAGTAATTATTTATAAAGCAATAGGACAAAATACTAATATATAATTTCATTGCAAAGAGAATATAATAAATATTTATTTTACTCACCGTCCATCTTGTATGCTTTGGAATATTTTCTTTGCTGTTTCCAGAAAGGCTTCTTCAACGTTATGTCCTCTGATAAAGAAGATTAGAAATTGAATTAAATTAGTTTAAAAAGGATATCTATAAGGAATGCATATTTTTGTTGTTATTAGGAATTATCATCGAATAACATACGTCTTTGCACTAGCCTCTACAAACATTAGACCATTTTCATCTGCGAACTGCTTTGCTTCTTCATAGGTGACGTCCCTCTGACCTTCCAAGTCACTTTTGTTACCGATTAAAAATATAACCTGTAAACATAATATATAAAGTTCTCTGTCGCCCGTATAATAAAATCATAGTATTCACAGAGTATAAGGAATATGTTATTCAATGTTTGCGCAACAATTGTAATTACACTTTACAGACGTAAATACCATTATGTAAAATATCATATTTTGCATACAGTGCTTGGATTCGTTAAATTCCTTGTATCTGTAAGCCAGCTGCTGAGATGATTATAAGTTGAACGACGAGTACTGTCGTAAACCATTAATGCTCCGGCTGCACCTCGATAATAAGATCTACAACATTCGCGTGTGTTTTCTGTTTTATCTTCGAACTGAATGTTACAGTGTTTAAACAATAATTAAGTACATGACAATACCTTGTAACTGCTCGAAAACGTTCTTGTCCAGCAGTATCCCATATTTGTAATTTTATTTTCTGCCCTGCCACTTCAATGATTCTTGTCCCAAACTCGACACCAATAGTATGTGGGCAATCTGCCATAACTAAAATATAGAACAAATGTTCATGTTATTCAGTGATAAAAGTTTATATACATAACAATGCAATATCAGTATTATTGTACCAATTTTCTGTCACTTTCAAGGGGACAATCTATTACATGTTCAAGGAACATTATTAATTAGATTACACCCATATAGGATAAATATGTACATGTATAAGTCTAATTTGTTTGAAAGGATTATTTTTTCATCACCTAACACAGAGCACATCCAAACATATGGTTGTAACTTCAATGTTGAAATGGGTATAAAAACATAGTAAAAAGAGCTTATATAAATATTCATCCTATTTGTCCTTGTTTCTAAGGTACAGATATTTCTGTATTTTGATGATTCTCACAGAAACTGACTCAGCATTGTGTTTTCATAGAATTCTGCTTTCAAAGCAAATGCAGAGGATGATAATCTCCAGCTTCAAAGCAAGCTTCTATGTCTTCAGAATATATAATATATTTCAAAATTCCAGATGTTATTCTGATAAGATACTCAATTTCTATAACTTAGTCATAATAAGAATTATTGAGATAAAACTATACGCAATGTATTTAATATTGACAGACTGAAATGTAACCAACACATGAAACTTGACAACTTACATTTCTTCTCTGTAAATTGATGCAATAAACAGGATTTTCCTACTCCCATGTCTCCTATGATGATATACTTAAAGATATAAGAGTAATTGTAAGGACCAGTTGACATTTTGTGCCTATAAACAAATAACCCACAACATATTTAAATTTTTCATAATACTAAATAATTACTTTATTACATTATACGCAGACACATTTACATTTTTATCCAAGTATTTATAAACATTTGTAAAAAAATGCATTAAATTTATATATTTTTAAGCATTATTTAAGATCAACTTAATATGCCATGCGTTTTAATCAGATCATAAAATATTCCACAAGATTCTGACACACAATTTATCTTAATACCTAATATGTATAATGTTACAAATTATAGGGTGGGCCTCTAATAATACATTCCACTAGAGTCCTACGTTACTGAGGAATTTTATAAACGTTTTGTCAACTGTACAGTTGCATAAATGGAGCAACATTATAATCAATATAATTAATGTCTATCAATTATCACGTTTCATAAAAGCATATAATGGAATAGCGACGTAAAATACGTAAAAAAAAACAAAAATAAATATTTGTACAAAACATGTTCCTAAATAAAACCTTAATAACAAAATGGTATCAGTTTATATAGTTATAACTTTACTGTCATCGGATGGTGTCGCAATAAATAGAAATTACGATGTAAAATGATACAACGGCATTAGTTGGTAAAGTTGTAAACATAATCGTTCGCAACTCAATTTTGTAATGACAACCGTTCGATAAAAAAAAAACTTTCTGATGTCAACAATGCAGCTCCCACTCACCGTTTTGCAGCTAACTATGCGTGAAATGTATTCCTATAGTCGAGTTGCAGGAGTTTCCTGAAATTGTTGGTGATACATAAACAACAGGCACCCGTACAAAAAGTACAAAATATCAACGTTAATAACGTAAATGTATTACAGTTCTTTATATCACGCGCAATATGGCAGGTCACTGTCGTTAATAACGATGGCGGCGAATAAACGTCAAACCACCTGTCACTGATTTTCTAGTTGTTCGACGTATTGACTCACACCCATATGTTAAGCTTGAACCTTTAACAGTACGACACAACGTCTATCGCGACTGAGAATTGCTGAGAACGAAGAAGTTACCCGCAAATGCAATGTTTTTTTATTGGACAATTTCGTTAGACCATAGAAAGGTAGATAGAGACGGATATCGTTCGATCATAATGGCGGTAATTCTGTACAGGCATACAAGTGGCGACCAATTGCTTCGTGCCTCTTTTGACTAGTATTTATGACTCTTCTTGTATAGTTCAATATCAGATCATCAACTGTGCTATTATAGTATTAAATATCCATCTATATTGCCGATGTAATATTCTGTAATATTGCAAGATGCTATACGAAAAATATTATTCATGAATTGATATTAGACAATTACATCGAGAGCTTTTTTAAAAGAACATGTCTTCTAAGTAAACGCATTTGAAATCCCAAACGGGTTTAATGTAATTCGTTTATTCAGTCTGCCCCTGTGATTGTAGCGTTATAACGGGACGGCATTGAATCTAAATATCAATTTCGCGCACCGTTCAGAAATTATGCTGGTCCATGTTTGATAGATCATGATAAATAACTTTATATAATACTTTTGAATTTTGCGCGTCCCGTTTAGTCTTCTTATTTGCATTCATTCAGAAATGAGTATGAAATTTCAGTAAAATGATTGAGGCAATTAAAAAGATTTAGCCCTAAGATGAACTTTATAGCTTTATGTAAACATTTACTACTATAATTTATTAAATATCGATCAATGCACATATATAATGTACAAGATTTGACGCTGTAAAAAATTACATTAATAAACCTAGATAAAATTATTGTTTATTAATCATATTATGTCAAAATGTAATATTAAAGAACAATATATCAAATTTGTTCCTTAATTAAGGTAGTTTTCTAGATAAATAAAATTAAAAAGAAATATAACATGATTATCTGTAGATTACAATATTTATTAGATGAAATTATAGAATATTATTTTAATGAATGTTAAATGAAATTTACAAAATAAAAATGTCCCATAAATATATGTATTTAATAAGCAGTACATATTTATCTCTATTTGTTGCTTATAAAAGAACATGTATATAATTTTGAGAAATTATAGGATTATATATTTTGCAATATTTTGACTGCAATAAAATGTATAATTCAGAATTAAATAAAGCTTGAAATGTAACATTGTATTAAGTTTATAACAGAGAAATAGAGTGTTCATTATTACAAATCTATATTGAATTTTTTTATTACAATATACAATTGTATTTTAATAGATAATAATAAAAATACTCCACTGAAACTATTAAAAGATTTTAAAAATGGACTTCACTGTATTTCTCCTTTCTACAATTGTATTTTACAGGCAGTGTTTATTTTTGCTGGTAATGTAAGATAAATTGCCAGCAAATATATATGTTACATTAGCCTTGACACAAGGTCCGAATGCGTTTATACATTAGTATGCAAATATGAAGTGATTAATAAGCTATGGTTTTACAGTTAAATATTCAGTAAATAATATTCAAGTTAATATGCGCTGTTACGTTTATGTTTCCTTGAAGATTAAAACTTATTTTATAATTAATGCTTTATACGACCTTTGTCGTGCGCACAACACTTTTTATAGTAATTCTAATTTTGTTGATATTTTATTGAACTTTTTATTGAATGTATGTGTATACTTTAAAAAAAATGTGTAACGTTATGTTTTATGATCTCATAATGCCTTCTATCTAAATCATCAAAATACTATAAATACTTTCAGGAATGTGTTTTATTGTGAAAAAATGGTACACAATAGTTTTTCTATCACACTTAAATTATTAATTGGCAGATGAAATAAACAATTTTAAGTACCTGTTTGTACATTCAAACTATTTTTATCGCTTAACAAAACTTTTACGTATATACATAATGTTATGATCAGTAAGATGACGACTATAATAATTATTCAAAGGCACGTTCGTATTAAAAGAATAATATTTTCTAATACCACTGGCATGTGGCTTCGATTTAATAAAGTATGAAAACATTCTAATAATGTATGAAAATGCAATGAATGATTTGTGTCATAAAAAGTATTACCAATGTTATTTTTTTTCAAATTTTTCTATCTTAATCATAGCACAAAGCACAAAAAAAGTACAGTAAAAAGATGCTAAATAAGAGAAGTGAATAATTAAACATTATAAATTGCAGAAAAACTTGGTATGAGAGTTTTAGAATCCCTAAACATTGTCAAACTGCTTAGTTTGTTCATTTCAGTTTCTATATTTGCATAATTAAATATTATACTACCTAATTGTTAAAATATTCGCTATAAAATCAGATATTTAAGTAATTTTTATGTTATTTTTTTATATATAACATCTTCATTCATCTTCGTTAAATATATTGTATGAATAGTTGTTAAATACTTAACACGAATCAAATACTTTTTTCTAGTAACAAAAAAATCGATCAAGAATCTTTGTCATTTTTGAATTTATAGCTCAAAATGAAAATTTTTTTCTAGGAAGAAAGGTAAAAAAAATCTGAATAAAAATTGCGTTCTATGGAATCAGTCTTATGCTGATCATACTTAACTAGCACAGCAATGCTACAATCTTTTGTGGTGGACATGCTACTTTTAAATGTTAAATACACAATGTATTTTTTACATCTAATGTGAAACATATTGGCAAATGATTCATCAGATCAAATTTGTTTGGCTTTAATGAATATGTTTCATGGAATAAATTTAAAAACTTTATAAACTACAAAATTAAGTGACATAACATAAGATTGTATAAATACAATATAAAAAGCCGTGTTTTGTTTAGTATGGTTGTGCGTATAAAAGTGTACATAAATTAAGCAGTATTATTGTCAAGAAGTAAATCCTTAATATTTTTAACTTCTTTATAAATGCAGAAATAAAATTATCTCAAGCTGCACCAGTAAAAGCCTCTAATCTGAAAGTACTTGTGAGGATGATGTATTTGAATGTTTGTGAATATGTGTAGAAATATGGCGTAATAGTGATGAATAATGGCAGTTACTTTAAGAATTAATTTCTTTTAACCATGGAAAACGGGTGAGTTTGTCACTTATATTCTACCGTCTTCCAATAATTCGTCGGTTGTCAGGTTAACCATAAATATTAAATTCTGAAACGATGACTCTGTATAATAGATCAAAAAGTAATGCAATTAAAAGATTTCACCACACTATGTATCTTTCATTTTCAGCACTGTTATCTTTTATTATTTTGCATTGTAAGTACTCTGAACGTAAGTAAACGTGTAAAATTTCTGAGAAAATATTTTAAGTGTACAATCATAACAAATATTTGTTATAGCTCTTAGCGTTTGAATAACGCTTCACTTTCTGGATTATCGTCTCGATGTTTTTCGAGGTTTCCAGATAATGTGGGGTCCGGCCGCCGTCTTTTAAAGAATCCAAGATTACGGAGAATTAATGTGAGTATAACAAATAATATCAAACCTGCGACCACAGCTCCTATAATTATTCCGATGGGCACAGGTTCGACATCTTGCTGATCAAGAAGATCCGGATATACAATTGTCTCCGCCTGCATATTGAAACATATTCATGTAAGTTTAAAGAAGAATTATTTCAGACCGATGGTTTTAAAATGTACAGTCCTTACAATCGCAACATCATCCTTCAAATTTTCTTGTTGTATAACAACATTTGGTGGTATAACTATTTTCGCGTTCGAACCTATTTTTACTTGATCCACTTTTGGATAATCTTCTACGAGAGTAGAATTCCATAATCTAGAAAGAGTAACGATATGTTCAATATGAAAATTACATGTTTATAATGATAAAAATGCATGTATGTACATTCTAAATTTGTATGCAATATTGAATGTTACCTTGCTTTAACAGTTATAATTGCTTCTTGTTTTCTTTGTAAATTATATATAAAGCATGTAATATCAAAGCATTTTGCAGTTCCTGCTTTGCAATTCTGTAATAAAGATTATTTTTTATTTAAAAGAAGTGTTTTTAATTATTTATTCAGCTGGTCACATACCATTGAAACTACTTGACGTCTATGACCATATTTATCAATGATGGTTCGTGTATTAACAACTTTCTCTGTATCTCTTCTCATTCTTGCACGGTTTGTATGGTTGTGTAATGTAGGAGGAGTAGATATTGCAGATTGAAAAATATCAGTATCGTCATAACCAGTACTATCTTGTAATTTCAATGGATTAACGTGTTCTGGTGGTAATATACACACACCATCGCCTAAAACTGCAAACAAAATTATAATTAGCATATAATCAATACGTTTGATCATACCTTTTATCGTATATTGCATACAATTGTAAACAATCGAAGGAAACGATTTAAATTCAAATATTATAAATCAAAGTCTTACCTTGAACGGTTGGTAATTCTTCTAAGTACAAAAGCCATTTTCCATGAGCTTTATCATTCGCAACCTCGTAAGGCCATGAAATTCGAACTTCTAAGCTGCTCACTCTCCACGGGCCTTCATTAAATACTTCATAAATATGCGAAACTTTTGGTCCAACTTCATTTAAGTGCTTTATAGCTGATTCTCCTACAACTGGTCCACCATAGAAAGCCCACTGGATTTTTGCACTCCTATAATTATTATGTGTGAGTAAACGTTTACTTCTGCATTATTTCATGAATTGTGTTGATAATACGAATTTGAAAGTTACCCTTTAATTGATAATTCTGCACGCTTCACTATAGTTGCTCGCAATTTTGTTGGTTCCTTTTCTTTTATTTCTTTTGAAGTAGAATTTGCAAATATGACAAATCCTAATTGCGATTCATTGTCTTCTAATTCCTTTGGATCAAATCTTACTTGTATATTCACCATCTTATCTTTCTTGAATGGGTTTCCAATCGAACAAGCCACTAAGGTGGTATTATGTAAATTGCAAATTACGGAATCATTGCTCTTGCTAGCGATGTAATTCAAGCTATGAGAATGAACGATGAATAATTGAGCTTCATACGCTGATTCACCAATATTAGATACATTTACATCCACGACAACTTCTTCCCTTTCACCCAAAAGAAGTTCATAGAAATTAGGTTTCACAGATGAAGCTAAAAATTAAATATATTTCGTACATTGAAACTATCACATGACTTTTATTTAATTGAAGAACGTACCTGATAAATTTAATCGAGCTTTCACTTGTAAATCACTCTCACAAATATCGTTATTGCCACAATCTTTCTGGAAGGTTGCTTCAAACACACGCGCAGCTTCTTGTTGATTCAATATAGGATAATTTTTAATGTCAGGTAAAGGTTCTCCTTCAATTGGCATAATTGGTTCTTCTTGTATTAATGAATAGTTTAGACGGAATTTAATGGGCGACTGAATGTCACGTGTATTTTCCTAAGGAAAATCCAAAATTATCGTATTTATGTTCGTTAGTTTGAACGTAATATACTTTGCAGGAAAGAATAGTGTTGGATCGTTAAGAAACCCTATTTCTAATGAATGCAATTACCTTTAAATAAATTATTTCTTTCTGACAATGCTCGAATTTCGTTGTATCTAATGTGACGACACGATTTATATAATGTGGACGTGAATTGCCAACATCGAACCAAACTCTCGAGAATTTTTTCACTCCCGTGTAAGTTTCGGCTTCGATATAATAATTCAATTTTAAATTTTGCATATCCTCTTCTTTCACGAGGGATTCCGTTTTGCAACAAGCTTCAAATGAAAAACTGCAACGAATTAACTACGTTCATATATAAAAAAAAACAAGTGATTATAAATATGATTTTATCTTTAGTAAATTCAGTAAGTTATACTTGCCATGTGTGATTCGAGTCGGGGTCTTCTGGACACCCAATTTTATTAGGATCGATAGGTTCAATTTTGTCTTGATATGTACCATCTTTCTTTAGGTAACGGACATAGGTGGTGATATCAATAATCTTTTTCGAACGAAGAAGTGCCACAGCATCGTTTTCATAGGCTCCAACTAATAAATCCGAGTATCCATTCTGATCCATGTCAATTCCCCCACTCAATGAGTAACCAAATGTTTGTAACGGTTCTGGCATATCATCAGCATGTATTACCTGAAGTTTCACAGATTTTAACGACATACACATTTCCACTTAGTGATTTAAAGCAAAACTATTAATTTTTATAAATAATGTACAATACCTGTGATGGTACAGTAATTATACCATTTTTGGAACCAAGATATATGTATACTGTGCCCTTCTTTTCATAAGGAGCTCCAATAGCGATATCTTCGTATCCATCTTTATTTAAATCCCCCAAATTTGTCAATGCAAATCCAAATCTGTAATTTAATTATATATGCACATATATTATATATTTGAATTTCATCTATATCGGCTACGGTTTCCGACAAAATAATGTGTATTAACACTAAACCTACCACGACCGGTTTTGGCGTACTAATTCCTACCTCTTTGAAGGATTCAGTAGGTTTAGTGTTAATATTGTAGGTTAAATACGGTGCACAAATAAATATTTCGGTAATATACCTTGATTCTTCGCGACCAACAAGTTTAACAGGTTTATTTTTTTCATTCTCTTTATAACTTTTTTGTAATGCTGTATATACATAGACAGCACCGCCTTCTGCTTTATTGAAGTAAAACGGAGCTGCGACTATAAGATCAGTGACTCTGTAAGGAAACAAGACGAAAAAATATCAATATCGGATGATGTACAACAACTTGCATGCTTGTATTTAGTATAGTAATAGTATATAAAAAAAGATAAAGAAAGAAGATTCTACTTGTCTCCATTGACATCCGCAGAGGTAATTTCATATCCAAAACTTGAAGCAAATTGTTCACCATCCAAAATGAGAGCAACCTCCATATCTGGCTTAAAATCTTGTCGTGTAAGTAAAACGACTTGACCGGTACCATTCGAACGTGGCGCTCCCGCAGCATATGCTAAGCCAGTACCAAAGAAATTCCCCACGGTAACTGACATTCCTATAAATTCCAACTTATGCTTTTATTGCTTTTACAACAGTTTCGTTTCATGAAATGAAACAGCTGTATTTATATTAATGCAAAAACATAGTTGTATATACCTAAGTAACTGTACTTGCTGACAGGAGAAGAATCTTGCATTGGAGCATTGTAAACAGTATTATCTCTAGTTAAAAATTCATCGGAAATTGTGAAGAGGTACAAAGTTCCACGCCATGTGTGCGGACCTGGCGTGCCAATAACAACACGATCTTCAGCGGTGAGGATGCCACTAGTTCCAGCTTGACAATACCCAAATTGTTCATGAGCTCTAAAACACAATTAATGGATTTTATTTAATAAGTGTAACAAAAATAAATCGAGTAATATGTGCTAAAGCGTATGTTTGAAATATATTTTCATATTGGACGTTTATATTACTTGTTTGTTGGTTTTCCAGAGCAAGGTTTTTTTAAATCTTGATATTTCAAATCTTGAGTTAATATGTAACACTGTCCTTGGCCCCACTGTGAATCTGCTGTTTTTACAATGTGTCTGTGTGCACAAACCTAATAAATTCAATAATTAACGGTGTACTTTATAACAAAAGCAAATATTACGAACAAAAAAATACACACCATTACTTTACCGCCGGAACCTTGACTACGAACGGTTACTCCTAACCATTGATTATCTTTGATTTCATCATTACCTGGTGGCACTAGGTCATCAGATTCAAAACCTAAAAAAAATGAAAAGTGGTTAGTCTACCAAACAGTGATACTCTGGTAATGTTTTAATTAATTTTCTATATCATTTGTATTTAAGTACGAATGTAGATATCAAAACTGAATCTGGTATCACTTAAATTTAATGTACCTTGTTCTTTTAAGCACCTTACAAATATTTTACGACTGTAAATGATAGAGCAATTTTTAATTTTTTATGACTCGTATGACCAGCATTTAATGAATATTGTTCTGCTAAATAATAACGAATATAATTATAACGAAACTATAGAGGCATGATGTTATGGCATATGTTAAAACAGAAGAATGTTTTTTTAAATTCCTCTAAAATATGAAACAAGATATAAATAAGAGCATATTGAATCATTACATTATGTTTGAATATTTGTAACAAAACCACTGAATATAAAGTAACATGCTAGAACAGATAAAAATTGAATATGTTATTCATGATAGCAAGTATAAAGATGCACAGTTAATTAATTGAAAACAATATGATTTTTATTTTACATACAAACACAAGCATAAAAACATTCCATGGTTAGTAAAAATATGACAGAAAATTGAAATTGAAAATAATATTTGTTAAGATAATAGTCTTTAGTTTATCAAAATGCAATTAATACAATAAAACAATCTGTATATTGTAAAGTACGATGCTGATGTAAGAATTAGCATAGCAATCGAATGAAAATGTGTGCAAAATCAATCAAATATTTTATAAAAATTACAAAATTGCTCATTCAAACAACACCATTCATTGACTTACTTGAATCATACAGAACTCCTTCTGCTGCTCGTTAACCAACACATAATTTAACAAAAAAATAATCTTATTATGTATACAACATAAAATAAAAGCTCAATGACTTAACAACTCTATAGAACAGTAACATAAAAAGTAACATGCATGTCGAAATAACATTTTACAAATATATAATAAAATTATAACAACAATGCGTTTCTCAACTAACAAGGGAACCCCAGTGATTGATACACGCCGATTTTGATGCAATTTTTGTACAAATGTTCCTAAGAGTTTAGCTATTCGTTTGTGCCCGTTTTTTAGTTTAAGGGAGAAATCAACCTTTTTATCCGAGTTGGCCCTTCTATGTAAGTGCTTATACATCTTGAACCACAAAAGATATAAAAAAATTGTTTTAATAAAAGTTATACCGTTTCTTGAGGCCTATAAATCTGTGCAAGTTTCGTTGAAAAAATAATTTTTTTACGAAAATTAAATTGCCCATTTTTTTGATAAATTTTTCGTAAAAAACGGGCACGAATGAATTGCAGCGAAATTCTTAGGTAGGTCTAGTGAACATTTATATAATGTTGTATCAAAATCGGTATGTATCAGTCACCGAGGTTCCCTTGTAAGTTTAACTTCTCCTGTCTCTCAATAATGATGCATATACATATTACAATGAACACTGATGTACTTAATGTCATACATAACTGTCAACATTTCAATCAAAAAGTAATTTTGAATGATAAAGAATCCTGAAATATAAAATAAATTTAAATTTATTACATACTTGATCGTCCATCTGTGATCACTTGAGTACAATCTCTTTCAAGTGTTGTCAATGGACACTGCCATAAGGCACCAGATCTATTGGTTCTTGGTTGACTGTTCTGACCCAATGGAGCACCGATTAACATCCTGCAAGGATTACATAGCTTGAGAAATTCTTCACACAGAACATCTAATTCATTCCCATTTACATGATTATAAACTGCATATGATAAAAATATTTTATTTAACAAAACCGTCATTTTTTACACTTGCACACAAAATTACTTTCTTTCAATTACTAGTTACCAGATTTTAACTGTGTTGTAATTAAATAAAGTAATAAATACTTGTAACACATGAATACAATGTAAACACAATAGGTCACTGACATAACAGTAACATCATTGTTGCATAATTTTATATGTGATAAACGATGCTGTATTTAATGTATATTAAATTTATGTGTGACAAACGATACTCACCAACTTTTCGGTTTTTTTAAGGCATTATCCGAAATTTCTTGATGTTCGGCTACGGAGTAACCAAAATAAGAGCCATTCAACCCTCTTTTAATAACAGGTATTCTGGGCTCTAAATTAAAAGTGTACACCAAGCATACGTTCAAAATGAACCAAGTTAATTGATAACTTTTCATTTTTGGTTAATTTCAATCCGTCGCGTGCATGTAGCTTGTGGCTTATAGAAAACTGTAAATGATTCTCGGAGCCTCTTTGCGCTCTTATCGATGGCACTATTTTTGTATACGTTCTTTAACTTTATCGCCGTGCCACTCACGTACCTTTTGGATGAGCACAGTGGAGCACAGAATCCACTGGATCCACCCACGCAATTCAAGTATTTTTCAGTAAAAATTATATTTCGTTATGTCTTTTGTAGAGGGCAGCATAAACAGATTGATGACATCTTGCCGGCTAGTTCGATGAGATATTCTCGTGGGGTCTGCTTGTTTTACGAATTACAAGTGATCCGTAATTTGTTCTTACCTTCATGAAAAATAAATCATTTTTATACATTTTTTAGAGATGTATTAGCTACCGAAAGAAGATTCACGTGAAAATAAATTTGTTCTTAGTATTTGACTTACTAAAATTATTGCTAAACTCTTGTTATTCAAACCTATCGACGCCCAGAATGGTTCAAGTTTGTCTTTCTGCATCTGAATCGTCTCGTTAAAAATCTTGACTGTCAATTTCACGAATTTTTCAATATCTTACTGGTACATTCTATGCATTTCATATGTTCACAAAATAGAATAATTAAAAATATGATTTTTTCAATTTCCAGAAGTATCCTCTATATATGACTTCTCAATCGACTTCAACTATTATGATCATTGTTATTATATTGTAAATGTTTATGCAACTTCAAAGTTGTATAGATTTAATTTCGAAAATGAAAGACATATAGTAATTTATATTTCGTATTGCAAAAATTTATGTTATAATGAAAATAAAATTAAGTTCGAAATTAGTAAATTTGCGTAATAGGACTTTCACGTTTTTTTAACACTAATATTTGAAGTTGAAATATCAAAACTGTAGTACTTATAAAATTCAAATTATTTGTTATTTGATCTTTATCAGAAACATTTTTATAATTAATTTTCAGAATAGAGATTTGTATTACTTATGAAAATATTAATGTTGTATTGAATATCTGAAAGAATAAGAATGATTAGCGTTAAACTTGTGTATCTAGTTGTATCAGGTTATGACGCCAAAAGTTGTAACCCACGTTAGAATTTTTGTTTGTCAAATTCTGATTATAAAAGGTCTGAATAATATTTATGGAGAAAAGATAATTGAACATCTCCAAGAAATGCATTATTTTAAATATAGAAAATTTATTACGGTATTTAGTACAGTAAGAAATATGGGTAAAGACATTTTGAAATCAAATATCTTTTTTACTTCTTAACCTAATAACCTTTTTCAGTATTTTTATGATTATTGATGATTAATAAATGCTCTTAAACATTTGCAACTGTTCGTTTAACATTCCAATTATTTGACAGCCACTGTCAAAAGGTTTTACCGAAAAACAAATATTCTATCAAGTGGTCGAAAATTTGAAATTACGCTTGATCAAAGGAAACTGAAGACACCACAGGGAAAAATATTCGAAGTGGATAGCAAACCACTTGCATTAGCAGTAGCTGCAGAATGGGATGCACAAAAGGAAATTATTGACAAAAGCAGCATGCATTTGGTAAATTTCTCTTTTAAACTTTGAATCCAACAAAAATCATTTGATATTAGAATGTGATTTCCTCAAATTTTAATTTGCAGACAGCTCTTTGTAATACAGTAATAGATAATCCTCACAATCATAAAAAACTTGATATGGTGAATTATATTGTTAACTGTTTGGAAATGGATACACTTCTATTTCATTCTAATGTAAGTACATTATATATATGTTTTTGATAATGAAGTGTATTAAACAACAGAACAAATATTATATGATAGGAATGCGATGAATTATATAAATTACAAAGTGAAAAGTGGGACCCATTAATACAATGGTTCTGTGATAACTATGCAGTGGATATAGTAAAAACTAAAAGTATAGAGGCTCCAACAGTATCTATAGAAACCAAAAGTGTAATGTTAAGACACTTAATGTCTTTCAATTATAGTGCTGTTCATGGTAAATAACTTTATTGTTAACTGTACAAATACAATTTTACACATACCGTTTCACATGATAAATAATACTGTTTTATTTATAGGTTTCATGTATGGAGTAGACGCAATAAAGTCTGTGATTCTCACCTTAGCTGCAGCAGAAAGAGTGATTGGAGTAGAAGAAGCAGTAAGACTCTCACGTTTAGAGGAGGATTTCCAAGTATTTGTTCATTTGTCATCAAATCATTTTAAATTCAATAATTTTTCAAACTTACTATTATTGCTTTTGCTCTTTTTGTGTATTATAGACTTCTCACTGGGGAACCGTGGAATGGTTTCACGATCATAACAAGTATGATTTACAAACTCGTTTAGCTGCAGCAATCTTATTTGTGCATTTTAATTCTAATTCAATGATAAGTCAACCGAAATATGATAATGAAAACATCAGTTAACGCACAAAGATTTTGTACTATGAATATATCGGACTGTAATGAAATGGTAACAACATTTTTCCTAATTCGAGGAATGACAAGTGGATGAATCGACAGAGGAAAATGCTTCTACTGGTACGGAACAATCAGAACCCATCCACTCTTTTGTACAGATACAACTGAAATAATTAATATAACGTTTAATGAATGGATCAGATACAGAAGATTGTGTGTTAAGCCCAAAGAAAGACTCACCTGTACGTAGCACCATGGTTTAAACATACCGCACCATTTTTACACGAATGGCGGATACATTCGTTCCGGTGACATTCACCGACACCGCGACCCGTGGCTGGACTAGAACTTGTTATTGGATAAATCGCGCTGTCGGTGCGTATCTCGATGTCGAATATACAACCAGAGAATCCGGTGTGAAGGGGTAAATCATGGGGTAAAGACTCAAAGTTTCTTGACTTGTGTCCACCTATACCATAGTTGTAATATTTCTTTTCGATCGTACTCAATTGAAATTGCATAGAAAAAGTGTAAGATAGTTTATAATATTTTACAAACTCGATAAATATATCATATATACGTCAGATGATGATTTACGTTATCGTTTAATATCAATTTCGACGGATAAACGTATAAAAATAAGAAAAACGAACCAATATAAAGAATCGGTGACACGTCCAGCCGAGTCATAGATCCAACCACTCTGCCGGTCACGTTACCAATGCCATCCACAGCGAGCCACGCATCCCGACCTCTTCGTCCCACTCGAACTGTGTGCGCTATATAACTCTTACTTGCTGTTGCTGTCATTGTCACAGCGTTCAGAGGAACACTCGTGAATATTCTACGTACACCTACACAAAAAACCTTCACGGTAATATCACGAAACGAAACAACCACATTCACGGGGAAATGTTACGATGCACTTGCAGTTTACCCGCTCCTAAATCCCAGGTCAGCATGATGTAACCGCGAACGTATGTTATGGAAAGATGGTCCGATAGATCCTGCCGTGATCCGCTTTGCCCTAAGTAAGCTATCAGAGATATTTGCTCGAAAGTTCGTGGTATGAGCTTCATTTTCAGTTCCATGGTGTCTTTTATAGAATTCGAGACACCGTATGCGACGTACGACGAAAAACCAGGTACGAGTACCGAGAACGACGGACGGTTTATAATCGTGTCTGAAAGTTGCGGTTTTTTTTTTGCGATGTGTATGTTGAGTCACTTGAGTGTTCCATTTGGAATAACTCTTTTGTATTTATAATATCTTAAGCAAATATCTAAGAGAGAATCTCTTGTGACTAATTCTGTATATCTGGCACTAAAAAAATGATTTTATTGTAAATCTTGTAGCTTCTGAGATTTTAGGGTCACGCGAACCCACCGCAGTCTGGTCGGATTAAAAAGAAAATCAAGATGACATTAACACTAAATCTTCCACGACCAGTCAAATGATCGATTTTGCTATTTTAATTCCTGTCACTTTGATGGGTTCAGTAGGTTTAGTGTTAATGAATTCGATGCCTCGCCGTTAACCTTTGTGTAGGTAACCAAAATATTCACGGTTATTGAGTAATCGGAATACTTCTATTCTGACAGTTCGAAAAACATAGATAATTTTACTTTCATAGTTATCCTTTCTAATAATGTACCAAGTGCTGTTTTAGACAAGAACATAAAAAATTATGAAAGGACATTTAGAAATGGGTACTTAGGTACCCGGGTACCCGGTTGCCTACACAAGGGTTAAGTAAAATAGATTTTCTCTTAGACATATCTTTCTGTGATATTAAAACTGAAGAAGTGATTTGGATCGCTTAAGTGACTCTAATGTTACCTTCTTCGCATAAGAGTCCATGAGTTCCAAGGGGACAGACACAAACGAAACCCGAACCAGGTGAACTGATGCATGTCGCGCCCAACGCGCAAGGATTTTCGTCGCAAGTTGAACGCTCGCAGAATGGTCCCGTATATCTGTCCAATCGAACAACACTCTGTAGTTGTGATATTTCAATGTAACATGTACCCAGTATGTTTCTAGTTACACACGTAATTTACAAGTAATGATCTTACCCGGGTATGCATCTACAACGTATTGAACCGTTCGTTTCTTCGCATGCACCGAAATTCTGACACGGATTCGAGAGGCACAGAAATGACACGCAGTCTTCGATTTGAAACGTTTCCGTGGAATCGTAGATGAAGTGACGTGGAACGTCGTTTATCTGTAAAAACATGAAATAATTGGAAATTCACATACGCAACCGTATACAGGGTGAAACGAAGAAAAAGTGTTTGTAACTTTTAGGGTAGATAGTACTTGCCAAATGATGACAAAAAGTCCTAATAAACATGGCTTGAAGAATTAATATTTTCACAGTTATAAACAATTTTTTATGTCGGTTAAAGCGAGAGACTTTTTCGGTTCGAGAACTATCGTATCGTATGGAATCACTGAAAAAAATTTACAAAAAAACTAATAAAAGTTGTTGAAAACCTTCTGTAGCCAGGAAAAAAACTGATAAGGAAATCCTATGTTTTAAAAAAATTGTTTATAAATCTGAAAATATTAATTTTTGGACATTGTTTATTAGGACTTTTTTTCATCATTTGGCGGGTACTATCGACCCCAGAAGTTACAAACCATTTTTAGGTGTCACCCTGTATAGTAACTGATTGTGAGACTCAAAATTTAATTTATCCTTTGTTTTCTTATTTTTATTATGTATATTTCTGACAATTTTTAATACGACCATTGGAACTCTACACATATTGTATACTGTACATGTATATGTATTATGTATATTAGAGACTCTGTTCGTACGAAGTGTCGCAAAGATATTTTAAGTTAATTTCTTTTCTAATGAAATTTGTATTTTCTTTTAATACTAGATTGCACACTTTTTGAGCCTCATTTTAAATGGGTCCTATTAAATTAGAGCCAATTTGCAAGTAACGTTTAATACAAGTACTTTATTAAAGAATGAAGCAAACCTTTAACGAGTCCATGCAACCGGTAAATCCCATGGAGACATGCGAGAAATACTGCGTAAATACTAACGGTATACCTCCTAAATGTAAATTGGCGTATCGTGGGAGGTTTCCTTGCAAGGGTAAAATTTGTTCACCGCTAACTGCTGTAGTCCCATTCACTAACAATCGAGCCGAGCACTTATGGGTCTCATTTCGAATAAAATACTGAAACCTATATACAAAAAACAGAACATGTAAATACCAAAGCCTATTGTTTTTTTAGACAACTTTTGTCATTATTTGTTGGCAATTTGCTCGAAATTTGTACACAACTGGTTATCAGGGTCTTAACGGACGAAGTCTTTTTTGTAATTCTGTTTATCGTCCCTGATAACCAATTGTGTACAAGTTTCGAGCAAGTTGCCAACAATAAATGACAAAAGTTGTCTAAAAACAACCATAGCCATCTGTTTCTGCATTTGACTTGGGTTTTGCAGGTAACACCAGCTGACAAAATGGGAAAGAAAATTGGCAGAAAATCTTGCAACATGACCTATGTCAAATTGAGGGCAAAACCGGAACAATTTGCTATCCTATGGTGCTGCCAATGTGCGCGCAAGTTGTTTATAGCAAATCTTGCTTCAAACTTGTAGCCATAACTTTATAGCAAGCATTGGACAAAATTTGGCTTTGCAGGTTTGGTTGACTGGGGTAAAATGGGAATTGGCAAAGAAATCTGCAGTCTATTTACTGTTAGCTTATTACATAACTATAAATTAGTTAACATTAATTTATACAATTTATAAATTTTACCGTTTTACCTTGTGTCGACGTCCACTTCGTAACCGTTGTCGATAGGTGAGTCAATCTCGCCCAGTAACATAGTTTCCAGGCCGCAAGAGAACTGGAACTTCAAAGAACCGTACTCCAAATACACTAACGCGTATTTCTCATCGTCGAAGTACACATGGAGTATAATACCATCCTTGAAACGCGTTCGGAGCCTCACGAGGATCCTCATTGTCGCGTTATTGCCGTTCGAAATCTCTACATCGACACGCTGTCTCACGTAGGATTTCCCGTTGAAGGCGGCCCGCGTTATACTCGGGCCAGTTTTACAGTCTCCACGATTTGTACAATTACACTGGAATCAGATGGTAATATTGTAGCAACATTGTTGGTCATTGTGAACAGTGTCGGATTAACCACTTGCGCTGGCAACCTATTCACAGATGCGTGTAATTTTGACGTGTGTGGCATGTCATTCCAGCGCAAGAGGTTAAGGGGGAGTCTAAAGGGGTTGTAGCCCCGGGTCCCACGTTCCAGGGGGCCCCGTTCTGAACCTTCCATTTCGTTATGATTAAATGTTATTTAATTTTATTTAAAACAAATTTCATTTTTTGAAAATTTATGCATTTTTTTGTGCTGTATTACAAAACCCCCCTCCCCCTCGACGCTTTTTAAATAAGGGGACCCCCGAAAGTTTGATAGTCCTGGGCCACAAAAAATATTAATCCGGGCCTAATTGTGAAGATCATAGGCCCAGATAACACAGTATTCCCTCCCTATACAGTCAATCCTCGATGACTGTTCGAAGACTCCTCGGCACTATTAAGAAGGGGTTTCTAGAGTATCCGAAATTTAAGTCTTGGGAACATTCCAAGGATGTTCGAAATGGACGTAGGACAGTCAGATATAAACCGAACATGAAACAGACGTCTTTTGGATGTACGGTGCCATTTGGGAATATGTTTATTAATGCATCTCATATTTAGCAATTCAGAATTAAAATATTGAGTCACTAGTAAATCGGTGTCTAGAAATGGTGGGAATGTAAAATTCGAATCTCGCAAGGTCTTGGAGTAGGTTAAGCTTTTGACTGTACTGAATTTCATCCTTACAATACTATCATTACGTCCTGGTGAGACCGTGGAACTCGTACACAACAGCCCTTGGCAGCCGGTACTAGTTTGGACAGTAGTCGATGATGGCTGATCTTTCGTGGAAAATTCACCCTCCTCACTGGCTGTAGTACCATCCTCGAGGACTGGTCTTGTAGAAGTACTACTTGTTATAGGCGAGGAGGTACTATTAATCAACGGGACCGTGGAAATTTCAACGTTCGTGCTCGGAGACTTCGATGGCTGCGTGGACATCCCCTTGTCGGTGAACGAGGAGGCTGTGGTATTTGGCACTTCTGCGGTGGACGAACTTGTATCTGAATTTGTAGTGCGCCAGAATTCTGTGAAACTCGAAGCGGATGTGACAGTGGAGAACAAGACGGTTTCCTTTCTTTCAGTTGTCGTTGTTTCTTCGGTGGCCCTTTCGACGGACGTGGTTACCATGGGGTTGTACCTAAGTGAAGTGGAGTCATACTGTATTCGTTTTTAGACAATTAAATTACCACACCCAGAAAGTATAATTAGTGAGAAGGATGGAAGGAAAGGATAAAGTATGGATGGAAGGAAAATATAAAGTGATAATTTTACAGCTGTTTGAAATATGGCCAATTTTGAAGTGACCATATTTTATATAATTTTTCGATAAAGAGAACAGATAGGACTATATCCTCGTTCATTTCAAAATGTTTCGATAGCGCCCTGCTGTTATAAAATTGCATTTCTTTGAAACGATTAGAATAAAACAGTTTGGATTTCGTTGAAACTTGGATATGTTGTGGTCTTTAATGGTATATAAACGCATTTCGATGGATTTTTGAAAATGGTTGATTTTACAGCTGTTTGAAATGTAGTGTCAACCTTTTTTCAATAAATTATAACTGTTGAATTAAGAAACTGATCGAAATGAGCTCTGTAAGTGCTTAGAGTGGAGACATAAGAGAACCTAATAAAAATTATCTCAGTTCAAAAAAAATATTTTTTCATTATTTATCTTCTAATCGTTTCAAAGAAATGCAATTTTATAACAGCAGGGCGCTATCGAAACATTTTGAAATGAACGAGGATATAGTCCTATCTGTTCTCTTTATCGAAAAATTATATAAAATATGGTCACTTCAAAATTGGCCATATTTCAAACAGCTGTAAAATCAACAAATCTTAAAATTTTGAAAATCCTTCGAGATATGTTTATATACCACTAAAGACATTAACATATCCAAGTTTCAACAAAATCTGAAATGTTACTTCAAAAAGTACCTGACCCTATCACAATTTAAGAACAGAAGAACCGAGTTTATCAAATTGCTGGCGAACCAGTTACTATTATACACACATCAGGAACGATTGTTCGATCCAGTTAGGTCTTTCTCAGTATCGTAATTCTCACACAAAATATTTTACCCTGTACTGGACGTGTACTTCCAGGTGCTGTTCATTTCAGAAGGGGTTGTCTCACTGACTGCTACGGATGTCCCGATCTCTTGATAAACCGTCTCGGTACTACTACTCTCGTTTCGGGGTGATTTTTGTGTCACATATTCAGTTTGAACTCTGATCGTCGTGGATACAGGCGAGACCTCACTCGTGACATCCGGGAATGTTCGGGGTTCCATCGAGACTTTGTCGGTTTGGGACATTTCTTTGGTCGTGATGGAGTACATCGACGACGCGTCAGTCAGAATTTGGGTGGTATCCGTGCTGCTGCTTGTTCCTTCAGGGTCCTTGTCCATGGTCGTCGGTGATTCGGTGAATGGGTACCATTTCGTATAAGAACGACCAGTTGTGGTGTCCTTCGAGTATGTCGAAGACGACATTACCGTTGAAGTGCTTGTGAACGACGACGTATCTGTTTCCGGCTCCGTCGACGATCTCGATGGCAACTGAACACTGGCAGTGGTTTTCTTATCGCTATCAGTCTCGTGCGTTTCGTCGAACGTTGACGATGTAGTGGTCGACGATGGAAGATCATGCGAGTCGCAGAACGGTCCGCTGTAGAACGCCGGGCAGGCACAGGTGAAGCTGTTTATCCCGTCTACGCAGGTGCCGCCGTTCCCACAGTTCGCGAACTTCGACTCGCAGTCGTCGTATCTCAGCTCGCACAATGGGCCGTGATAATCCGGGACGCAGTAGCAAATCGGTCGTTCGTCCTCGAACAGGCATACAGCGTCATTCTTGCAAGGATTCGCCTCGCAAGGCACGATCGTCTTGTCGCAATCCTTGCCCGTGTAACCTTGTACAGATCGTTATTCGACATTAGTTATAGGCAGGCCCGTTTCAGGTTGTTAGCCGCCCGGGTGCAAAAACAGTATCGTCGCCCTTATTACCTTAATATTATTCAATTAAGAATTTGATATGCAGTGTTTACTTTTATATATGTAGATATATATTTTTTTTATTCCACATACAAGTACTAAAGGAACACAGTGTTTGTAATAATGATGTTATGGTTGATAAATAACGACTATTAATTGCCTACTTATTAATTTAATCGTTGGGAAAACAATTCCACAAGGGTACGGCTTACACCCGAAAGTCTCAACAGTAAGAATAGCATATAATGTACGTACAAATTAATCGAAATAACTTCGTTAAAGATTAATAATTTTAAACCATTTTGAAGGTGTCTCGCGGCGCAACTCACCGAACAAACAGGCGCACGTGTACGAAGAGGGCACGTTGATGCAGAGGCCGCCATTTTTGCACGGCGATGTGACGCATTCGTCGACATCCTCGTCGCACAGCCTACCAGTCCATCCTTCGGAAAGCAAGAAAGCCCAGATAGCACATGACGCCTTGAAGACGTCCATTTTACGGATATTTTAGGTCTAAGGCGTCTTCAAGGCGTCATTAGGCGCCATTTACTATCTAGGAACGGGACTGAATGACGAATTATTTCACGAGTAGTCAAGACCGTGGGATACCTGCCTTCGGGGCAACGGCAAAGAAACGAGAATCCAGGACCCTCCACGCATTCGCCCCCGTTCTTGCATATCGTGTCGTTACAGACCGATGCGTCGATCTCGCAGTAATCACCTGGCGGGAAAAATAGACAAGCGGGAGCGTATAGAGAAAAGAAAACAATTTTTCAGGCTGATTCTCACGAGTTTCGTGTAGTTGCTGGATAAGACCCAACGAACTCGTGAAATTACCACTCCGTGAAGCGGCACAGTTTACGAGGCGAGACCTAACTCTATGTATCAGGGCACATAAACGGCATTCTACGTGGTTTTAACATTCCACTGCAAGAAACGTAGAAAACTTTTAAGTCTGTCAAGAAAATTCTTATATTTTCTTTTATATTCCAATACGTTTGCTTTTATTCTTTAAGGATGTATCGGAGGTATAATCTTAGACAAAAGTGGATGAAATTTGAAATACTTGTTTATCTACGCCTTCACGCACAATAAATCTAGTTGTAAGGAACTCAAACGATAGTCTTGTTTCTACTCCTAGAAAAGTATTTTTCACTTTAATAATGTTTGTTTCCCGCATTATTGGTGGTTTTTTTTTGTCATTTATCAGCCTTCAATTTTGACAGTGAAAATGCCCTGAATTCAATTTTATAGCATCAAACTTTTTTAAAATTACAAACATTATTCAATAGTTCAGATAAACGAAGTGTGACTTCGATAATGTCAAAAAAGATTCGGGCCTGCTTTCTCTTGAACTACGAAGAAGGTAAGGAAAGGGTGCTTACGATCATCGAGAGAATTTCACGAGTTTGTTGTATTTTGTACAACAAATGTACCTGAATATCCATCGGGGCATTGGCAGGTGATGCCATCGTAATCCAGGCAGGTGCCGTTATTCAAACAGGGTTGGTTCGAGCACTCGCTGTACTTTTGCTCGCAATTCGTTCCTGCGATTACAACATCAACGTAACATTATAATATAAAAACTACCCCTAGGGAAATATTGGACGTGGATAGTGTGAAAATCGTGATTGCTGGAGTAAAATAACAATACTTTCAAAACAACATGTCCGTGTTTCCTGAAATTTTACCTGCAAGATTAGCTGCTATTGAGAATGGAGAAATCAAAATTAACTCCAGAATGTATAAGACTAGTTATAATGATTGTATTAGGTTGATACAAAAGTTCGTCCTGTTGTTGGATCAGTTCTTTAGTCAGACACCTCAGAACTTTTATGAGCGCGGGATTATGCAGCTACCGGAGTTAACCGGAGAGATGGAGAAAGGCCATCGAACAGAACGGTACATACTATATTGATTAAATGTAATTTTTAGTAAATAACATTTTTCTTCAATTTTTATCAAATAGGACAAACTTTCGCATCAACCCAATATTAAATAGTTGTGTTCATTATATTAGTTATATTAATTAATTATATATTTGTTGAAAAAAATCGATAGAAAGGTATTTTTAATTTTGGCCACGAGAAACCGCTCTCCAAACCACTGTGCACTGGTCCTCTTGGATAGTTTGCCAAAAACGGGTTTCCCTTTTTATTTGTTCAAATCTTAATCGACGTTCTATATTATATTATACCGTTTGATCACTTCCGTGCCCTGCAACACTTCGTACTTCCGTTCTCCATGTCCCGTGTTATATCGGAAAGTCAACACTCGTGCATCATTTAATCATCGTCCGCGTAAACACATCGGACGGCCTCGATTTACCACGGCGGAAAGTAAACGTTTTAGTCAGAGACCCTTAACTATTATAACCACAATTTAAAAAGTGATGGTATAAGAATTAATATCTTTGTGTGAATAAGTTTGGTTACGAATAACCATTACAAATGATTAAAATTTTGTTTTGGTTATAAATAATAGTTATCGGTGACGGAAATTTTTATTGATTACGTATAACCAATGTTGGCTACGGAAAGTAGATTGGTCATGAGTAACCATTATCAATAAAAGAAATTGTTTTTGGTTGCACGTAACGATTATCGATGACGAGAATATTATTTTGGTTACCGATAATCATTATTAATTAAAGAAATTTTTTTTAGTTACACGGCAACCAATGTCCATGACAAAAGATTTATTTTGGTTACTTTTAATTATTATCAATTTTATTAACGTTACTTTCATTAACGTATCTGTATTTTACCTTAAAATATATAAATTCTATAATTCATTTTGCGTCACTGATAGATACGTATAATAATTTTCGTAGCTAATACTGGTTATTTACAACCAAACAAATATTCCGTCATCGGTAATTGTTATTAATAACCAACAAAAATTTTGATCACTTATAATAGTTATTTGTAACCAGAAACAAGAAGATAGTTATTTGTTGTTAAAAATCTATATTTTTTATTCTCGTCACTTTTTGAAAAATTTCTTCAAGGTTTATTAATATCTGGTTTTCAGTTAAATGAAAATTACTCTTTACTCAATGACGTTCTTCCCAAAAAAATATTTTAAATTACTGTTATTTTTGGTCTCTGGTTTTAGTACGTAAGTAACGGAGGTAAAGGAATCACGAGTTACCTACAAAACCCTCGGCACAGGTGCAATTGTATGCTGCGACCGCGTCGTTGCAGGTTCCTCCGTTCAGGCAGGGATTAGACCAGCAGTCGTCCCAGTTGAACTCGCAATTTATACCGGTGTAACCATCGATGCAGTAGCAAGAATACGTACTGGTGTCGTGCATACAGAAGAACAGTTTATTGAATTTGTACGCGATGCATTTAGGGGTCCAGTTGCGAGAGAGAGCTTTGCCACAACAGTAGCGTTGTCAGATATCTATTACCGTCACGGATCCATTTCTTGATTAGTATAGGATATAGATACCATATATAATATATTTATTATAAAGTTTTTTCCAAAATATTGTTAAATAATTATTAATGACTTTTGAAATTTATACGTAAAATTCGATAGTTCAGAGCGAGATACAGATTTAGGTGATCAGAAATTGCTCTCCTTGTACTTATTACGTTAAAAGTTAACTTATAATTTAATTATTACTATTTCAGCATTTTTGTTAATATCAAATTAAAGATAAAACAGAGATTTATTCAAGTAATAACAATTCTTTTAGATTTGAGTAATTGTTCTACTTATACATTAAAAAACGACGATAGTTACCTTTAAGTGATTAAGAATTGGGTCCGTAACGAATTCAAAGCCCAGATAGCACACAGATGGCTTAAAACGGCTTAATGACGGCTTAAAGGCGCCTCACACCTAAAATAGCCGTAAAATGGACGTTTTCAAGGCGTTATGTGCTATCTGGGGGAATCTTAATAACTTCTGATAGATTTTATTATGAGAAGTAAATTAATTTTTGTTTTCCATTACCTGTTCGTGTCCTCTAAACAAATCCCATACATACAAGGATCGCCGCTGCAATTTAACCCTCGTGTGAGACCAGAAGTTACGGCTAGCACAGTCGCAAAGACAAGGACTCTTTCATTCATGAATCTCTCTGTCGGCCATCTTGCGTGACGCATTCTGAAGAAAAAAGAAAATTACGTAATTTATGTACATATCGTAAGACTATAAACCTACTATAAGACTAATTGTAAGATTTTATGAATCGGGCTCTTCTGAAGCGAAACAACTTCATCGAACAGTTATAACTAGACTGTGGATTTTATTCATTTATAGCATATGGGGCTCTGTAAAATACAATAAAAGACAAAACTTTCGTCAGATACAACGGGGTTTATATTTTATTCTTAATCCAATAAGGTATTTAAGAGACGAAGGAAATTCCTACTTTTGCTCTTGTCTGTATGAATCACTTTATAAACTGTTATTTTGCATAAAAATCCGCAGTCTAGTTATAACATAAAAAATAATAGTCTCTGACTATAATGCATATTAAGTTGTTGCGTATGAAATGTTACTTTTCTGAGTAACAGCTTCAAGAGCACGTAATATTTTCAAAATTTTATAGATAACGTTATATACTTTCTATATGTTGGTGATAGAATCTAATTTTTATATAAATAGGTATATTCATTACATATTCTTATTCAATTTTACATGTATTTAAACTGTACATTATTGGAATACTTTTTTCCACAATTCTATGATTTCTATTTCTGTAACACTTTCATAACGATTACTTTTTTAAAATTATTTTTTATAAACAATTTATTTACAAACAAACAATCGAATGTTAACGAAAATGGAAATTGATTGTAATAGAATTGGGAGAATAAATAAAAAAATATTAGTCATCCTAATTTTTCCGTTCCTAAATTTTTCATTTTATTAGTAGAACTGTTTCATAATTATTTTTCATTGAAATACTTTTTTTCTGTCTTCCATACGAAACAGAATAATGGAGAATCACCTAATTTACATATACGTCTCATAGATACGAACCTAATTTATTCCATATATACACGTTTATCGTTCACCTAATGTTCTCCCATTGCGAAATTCAAACTGCAGAGAAAAAAAAACGTAATTTCACACGCAACGATCCAACTGAAGCCGTTTTTATTCCGCATGAATCATTCACCTTCTGCCCCGCCATCCATTCTCTCTTTCCATTATTTTTCCATATTCCATTACCTCTCTATTGCCTCTTCCTAATTCCCCAAAACGTAAAGAATCGTGAGTAATAACAACGCTCTCGTCGGTTTACACTGTCCCTCAATGACGCTACTACCCCTATATAACATCTATATATGTACTTGTTAGCACAGGTAGTACCGCAAGGTAGTCAGCTACCTGGTAGTCTTGACAACGCTCGCCTACACAAACGATGACAACTATACAGGGTGTCTTATATAAATGTGAGCCCCAAAATATCCTTTTTAACCCTCGCACAGCGAATGCAGGCTCATTTTGACCCATCTGAATTTAGATTAAGCTATTGCCGTATTCTTTGTAGTTATATTTAAATGTAATGTTCGAACTTGCAAATTTACACAAAATTTGGTGTACAATTTCCTCTTGAAACCTGCGCATAAGAGAAATTTTACTATGGGTCAAAATGACCCTGCAGTCGTCTGCCTGTTAATTATGAAAACGCAAAAAATATTTTACACGTAATTCGAATAGTACTATGTGGTCAGTATCCTGCAGGCGTTGTTTTTTTCAAATGTTGTTTTAAAAAATTTGTTTAGAAAAATTTACATATTTTTCCTTGTTGCATCGTGTAGTTCATGAAAAAATACATTCAGGTATGTACTATGATGTGACCTTCAAATGACCTTGAATCCCTGAAATGAAAACGTCGATGAGCTTGAAAACTTCGAGAAAAAACATGAAAAAAAAACAACGCATATATTATATTAGCCAGTTAATAACATTCAAATTATGTATACAAATATTTTTTCGTTGACATAATTAAAAAAGATATTTGGGGGATCACATTTAAATAAGATACCCTGTATATCGAGTGTACGCTTGCGTGAAAATTTGCTTCGTCGATAACAATTTCTTTATAATTTCGAAAACGTCCAAACGTGTCGAGTAACAACATTGGTTCTGGAATCATCTTCCATCATGCACGATACGATAAGTGAATTCTGACTTCGAGATGTCGTTGACTGCCGTCACATGTGTTGCGCTGTTCCCTAGTCTCTTGGAAGACAAACTGAAGAAATCTGAAATTTTGATAAATTTTTCAATTTTAGTACTTTGGCTGTGAGCTCATCCTGTGATTTGATTTGTGTAGCACAATTGTTGGTAAAGAATTCCATTCGCGTATAAATTAATAATAATTGAAATTAGCAATAAACGAGTTTCTCTAAACTTAATTACAAAAACAACTTCGTGTCATTTATAGATTAGAGATTAAACCCTTCTGTCTATAGCAATCCATGGCTAAATAAGTTACGAAATTATATTAAAATAACTGGTTGTAACTTTATGAACAGAAATAAAGTTATTTACAAATGTATAGACGAAAAAAGAATTACTTTTGATGTGAAAAAATAAAATACAAACTAACTTTTGTAGGTCTTCTTGCAAATTATGTATAAACTAGTATTGCCAATTTTGCAAAAAAATTCACGGACATTTAAAAGTGGATATAGGATCGTGGTACAACCATTTCCGAGGAACAACAGGTTCCCCTACAATTTACACATATCTATAAAAAATGTAGTTAGTGAGTATTCATACTAATACTAATCTGTATTTTTATAACAGTGCTGATTTATGAATAAAAAACTAATGTTTATACCGTGTAAACTTTTCCCGCACAATATGAAAATCTGATGAATTCCTGATTTATGCATCGCCTGATTAAAATAGGAGATACTGTATGTCTGGCTACGTACGGCCTTTTTTACTGCGTCGGTCAACCTGTTAAGGCGTCTGCCTTTTAGCTAGTTTTAACAATAAATCACGTCATTATATCTATATTAAAAAGAAATATACATTTTAAGTCTCAAAAATATCGCAATTCTCGGCGATTGTTACTGCCCCTCTCTGCCATTGAGCGAAACCATACCAAACAATGGGTGCAATGAACGCGCGCGCGCAACGGTTACAAAATCCGCGCTCTATTTTAAACCGAACCCACGCGCGTCACCTAACATGAAAGTATACCACCACTGACTCATAGTATACATCCACGCCGCGTGAATCCTCAGTATTCCACTCGAAAATCCTCGATGCCCAATCATCTTCAACGTTCTCATCCCTCCAAGGAAAATATGCTCCGCCTTTAATCCCTCCGGCTCACAGTAGACCATGGGTGTAACCAGAGGAGGAGAGGGGGGGAAACTGCGGATGGAAAACAGTGGGTTTCGCAGTATTTCGTACTACTCTAGAAAAAAAAATTGGATTTTGCCCCTCCCCCCTTTCCAAGGAAAAAAATTACATTGCTCCCCCCCTCTGATTTAAAATCTGACTACGCCCATGCAGAAGGCGGTGTGTACAGCAGCGAATGCACGCGTGTTGCACACGCAAATATAGTCGTATTACATAACCCGAGCATTTTCTCAAACGTGTGCAGGTATATATACCACGCGTTGGAGGCAAGATCGCGGACACTACGCCGAGCACCGCGGTCGGAGACGATGGATCCGTCGGAGACTCTCGCGCGCGCGCGCGTGCAAGCTGATTAGCGTTCGTCGACATCAGTGTTGCCAGATTTTTTGTTATAAAGTAAACAAACACTTTTGTTTAACATCGCCCGAAATTGCAATAGTGCTGTACCAAAAAGAAATCTTGAACGTGCTGTTAACGAGGTATTATTGAAATTAAAGTACATACGTACATTTTTAGTATGACCCGGGTAAAAAATGGACATACAGTAACTCCTCGATGAGTGTTCCAAGGCTCCATTGATAAGAAGAGGTCCCGAGGTGTACGGTTGACTTTTGATATTGTGATACTACCCAGATATCACATGACGTCTAATAGTCATGTGATATCTGGGTAGTCTTCAAGGCGTCATATCCTATCTGGGTAATGGTACTTGTGTTAGCCACGCGCGGCCATTAGTTTGTGAGATTTTTAATGTTCAGTGCCGAGAAGCCTTCGAACACTCATCGATGATTTACTCTACATATACAAATTTTCCCTCACTGTCAAAAATTATACTTTAAAATAATTATTTACAATTAAATACAAAGGTACTGTATTGCGGTTGCTGACAATTGTACTCTCCTACAGCCCCGGCCCGGCAATATATCAAGAGTCCACTGTACACAATGAGAATTATACGTATAAAAATATACAGACTGCCCCATTTAAATCAACCCACTCGCATATCTCCGAAACTGTTGACGATATTAAAGAATGTTTCAGACAGAAGTTAAATCGTATCAGGGGCATACTTTCTGACGTGAATAACTTTTTTTATGTGCTCGCGTAGACGTCATACGAAGGTGAATTTTGTTTTATTAAATCGAATCGTATATTTTTCAATGCATTAATTCGCCATAAGTGACTTAGTATGTTATCTAAGAAATAACGAGTAGCATCAAGTAGTGCATTGAAAAATACACGGTTCGATTTAAAAAACAAAATTGACCTTCACATGACCTCCACGCGTCCACATAAAAAAAAGTTACTCACATCAGATGGTGCGCCCCTGACACCATTTCATTTTTGTCCGAAACATTTTTTAATATCCTCAATAGTTTCAGAGATATTCGAGTGGGTCGATTTAAATGGGACACCCTGTATATAAATTCAAAATCGTCCAAGTATCGACTCCAACATTTCTTCAAAGAATTCATCACAATTTTAGCATTAAAAGTCGCCCAAATTGCGATAATTCGCCCCGAATCTGGCAACGCTGGTCATCATGAGTCTCCCGGAAGTAGTGGTGGACCCGGATGAGGTCAAGGAGCTGCTGGTGTCGCATCTGAGGACGAAAAAGATTCTACGGGACGGTGTCCAGCCGTGGACGGTCGGTTATTCGAGGCTCGGCGGTCGTGGCCTGTTCGCCACCAGGGACATAAAGGCGAACGAGCTGATCTTCGTGGATTCGCCACTGGTGATCGGGCCGAGATGCGTGGTCAAGCAACATCTTCGTATGTGCGTGCGTTGTTACAAAACCGAGTGCCCGTTGTTTCCGTGCGATCGGGGCTGCGGACTACCGGTATGCTCGACGCGTTGCGAGAACTCGCCGGACCATGCGGACCGCGAGTGCGCGTACCTGAGGTCGTTGGTACCCAGATGCGGGACCGACTGGTCCTTGGAACTGCTGCCGACCGTGATACCGATACGGGGACTGTACATGACGGAAGAGCAACGGAAATGCTTTGCCGCGTTTCAGTGCGACCAGACCCTCACGCCTTGCTATGAGGTACACAGAATGAGAGTCGAAAACTAACTATACACTATGTAGGATTGTAGGGAATCAGATATTCGAAATATTCGAATAGTATGGAGTATTTGAATATATGAGTACAGTAAAACCTGTTTTTATGCGGTAGATAGGGACCGCATAAAAGAAACCGCACAAAAAAATATTCGGAAATTTCATAAATACTACATATAATAAACAACTTTGTACGACATACTACAGAAATTTTTTTTTATGCGGCGGAGAGGGACCGCATAAAAAAAGTCGCACTTAGAAAATACGTCAATTATTTACGAAATACATGAGAAAGTGCTTCCAAACAAAATAAATAATTAAATTACACATTATAAAAGCATTTAATTTTTCATTGTATACATGGAGAAGTTTTCAAAATGCACATTACATAATTCACTGCTAGTCGTCGTAATCCTTAACGCGCATCTTCTTGTGATGAATTGGTTCACCATCTGCTAGTCTATTTAATATTAGATTTTTTGTTTCTAATGGAATTGTCTTTCTTTTCTCTTTTTTTTGGCTACAATTATTCATTTTAAGGGAGTACATATGTTTAAAAATAAAATGAAAATCATAAAAACTATATACAAATAGGAACAAAAGTAATTAATTTATTTACCTTTAATCTCACTATAAAATGAATCCTTAATCACGTGAGTCGTGGATAAAACTCGGAATACGAAGCGTATGCTGCTAGCGCGTCGAGCGAAAATAATTGAATGTACATTGTCGGGAAACTGTTTAAACCAAATGAACAGAGCGTCTTGAAGTGTATATTTATATGTACACTGATAGAAAACATTACAGTAATGCCAACGCCGTTGAAATTCATATACCGCATAAAAAAAAATCGCACAAAAAAAATCGCACAAAAATAAAATCGCACAAAACAAATCGCATAAAAAAGGACCGCACAAAAACAGGTTTTACTGTATTCGAATAGTATGAAGTATTCGTATTGTTTGAATATTCGAATACCATGAACTCTTCGTATTACTTTAATATTCGAATCGTACGAAGTATTCGAATAGTACGAAGTATTCGAATAATTCGAATGGTACAGAGTATTCGAATATTTGAATAGTATGATGTATTCGTATTATTTGAATATTCGAATAGTATGAAGTATTCGTATTATTTGAATATTAAAAGACAAAATGGTCAGAACCAACACCGACGGACAACTTCTCTAAGCGTGTCTGACTTAATGAACTTCCTGAAACAAGATCGAACTGCTTCAACGGAATGTAACGAATCCGCCGAGCGAGGAGGAACTGAAATTAATGAGACGCGTTTGCGGTGCGTTCAACACGAACGCGTTCGAAACGGTCAGCGTCCAGGATAAGGATCATTCCTCGAGCTTACGCGGCCTCTATCCCATGGGGGCACTGCAGAACCACTGTTGCGCGCCGAACACAAGACATCATTTCGACGGCGAACAACGTCTGTACGTGAACGCCTCGCTACCGATCGCAGCCGGCGAGGAGCTGACCATGTCGTACACGAGCCTGTTCTGGGACACCACGCTCCGCAGGCAATTCTTGAACGTCACCAAACATTTCGCCTGCGCGTGCAAACGATGCAGCGACCCCACGGTAAATCTACGAAGGATTACAGTAAATCCTCGATGAGTGTTCGAAAGCTAATCGACAATGAACATTAAATATTTCATAAACTGATGGCCACATGTGGCTGAGACAAATACAATTGGCTTCAGAATTCCAAGCTGTATCATTGTGCTAAACCTCATTAAAAAGTCAGCTTTATACCTGGGGATCTCTCCTTGTCAATGCCGAGGAGCCTTCGAACACTCATCAAGGATTTACTGTCAAAAAAATTTTCGATCAAACAGCTAGCAGTAGAATAAATTAAACTGATCACGTTTCGTGGTCCACCCTATATTTCCAACTTCTATGTCGATCCTTCAACAGTTGCTGATGAATCTTGTTCGATAGCAGCCTGCGAAATGTCTTCATATAGAACTGCAGGCCCCTCGAATGTAACCTTTTAAGCCTTCCTCGAAATTTCTTGAATCACCTGTGGTACTGATTTACTCTAATAATCTCACCGTATACTTGGAATACATTTCTTCTTACCGCTTATATGATAAATACTGATCAATAATAAGGTCATTAGTAATAAGTAATGAGTAGACTACGAATTTTATGCACTTATCGCATACAGGATTGCTTAAACCTCAATGTACTAAAAAGTTTAATGAATTTTAATGGAGTTGTACATATAACTTGAAATCTAACTGCATCTTTAATAAGATAAATTACTTCATAAAAGTGTGTAGTTGCATAAACTTCTGCAGTCTTACTAGACTTATTACTATAAATACTGTATTTATTATTTATTAATACTGACCGTAATAATAAATACAGTATTTATTAATAGACAATTTATTCTTTATTATTACCGTATTGCATTACGAATGCTATTCTATCGAATAGTTTCAGCCGGTTGAAGCATATTTTTTCTTTAATAATTCGAATTTATATTGTTTATTGACCGGCTAGTTGTTTGTTGGTAAAAATCCACGTAAGTTATTTTATTTATGTAACTCTAGGAATTCGGATCTAGATTAGGGGCACTCTTATGCGCGTCCGACCACTGTTCCGGAAACCTTTTGCCCCGAGACCCTCTCAATATGACATCCCCCTGGGTTTGCGATAAATGCTTGATGACTATGCACAACCGACAGGTATTTACACATTTATTTTAAAACATTTACAAGAGAACCGGAGAATGTTTTCAGTTTACCCGAAATGAAAAAAAAATTAATCTCCTAATGTGTGTACTTAATTTGTACGCGAGCCATCCAATTAATGAGTGACGTAAGTTCAATATATTGAAAAATAAATTTACTATTTAACATAATTTATTAGGGTAAACGCACCAATGAATGAACGCTTAAGAGATTTTGTAATTACTAAAATCGAATTCTGAATGATAATAATATTAATAAATATTTGGCATATGAAAATTAGATTCTTCAATGTCTATACCGTTTTATAACGTATAGATTTCAGTTTGAAAATTGGTACAATTTGATCAATTAAATTGACAAGAAAAAAATACAGATTTCACCAGTGAATAAACAATATATTAAGTAAATGAACAATTGTAACCAGTGTCGTGAAAATTGTTTGAATATGAAACAAGGAATTAAAAAAATATCAATATTTAATCATTTGCTTATTTTAATAACTTAATTTACTCGTTTTCTTAGCTGTAAGTAAATTTTTCTTAATTGAGGTATTTTCTCTTTCTTCTTTTTTTTTCTATTAGATAAGTTCGATTCGTTCCGGCCTGGCAGCTATAATGGAGGAAGCCTTATACAAGACACCGCGTCAGATTTACAAATTCATGCAGAAGGAACTCTCAATAATAATGCCAGCCAATAATTATCTCATTATGGACATAAAATTCCGAATAATTTCATATTATGGTAGAGCTGAGGGTGTTCAATGGCCAGGTACCGAGATCATATAAATGCAGGGTGTCCCAGTATTGAGAATACAACCGGTGAGGGGATGATTCTACATGAGAAAATAAGTCAATAAAAAAAGCTTCGAATGAAACAAAATTATTCCGTATTTTCAACTTATTTTCTCATGTAGAATCATCCCCTTACCGGTTGCACCCTCAATACTGATACACCCTGCATATTTTATTTTAAAGCTATTAAAATATATTATCTTCCTTGAAAACTTGTATTAGATTTAACAATCGCTGAGCTTGATACAAAGGTGAAATACTGCAACGACTTGCTGTCTATCTTAAACACATTAAATTGCGGTGACTGTAAAAAGAAAGGTAACTTATTTTAAAAAAGAAAGCAAATTATACCTTTATGCACTTATCCCTGTCTGCAAATAGAATAATGTAACATTATTTTCGAAACATTTTAGGTCTTATTTTGTATGAACTGTATTGTACAAACATGGAAAAGATGAGAAGACTACGACAACAGCAAAACATCAGAAACGAAGACGCACATTTGCCTGTACAGGTGTTTAAATGATTTATTTATTTTTACGGTTGTAATAACTCCCATATTTACATCGTATACTTCTCTTTTAGAACAATGAAAACGAGCATCTGTTGGAGAAAGCAATGACTATACTACAAAATGATGTTGTTGCAGTTGTTACCTTCGAACATGACAAACAATTTTTTAAACAATGCTAGTTAATGTTCAAATAATAGTACAAGGGAAATAGATATTTGTTTGACAAGGTAAAATATTCATCTTTTTACGTTACAAATGAATACATCTGTCTGCTATTGTCTACAAATAGTCTGTAAATGTACACATAATTTAAATTATGAAACACCTGGTAAGAATTATAATTATTAAATATACGAGGATCAAATAATTCAATTCATATTACAAGAGAGTATTAAGAAAATAATATTTTTAGAAAAAGTACACACACAACATTTTTAGAAACAAATTTTCAAAAGTATCTAAAATAATATTTTTTTTACTTCAAAGATAAGAATAAGATATCAAACCCCATTAATGTAAAGTTCTTGTAGTGTAAGTTTTATATCCTCAGAATATAACCACTAGCTGTCGTAGTCACTCTAGATGATTATAATTCTCATAGAGAATACGTTATAAAAATCGAATAATATACAAAAGGAGATATTTAATGAAAAAGCTAAATATTAAGAGAAAAATGTATCAATTTAATTTTTTCCTACATTGCACCGCTGAAGGCTAAATTGGCTACAACCAATTAGTAAATGGCTGAACAAATCTAGCATGTAACAAACTGATGCACTTCCGCCCTATGCTGTACTATATAATATAGCAACAGAGTGCAACTTTTGGAGTCATGTCCTACAAATAAACGCTTTTTTCATACAGCTTGTTGTAACAAACATTTTGCCTCCTCGTATAAAGCTGTACAAGGTTTTAAAACTCCTATATCGTAATCCACATCCTCTTCAGTATGTACATTGGTATTCCTGTAACAAAATAGCATTGCATTGGGCGTATTATATCGCATCACGGTTGGAGTATTTTTGTAGAAACGGTTAGTCAGGAGAGCTTCGAGTTATTGAGAAACAGAACTGAAAATACATATAAAGTACTGGCTACAAGAGACAGGGATGTACACTGGCAGGCATAACATAATAGAATATGGGGAAGCAAAGAATAATAGAATAATATAAGCCGCAATATTTCATAAACAAAAAGACAAGAAAAGAGAGAGGTACAATCGGAGATTAACTGTGATAGTGAGATGTGGAAACGTAAAAACAAAAAGCAATAGATACGGGTTGGGAGAAGAAGGCCTGAAAATATAGGTTAAGTAAGCAGGGTTTGGGTATACATATTAAAAGATCTAGTTAGTAGAAGTATGCTTTGTTATACATTGAACAGAGTGTACAATTGAGCAATTGCTAGAGGGTAGACGAAATGATAAAATAGTCAGTTTGTTAGGGGCAGTAAAATGAAAGAAACAGATATAAATGATTAAATACATGTGAGAGGTAAGGTATGGGAATGAGTGTCATTGGTTTCTTTTTGTATACCAAGTCCGTTTTTGGACCATAAAAGCTGAAATTAACAAATATAAATACATATTACATCGCATCATGAATATATTTCAAAACCCATATACCTATATAGAAAGTCGTCCACCGCAGGTAACATGTCATTGTTCAGGTTATGTAACAGACGATTCCGTGAAAGTGCTGTGTGCATGAACGCAACATTGTGAAGGAAAAATTCCGAATGATCTGTAAATAAATATTCTGTAATATAAGTATAAGTAGAATATCTTTGAAAAATGTGATGAACGACATACCATCTTTTCCATATTTTTTCGCTAATTTCTTCATCAAATCTTCACCTGCGTACTTCGCTGAAACACCGATTCTATGGAGAATCGCCTTGCACTGCCAACGATTTTCTGTATTTTGATTACACGACGTAAGTCTTCGTGGCTGCGTTTCCTTCACCAGACTTTCCCAATCTACTCCTAAAGCATCTCCTAAACCTTTACCACTCGTTTTAATGTCCTCTTCGAGTTCACCGTCCGAAATTTCTTCGAAGTCCATAGTTTCCATGTTCTCGTCTTCCATATTTCTAAACAGAGTTTGAGTTACAGAAATGTAAGAATTATTAATACATGATAATAATACATTCTAATCTTCGCTTAATTGTATTGGGTACAATGCATTATTTTTATAATTTAAGTAGATTTATAATTACAACTGACAAATATTACCTAAATGACATTGTGTCAGTAGTATCCTTTCCTTTTGAATTAAATACAGTTTCTTCTATAGTCTCTTTTGGAGACGACGGAGCAGTTTCTTGGGACGTTGACTGAGCATCTCGTTGCGTAGAGTCAGGAGCTCTCTTTGACCGTGTCTTATTCGAGTCAACATCCTACAAATATAAGCGTGTCAGAAGTCTATTTGAACATTCAACTAAAAAAAAAATAAGACCAGAATACGTACTGTAATGTCTTCCATGTTTAATATGTCATCTGGATCATCGCTGATATCACTAAGATCACTTTCAGTATGAAGCGTTTGCAGAGATTCATCGATACACGGGCGCTTCGGCTCAGCCACGACGATTTCTTTCGTTTCAGATTTCTCTTTTGGCAAAGTCTTTTTCGGGAAACTATCTGTAGACTTCTCTCGAGTTGTGGGCAGTTTACCCTCTGCTAGTTCCATCAATTTTTTATTGATAGGTTCTTCCTTCATACTACCATACAGAGAGGCTTGTTTTGAGCTATGAAGTGTACATTCATCTCTAGTAGTCTCTGAACTATTGTAAGTTCTTCGTTTACTAAAAATAAAAGTGAACATAACATATACTAATTCTTATTGGATTCTTAACTACCGTACGTTAGTCGAATAATATTGATTTACGAATAACATACTTATGAGATGTGGACTCTCCTATTTCGATTTCCTTTGAGCGATCGTTTCTGTAATGACCACGAATATGTACGGACTGGTTATCCCATTTTCGAGCATCATTCGATTTCCAATCCGACATGGAATTATCATACCGGGAATTCCAGTCTTCATCGTGCACCTCTGAACGCGGAAGACTATCCCTACTGTCCCACAATGTCCTTACTCGCCATTCCCTTTCCTCCCAATCAACAGGTCCGTAAGCTCGTTCTCTGCCATGCTCTACGTCTCTGTGATGATTGTCCCAGTCATCGTTGGGAACATTTTCATCCCTAATGAATAGTAAACGTAGACCGTCATAATCTTTCATACTCAAAATACGTTACAGTGTCAAGTAGCATTGTACGTATCTGCTGGTTAAATGTTCTGTAGCCGATATGAAGTTAAACGAATTTAATTAAGTATCTTTGTGTGTAACGGTAACCAGGAACATCAACAATACCACTTTCCACTGATTTCTAACAAACGGTTAATATTTCTAACATACCGAATCGGTGCATTACTTCTTAATTTTTCACCAGGGTACAGCGGATGTCTATGATGATGATGGTGATGCCGGTGATCCTCAAAGGACGTTCTATCAGCAGCCGGCACAACATACCTAGATTCCCGAGACCTTTCTTCGCGAATCCCACGTCTTTCGTCGAACGGGCTGTCGTACCTTCTTCCGTCAACAGGTTTTCTTCTTTCGTCCTCGTGAACATGATGTTCACGATAATCCAAATGCGTGGACGCTTCCTCTTGCTCGTCCCAATGCTCGGACACCCGTCCGTAATTTCTATTATAGTTTCGATCGATTTCAATGGTACGACGTGGACTAGTCGTTTCCCGCCTACCAACCAAATGATTAACTTTACCCGGTAGAACGAGCGATTGGTCACGTTCACATGCACGAGTTCGATCATACCTTGGACCAAATCGTCTGTGCCGGTCCCGGTCATAATGCCCGGGATCTATCCTGTCGATCAAGTTATCTCGTGTCGCTGTCAACGTTGCTGGTGCAGACGAAGACGACGAAGACGCTATAGAGGTTTGAACAGGAGGTATTGCGGGTGCTTGCGTCGGTGGTGGCACGTTATGTACACTTTTATCCAATAAAGACGTTCTATCCAGCGATCTTTCACGTGGGAAACGATCTCTGGGCGAGTTTACACCTGGTTTACGAACAGGTGCATCCTTATCGACGGTAGGTCTATCATATCTGCCATCGATTCGTTGGGATGACGTTCTATCTCGATCAGAGAGTGCTTTCGTTTCGGATCGTTCCCTTTCTCTGTCACTCCTACGTTCACGAGTACCATTTTTTTCGAAGGCGTTATCCTTTCCAACTATTCGTTCTTTGTCCCGACTGTAACGTGAATTCTTGTCGGTTGTCAAACTAATCGATGTCGGAACCAAGGGCGGAACATCCCTGTCCCTGGCTTTTAACGGTTCTTTTTCTCGATCCCGTTCTCGATCACGGTCGCGATCTCGATCTCTATCGCGATCCCGATCTCTATCACGATCACGGTCACGATCACGGTCACGATCTCGATCCCTCTCCCGATCACGATCCCGTTCTCGGTCTCTGTCACGATCACGATCTCTCTCCCGTTGTCGTTCACGACAACGTTCCGGTATGTCCTCCTTGTCTTTGTCGCGAATGTCTCGTTGATCTCGACCAAGTCTCGAATGACCACGCTCGTCCCTCGTATGATCCTTATCCCGTCGTTCTCTACTTTTCTGTCGTGTCTTATCACCCACATAAGCTTTATCCTCAAATTCTTTCCCAATCCTTCGGTGGCTTTCCTCCTGACTGGACACTTGCCTTGTTTTACTACTCTGTTCAGTCTTTCTAATCTCTTCCCTGTCTTTAGTTTTCTCACTTTTATGGGACTCACGATCTTTTTTCTCCATATCCCTAGGTCTGTTCGCAGAAACCTGTCTATCTTGCGTTTTCGACGGTGAAGGCTCCCGTTTCGATCTCGACGTCTTCTCGGGTGTACGACTTCGCCGAGTTTTCGTTGAAACTGCTTCTTTTGAGTGCTGATGTTTCGATCGTTCAGATGGTGGTGGCGTTCTGGAACGTATATCCTTATCTTTACATTTCAATTTTATCCTCTCGTCGGCTTTTATTTTCTCGTCTAGAGCACGATTCTTCTCTTTCTCCTGATCTTTGCCTTTATCAAATGATTTATTCTTAGTACTGTCTTTAGGTAGCTCATCTACATCTCGTATTTTTTTGTAATGCCTGTCCTCTTTTTCGACATCTCTAGCTTTGGCTAGTTTCGGCGATTCGCTTCTATTTCGTTCTCTGACTTTATTCGATGTTCCATGATGGGGAACAGATATTGAAGAGCCTAGTACCGTTGCTGGTGTAGATGCAACTGTTGCGGGCACCTGCATCGCTGGTGATCTCGTACGAGGAGTTGAAGAATGTTTTCTTGACGCTGAAGACGATGTATACTTCTTGGTTGATCTACCACTGACTTCCTTTTTCGCCGAACTACTCTCTAGCTTACGCTTCTTCTTAATTGCTGGTTTGTCGTTCTTCGTTCCAAGTCTTTTCAATTTCAATCTATGATATACACTCAGTTTTAATATGTATTACAATTTAATATGTTAACAAGTTTAATATATGCACAGTTTGTCATTAGAAATAATTGGTATCGAAAAACGGCTATAATTGGGGAGTAAAGTTAAATACGGCACGTATGAACATTTTTTCAATGATTTTTATATCTCCCGTCCACTGCCGAAGTACGTCCCATATACTAAGAAACACCCTGTATAACAATAATGAAAATAACTTACTTCCTCCTTCGTTCTTTATCTTCGTCATAATCTGTAGAACCACTATGGTGACGCTTGGATTTGATTTTTTTAACCTTCTTTCGTGAATCGGACGTTGAGCTAGAAGATGAATCTTCACTGCTGGAACTGCTGCTACTGCTAGATGTACTTGAAGTACGAGAACTAGAGGAAGAGGTCATTGCCTTTTTCTTCTGTCTCACTTTGTCTTTTCCATGAACTTCTTTATCCTTCTTCATTTGTAACTCTAATTCACGCTGTAAAAGCTGCCTACGTCTTTCTAACACTTTTTCGTCCTCGTATTCTAGATCTGTTTGATTCCACTCTTCTAGATTCAGATCAGGACTGTGTGATGCTTTTTTTACAATCTTAGAAGTAAGCCTTTTAAATGGATCCTCAATAAGCTATGTATTAAAAACATACATATGTAAATATCAATCTGTAGTAAACATTAATATAGCCTTTATTTCTCACAGAATGTCTATTATAAAGTGATAGCAATATAACTAAATGATTCTATACTTACTCCTGTTGTACTAGCAATAGCATTATCCTTCTTGGCACGCTTGGATGGACTTATTAATGTGTGAGTATTTGCATATCTAGTTATAATATCAAACAAAGAAAATATTGGTCATTTTCAAGTAAACGGATAATATTAATTCTTAATTTACTTTATCCATGAACAGAAAAATGCAACTGTGGCTATATATAAAATTCATTTTGATTATTACAAGCTTCTGTTGTGTCTGTGAACCATTGCTTTACTGCAGCTAATGAAGGAACAATCTAAGCAATAAACACTTATTATACTAAATACTTCGTCCTATTAATGAAACAATTTTATATTGTTTGATGTTAAAAAGACAAAGCAAGAAATCATTTATTCAATTATGATTCATTATAATTGAAGTATGCATATACATGAAAATAATCATCTAGTAATCTAATTAACAATATTGAAGTAGTCAATGAAACAAATCAGACCAATTCTAATAATTAATCAATTTTTATTATTTTTATGCTCTGGTTTTCTATTATCCTTTCATTTTGTTCAATGCCTTAGTAGTATGTCAATGAAGTTACCTATACCCAGAGTTGGGTAAAATGTAATCTAATTACAAAATCCTAATCACAATTACAATGCTATAGTAATTGTAATGGCCCCGCAATTACATTGTAATTGCAATTTAGATTTTGTAATTAGATTAATTTTTCCCAAATACAAATATTACAAGTTTGACACTTTATAACAAATTATAAGAGTCTGTTTCAAGTATAAATAAAATGATATATAATACAATATCATTAGTATACAATGTTGCATCTGAATGCTTCTAACTGAAAAACATATCCCATGCTATGGTAGCAGACTATCAGCAGATCTAGGAACAGAGCTACTATCGACAATTCATTGTACAAAAGACGGTAATGTATTTTATGTATTGTTTAATGTATGAAAGCTTTAAAATTATACTTGCTTGCAATTCTTTCCATACGAACAACTGCCGTTTAATGCCCAGTTTCTACAATAATCCGATGAATTTTGGCCGGCAGTAACTGCTGGTTTGGTCCCCAACCTCTCAAACACACTTGGTCGACGAGAGTCTGTATTACATTTCGTAGGGTCAACCGTTATTTTTCTTATGCTTGATTTTGACATATTATCACCATAAAACAATTATGTTTTCACAATGGAAGCACATAACTGCAGCATGCAAATATTCACTTTCTAAGAAACCACTATTAATAAGTACAGCCTTCGAAAATACAAGCACGGCCCTCGAAGAATCAATGGAATACTTAAAATATACCACACACAAACATGCAGTTTATGTTCGGAACGATTGTTTCTCGTGTATATGCCACTTTGCTTTCCCTATATCAATATTTACAAGTTAGTTCTGTTTTAAGAACTCTTAAGGACCTAACCTCTGACACGTCCTACCAAATACGATTAAAATACCAAAAGGAAACACAACACACTATAGGTACTGTGAAGTTGTAAACAGAGTGTTATTCAGTGCAGCCATTCATTGCTTTCAATTTCTAGTGATAAATACTAAAAAAAAACACCACCAAACATGGTTGCCCAATCTTCTCCTACATTCCAAATTTCCAAGAGATGTTACAAAAACAGCATTCCTGTTAATTACTGTAAAAACATAAAAAACAAGAAGAATTCAAGTCCATCCTTAACGTTGAAGCATTATATTATTAACACGTATATTTCCTAAGTCCTAAGATATTGTAATTGCATTCGATTTCGTAGAATTAAAAGTTATATTTGAATTGAAATTGTAATTAAATTGAGCTAAAAGTTAAGTTTAAGAGTAAAACATCGAGTTTATAAATCAGCACAGATTTTATTTCTGAAGGAAACACGCAGTAACAGGCAGAACCAACAGTGCTGCAAAATTATCAATTATTTTATGTAATTTCCCTGAATTCGTTACAACGTAGCAATAGATGGAGGAATAAAGTATGCATTGATAATTATATTAATTTGTGGTTATCACTTTCGTAATTCATGGTACCGAGCATGCGTAGAAATACAACCAATCAACTTTAGGCACCCTTTGGTACCTCTCTCCCACTGAAATAAGCTTCGCGCTACCCACCGAAAAACTGAGCTTACACGGCTTACACCTTACACGTGTTTACACTCCGTTTCCTTATTTCTATGTCCATGGTTGTTCAATGTTTTAAATTTTAAAACACGCGAACGAAAGATAGGTTATTTCCATTGGTTTTAATAGTGTTCACAATTTTTAAGATGTATAGCAATACACTTCGGACTTGTATGTCTTTTACTAAAAAACTTAGTTTTAGTGCTCTTATTCGCCCAGTACAAGATAAAGCTGTTAATTCATTATTTACAAGTTCTAAACAAATACATTATATTAACTACAGTGTATTAATAACACGAAGGTGTAGTACACAACCTGAATGTCAAAATAAATCTTATGTGGTGAATAGTAAGTATGATTTGGAAGACGCAAAGAAATTAGAAGAACTTCTTGAAGATCCTAAAACACTTATATTGTATGAGAAACTTAAACTAGAAGTAGAACATATACGGCACACGGATGGCTACGTACCAGAGAAATTAAAGCACCGTGACTGGATACTATTACTTTCAATAACCAGTAAAGGACAACGGAGGTTGTATTTTATTAAATTTTGTATGAGAAAGTATTTTTAGATTCAGAATATATTAGGACAGATGTAATTTCTTCTTCTCTTAAATATACAGGGGATATCTTGAGTACCGTTGGAAAATTCAGAGAAAGGTTGAAAACAGATTGGTTAAAAAGCTACAAAAACAAAAAGAGCGAGAAAAATTATTCGAAATACAATCAAAGATGGAATCAGATCATATTGTGTATGGACTAAATCATAATTCAATGTTCATACGTATATCTGATAGCAAAATGAATCATTTTTATAATAGCAAATTAATACCAGCTATGATGTTCGAGCCAACAGTGGTGTTTGATGTTGGATATGACAAATTTATGTCACCACACGAAGCAATGAACTGTGCAAAACAATTAATACTTTCATATTCAGCAAATAGAATACACATTGATCCTTTTAATTTGTACTTCTGTAACTGTGATAAGTCTGGCATTTTGATGAAACATTTTCACAAAACAGTACCAACTCTGCATGACCTTGATTTTCCAATTAATATGACTGAACAGTCATATTTGAATGTATTTGACAAAAATAAATTAATATATCTGACAGCAAATGCCAAGAAGGTCCTGCATAAATTTGATCCTAATATGGTGTATATAATTGGTGCAATGGTAGATAAGGTAAAATATATTTAAGTATTAAAGAAGTCAACAGTTGCATGATAGAAGTACGTAGAACTACTTCTACAATGTACATAGATAGAGTGTTTCTGAACAAATGCAAGATGCACTGACATATTGTTTGAAGGGTCATTTTCTGTAAGAACTATTGTATGAATATAAACGCTATTAATACTTGTATAGTTCTAACAGTTTAAGATCTTCTGATTTCATAAAATCATGAGATTAAAATGAGATGGTTTTTAAGAAATTGAACCAACATAAAAGATCATGTATTTTTGGTGCAGTTTTATAATAAACAATTAAAGTGCGTTTCTTGAGTTTGAAAACAGGCACTACATTAACAAAAGTTATTTAGTATGGAGGGGGACATTACTTGGTATAAACAATTTTTTTGTAGGTAGAGTAATACAGCATAATAAGTCCCCATAGAAAGTCACCAAATATCTCAAATAATACTTAGTTTTTAATAATTGCTACAATGTTAGCATCCTCTCCACAACAGTAATATTTGGTCAAAAACAATGATATGATTCGAGCTCCGTAGCCGCGATTCGCGTTGACTTGATTCCTTAGAATCTCACCAATTTATAACTTTCTCCTACATTCAATTATCTGATGTTGCACGCCGTTGAATTCATTTTACCAAACGCTATCGTATTACGAATGAAGATGTATAATGTTCCAGCTAAAAAAAATGTAGTTGATCTTGACACCTTCCCTACGATTCTACCTATAAAAAAATTATTTAAACCACATAATGTCCCCCTCCATGCCAAACAACATTTGTAAACACATTTTTTCGTATCTTCAATGGTCTATGAAATACTCCTGTTTCCAGTTAACAGAATCAGTATATATTTACTAACATATGTTTTTAGTATGACCCTCAACCATTATCGTTTGCGAAAGCTAAGAAAGAAGGTCTCCCAATGGCTAGACTTCCTTTGGCTGAACATTTAGAGTGGGGAACTGGATCTGGAAAGAATCTTCCTATCAATCAAGTTCTTCAAATATTATTGGATTTGCGTCATACAAACGATTGGGCTGTAGCGTTAGAACATATCCCGAAGAGAAAGTTAAAACAAGCCAGAATAGATGCACAAGAAAGATTGGAAAAAAAAAGAGCAGAAATAATACAGCTGTTACAAAATCAATAACTTTGTTAGTAATGTTACAATTTTTACTAATTTCATATAAAATAAGTTAATAAACAAACGTATAGTTTAAAAGTATGTGTATTACTATATATGTACTGTGATTTAAAAATTACATACCTTCCATGTCATTCATTTCTCTGCTCGAAGCTCGAAATTGATTCAATAATTTATGAGAGATGAAAACTATTTTGTAAGATATTTTGTAATTGTAAACTAATGGAATTCAGTTAAAGATATTGTTCAGCAACAGTATGTATAAATAATAACGTACAAATAAATAGTGTGAAAATAATAATGTTAATATCATGTAACCCGACTAGTTGGGTTTTGAATTCTGCTGGCACTTTGTGTCAGACTTGCTATCTGTATGTTTATACCAACTCAAAAACTATGTTGTGAAATTATAAGGTACTGATATCTTATTTACAGGAAAACTAAGGTATACCGAGTAGGTATCAGTTGTTTTGTCGACCTCCCGTAATCAGTCCATTTTTTTGACATACTCGCTTTACAGTATTTCCATGTATGAATCAATTCACGCCAAATCGATCATTTTTGCACTCGATGTTAGGAATTTTGTTCAAAATGAAGTATGTATAATATAGTCCACGTGAAATTAGGAAGCGAGTGTTGTCATCATTTTTTTGTCCTCGAAGTTATTTAAAATATACAGGCCGCCGAAGTTTACAATTTTTGACTATTTTCGTAAAACAGCGATGTACTTAAGAATTTATATCTCGGAAACTATTTATCGTATAGAGTTCGTTCGTCGATTATTCTAATCTAGAGGGATTTCCCTACTATAATAATTTTTTGTTACATGATAAATTAATTTTTTTTATAGTGAAAATTATAAACATTCTTTTTTCGCGATTTTCTCTGTGATGGTCAAAGGGTGTTTAAATAAAAAAAATATGGTCATATTCCCTGAAATTTTACCTACAAAATGCGCCTTTTGGAAAGATGGATTAATTAAAATTAGTATCACAAGGAGCTGTAAAAGTGACTGCTGTTTCAAGTAACAGCGCCGTGGCGCGCAGTGGAACGAATTGCTCAATTTATGTAAACAATTTTACTAAAAATCGCAGAACTACGGATAGAAATGAGATAGAGGGATGAATCTTATTCGAGGCTAAAGCTAAGATATTGCATAATCCGGAGAAGATACGACGAAGTATCGCATGCAAGGTTTGGTCCTGGAAATCTATGTCAAACTTGATATTTTTTAAGAAGTTTGCGGTTTTCCCGATATCATGTGTAACTTGGTATATGTATATCATTTTCACATGCGTTTTTTATAGTATAAAAAATATCTTTAATGCGAATCCACAAAAAAAATCCGTGTGTGATCCTTTTATTTCTGACCTTGTATGACCTTGGAAGTCATTGCGTTACATACGCGTGAATTCGTCAACCCACTCTTTCTGCAATATAGCATTGCATGTAAAAAATTCTTCCATTTTTTAAAAATACTTACTGTTTACGATAAAAATGCTGGTCTAATTTACTGCGAACACCCTATATCGAAGAAACTCTTCTTCAGGTATAAATGACACCACCGGGACTGGTACGTGACATGGCGATATTGTCTTTACGCTTTACTGAAGTAATATGGGGTGCGAGTGATACGATCGGTCGATCGTAATCGTCGAGTTCGGTTATATACCTGAAACAGGATGCACCACCAGCAGTCTTTAACCACTCATTATAGAGTTAATTTTAATATCTCCATTTTCAATAGCAGCTTATCTTGAAGGTATTTATATAGGATTTAAAGGAGTACGGTAATATTTTTTTCTTTATCGACAATCGACCCTCTGAGAGAAATTTGCTAAAGAAAACTTTGTTTACACTTTTTGTTATAACGATAATTTTTCACTTAAAAAAATATTAGTTATTCAAGTCGACCGAATTTTTTACATTAAAACAAAGGAAAAAATGAACTCAATATAATATATAATTTCCGAGATAAAATTCATAAGTACACCCCCGGTTTCACGAACATGCGCAAAAATTGCAAACTTTGACGAATTGTATTTTTTAAACAAATGCGATATCAGCACAATGATGATGATTTGGCGTGGAACGATATTTCCATTACACATTTTGAATGCAATTTCTCTTAAATAAATAGTTTATAGTCCATATAATTAGTTTCTTATAATAAACATTTTGTTGCAAAAAATGAACTTGTCGAAGAATTACTTCCTCACCGATTTCGATCTGGAATCGGGTAAACGAAGTCAAGGTAGAATTCGTGTGTATTATTTCGGAATGAAAGGACGAAAGTTTGAAAACTGTGAATTGCGTTATCGGTCCTGTTGATATTTTCAACTTTGTCCTATTCTTGAACATTATTTTTGGGAGAGGAATGTTTATCAAGTATCTTTATAATATATTATAACTGTGTGCCTTTAGAGCTGAAGTTTCTTATTTGATGACTCTCTGTGGTCGGGGGAATCTGTAAATGTCAAGCGAAAATCGCTGTTTCGACCATTATTTTACCGATACCATTTCATTGACAAGTATTTCACCGACAATATTCGATTTCGATTTCGATGAATGCAGGGCACGCATTAACTTTATGCCTACAAATACGGGCATTAAAGAAGGGAAGGACAATGAATATCTTCTGGTGGGGATTGAAGCTTGGAGGAATGATCATCAAAACTGGGAATGAAGAGACCCACAAATGGTTGCGCAAGGTATTGGCAGAGGGGAAAAATGGCTGGGAGAAACCTTTTACGAATGCAAACCAGCGGAATTGAAGCGAAAAAAAGTATCCCATATTATGGAGTACGTCATGTGGTGCAGTGATAGTACGATGGATTTTCCGTTAATCATCAGGATGATAAGACTTTACATTCCTCGATTGGACATAAGTTCGTGGGAATTGATTGAGGAGGGGCTTCCTCAGAAAAGCGGAGGAAAAGAGTACGCGATTCGAACGACAGAGAAGGAAAGAGCCTTTTTAAAGGATATGGGAATGATGCTGAAAATAGGAGGGAACGCATTCGGATTGAAATTTACTGTTACATACGATAGTACGTATAGTGTATAACCTACAATAAATTTATGTTTTGTTACAAAAAACAAAAGTGTTTGATTATTCATGTAAGCGGAGGAAGTATTCTGGATGAAATCCAAGAAGGGGTGGGTGTGGCTTCACATGCCCTTTCTCTCTTACATTTTACTTTACTGAGTAGAAAGAAATTGGTAATAGGTGACTTGTGGGATAGGGATGTTTGAGAGAATTGTTCTACTTTTAGAATAACAATCCTTAAGGTTGTGGTAAATAAATCGTGCAGCGGAGAGCAACCCTAGCACTATCCCGACTTGTGGTGAACCGATTGTGTATTGGTCTTACTTGGTCTTACTGGTAGCACTCATCCAGAAGCAGTGGATAGTAAATAGGATAGTGACAGATTTAGGTTCTGTAGGGAAGTTGCATTTAATAAAGATATAATTAATTGTGGGAAACTCAGAATGTATGTATTGGTATGTGCCTACGAATTTAGTGGTTACTTTTTTACCGCACCTTTAGCACGGATGTCGACAGTGATGTCGATATAGATGGCGCAGTTAGCGAAGGCTTTCCTGTTTCAAGATTTTCATTCATGTCAGTATTGCCTCACTCTGTCTGTTCTTTGAAGATCAGGAAGGCAGGTTACGGAGAAAGATGGTAAAAGATTGGCGAATTAAATATAGTACTATATACCACTGATCATCGGTATGGATGCGAATATGTAACGTACAGCAAGGTGTACAGCTATGACAAACATATGAATTGTAAACATTAAATAACAATAATAATAACATAAATATACTAACGTTGAACTATACTCCTTAAATCCTGCTTATGCTCTTATGTGTATAAGTAATTTTAATACATTATTAATTAAAACTACCTCGTATTAGAGCGAAACATGGCTGGCAACTGTAAAACAGTTATTATGAATAGCTACGTAAGCTACTTTCATACTAAAGTGTAAGGCGGACACGCAACAATGACCATTTTTGAAAATTTATCTAAACTTCATTGAATGATTCGAGACAGAAACTATAGACAAAAGCAGGTAATAACTATTTATATAGGTAGGACAGGGACAGCGACAGTTGCCAACCAATAGCTGTGCTTTAGCACGTGCTTGTGTTATTTCTCTTCGCTGACTCGGTTCGTTGAATGGACATTAAGAATTGGCAAAACATCCACGGTCAATTTATTATCAATATAAATTATACAAATGATTGCAATTGTTTATCACCTATATGTTCATTATAAACAAATAATGCATATAATCTGATGCGTAATTCTGATTGTCATTCTCAGCACCACAAACGTTACTGTCACGTTGCTGATAAACTGGGACTTGTCGAAATATTTATTCTTTCGATTTACGGAAAAAATTGCATTTATTACTGCATAGGTCTTATCTTGTTTCTCCACGGTACATATGTTTAATGCAATTTATATGTAGTTTCAATAATTTTTTAACAACAAATAGTTCAGTACAACGGATAATATTAGCTTAGTGTATTTACGTAAATATTCTAGATTTTAGAATAAGCTATTATATTTTTTTTAAATGAGTATATATTATTTAATTGCGACATGAGATTTATATTATTCTGTTTATTTTTGCAAAGATTATTCTACAATGTCACATCAGTGCAGTTGCGGAGAAATACATAATGAAGGAGAGTTGGGTGTACAGTACAATTTATACCAAAAGATTGATATACAAAATGTTGAATGTTTAAATGAATCCGAAGAAGGCAGCGGTGCTACCGTCTTTAAACCATGGGAAGATAGATTAAGTAGGACCAAAGTAATTGTCTAATTTATTTCTTATATTTTGGTACTTTTCCGTTTAGAAGTCTTTTAATAGCTTCTTAACATTTGTTTATTTCAAACAACATTTTGTTTTCTTTCAGTACGTGGAAAGTGATATGGATAACGAACTTTTATTTAACATACCGTATGTATTCGTAACATATTCTTTCCCCATTCTTTCAAATTGGTAGATGTAAGTCTTGTTTCACTGCAGATTTACAGGAAATGTAAAATTAAAAGGACTTATTGTCATTGGAGGTGAAGATGAAGTTCACCCAGATAAAGTCAAGTTGTGAGTATTTTTCAAGTTTTACTTTCCAAATGTTTGTGGATACATTCCAAATTACTTTTTGTTGAATAAAATACTATTTTTATACAGATATAAAAATCGTCCACGCATGACGTTTGATAATGCCACAGTACCTGACCAGGAATTTGAGTTATGTGCAGATAATAATGGAATACATGAATATGCCCCCAAGTATGCATTATACGCAAACCATTACTATTTATTAAATTAAATGAATTTATAAGTGTATGAACGTTAAATGTATTTTGTATTGTAGGGTGGTAAAATTTTCATCAGTTAATCATTTAAGCTTGTATTTTACTGGACGCGAAGGACAGGACAAAATCAAGATTTATTATATTGGCTTGAAAGGGGAATGGTCACCTGGTCATCAACATGGAGTTACCATTTGTAGTTACGAATTACTTCCACAGATGAATGACCATCCAAAGGATCACACTGAGTTTGATAGAACAGTCAGTTAATTTTGTAACAATACATTGGTGGAAAATCTTTTCTGTTTCATGAAATCGAATGTATCACAAAATAAATAAATACAATATTTGTTTAAACGAACATATGTACTTATTGACAACCTTGACTAATACATATCATTGATAGTAAAGATATAATATTTCGTACTTTGTTTCATTGACATTTATGTATACATTCTGCAAAGTTCTAATACTCAGAAAATTAATGATTAATCAGTAGCAATAAGGAATATTGCATTCTCCTAAAACTTGTGTTTAAGAGTACAATATGTCTGAACAAATTTTTTAACTAATAATTATTGAATGAATATATAATTCGTGGATAACTGATAGTGCTATTGTTTTTATTATAACTACAAAGATTAAATGTTATGTGCTACAGTTTAAAAAAGACCATAATACAGTTAACATTTCATAAGAATTAAAAATATTAACGGGATGGAAACGGAAATGTTTTAAAAATATATACCGAACAAAAATTAAATATATCTAAACTACGTGTATCTACAAAATTACCCGACCACTTAACTCCACATTTTAGAATCAATAAAATTTTTGAAATTACCTATTACATGAAAATTCTGATTAATGAAATCGTATTAGAAGAAACATTTTCAAACGATGATAAATTCGTACAATGGAGATCAGAGCACTTAAAACTGATGTCGGTGGAATTTAAATTTGAATGATTTTGATAGTGATTCAATTTTTCGTTTAATTGGTTTTTTACCGCAAGTTGTAGGTACTATCAATATACGATCTTTCCACAGGTCTGTAAAGATGTTTTTATTACCATCGACCATACGGTACCTTTCCCTGTTGTCATTGGTAGCGTACATATTAAGTAGACCCCCAATACATAATTCTAGAAACAAATGTATCGAGATGAGGTTTTGTCCCCATCATTCAGTAGTATTTACAAAGCTCGTGGGATAATAAATAAAATTATTTGAAACAGTCTCGATGAACTATGGCGATTCAAACTTCGAACTGTAAGCGTATCAATGGCGGGCTTAACACGTTGACTGTTCAAATTTTTATTGTTTTGACTCACAGAATCTCTTCAAACTACTAGTTACAAGCTTCAAAGTCCATCCTTGAAACTACTAGTCACCACCTTTAAAATCCACCCTTAAAACTACTAGTCACAACCTACAAAGTCCACCCCTAAAACTACTAGTCACAACCTCCAAAATCCACCCCTAGCTGTGTAACCCTCCAAAATCGTTCACGTTTCTACCATAAGAGAAACAGATAAAAACCCCAAAACTATGTAGTATCATGAGATTCGGAGAATGAAAGTCTGAGCGAACTTTGGGAGAGAACAACTCGAGTGACTGTTAGTGCGATTGACAGTGTTTGGAACGGCGCGGAACATTTTTTTTTTTTTTCATTGTTCTAAGCACGACGCACCTCACCAAAAAATCTAAAAAATTGCAAGGAAAACAATTTTTATTCATACGTTATATCGCAATACGAATTCTATGTTATTAAATATAGTCTGATTTAAGTCGGGTTTGGACTTTTTTCATCAAGAGAATCTCCTATATTTATTCATAAAATTTTTAAGAAAGTATACTGAAAGGAGTAAAAGTTTAAATTTTTATTCATGGATGATTCGTTCCGTGTGTTACCTTGTAACCCGAGGGTTGGTTGCCGGCTACCAGATAACATCTCTACGCGCCGAGGCTTCGCATGCCAGGGCCTCGGGTCTCCGCTGAGATAAAAAATTTGACACCCAAGCTCGTTCGAGTAGCTCGAACGAGCTCGAAGTATCATGCTCGAACAGCTCAGCTCGGTTACCCATCACTATACGGAAGTGGCTCGACTTGATGCTTAGTTTCGGCTATCGGTTGCGAGGTTCTAAGAATGCATGTAAAATTTTTGGGCGCATGGTGATACGTAATAAGAATGTGTGATGTGTGTGTGAGGTCTTTAAAAAATCGGTATGAATAAAGAGCGGCAGAGAACGAGAAACTGTGAAAGAGAACACATTAGAGATCAGTGAGCAAGTGTAAAGCTAGTATATATTTCATTACTTATTTTTTAATAAACTTCGTTACTGTTTGATCACACTCATTTATTGCTGACCTTTATTTCCTACACAAGTTACACCTTCGTCGAATTCAATACTTGTAGCATTGTTAAATAGGGCAAACGCATCAATGAATGAACATTTAAGACATTTTATAACTATTAAAGCCGAATTTTAACTGATAATAATATTAACAAATATTTGTCACATGAAAATTAGATTTTTTAATCTCCATACTTTTTTATAACGTATAGATTTCCATTTGAAAATACTGGAAAAATGTAATTAATTAAATTAAAAAGACAACAAAACACAGATTTCACTAGTGAATGAACAATACTAAGTAAATGAACATTTCTAACTAGTAGCGCAAAAGTTGTTTCAATATAAAACAAGGAATTCAAACAAAATCATTGCAATATTTAATCATTATGCTTATTTTATAAGTTAATTTACTCGTTTTTATACATAATGTTTATTCACCGGACAGATTACCCTATTTCCACATTTCATTTAAAAAGTGTTTTTCCCATTGACAGTTTCCCTCAAAGATACCTGCAGTTCTTGACTATCACAGGAGTCTGTTCACCCTTTGTTCTTCGACCTTTCTGCGAATCAGCCGACCATCAGTTCAGACTAATCTTCGCCCTATGCTGTCCGTGTTAGACACGTGATTCTAGAATACGAATGTATTATTTCCATAAGCTGTTACATGATGATACAAAGTCGGTAGATAGCAACGGTACGAACTTCAGTGTCCGGGAGGCATACTTGGGGGGGGTAGAACGTCAGACGATTATAGTGCCTCGCCGTGCTATAGTGACTTTAGGTGTGATCCTCTCAGCGGAGTTGGGCACAATTTTATTCGAATAACACACAGTAAAAGGCTGCAATATCTAAGAGTATCATCATGATCTTTAAACAGTTAATTAAATTATATAATTATTTGTCAATTGTCGACATATTCAAGAGGAAATATTATTTGATTATAAAAATTGGAATTTCCATCTCTAAACGATTCCAAATGATAAAGCACGTTTATTTTATCTTTTATCCATTAGTGGAATCTCTTTACCTAGATAATGAATTTGTCCATCTCAGCCTTTCTCTGTGATACCCTTGACGGTACAAAGTACAAACCGCCAAATGTGTACTTTGCTGCTTCAAGGGTGTACTTATTTAGTCCAATTTACTTTCTTTTACTACACATCTGATACATTTTTTGTGCCCTTCAAATTTGTAATATTTTTTTGTTCATAGGATGCAAAACTATTTAAGAATATCATAAATGAATACTTTATCTGTCCGTTTTGGTGTACGGATACCTTTCGGGCTCCAACAACCACTACCCGCAAAATACATCGACGTGCTGGAGTTGCAAATTTTTCAAAATTTCTTTTTACTGGGCCCAAGTATTTATTTCTTATAACATAAGATTTTACTGACGACTGTTTTTTTACATATTTCAATAATTTTTTAACACGGGGTGGGGGGGTAGGCAGGCGCCCCTTGGCTCCTATCTAGTTACGCCAATGCCTTCGAAACTACCAAGTAAATAACGGTTAATATTTCACACATATCATTAGAAATACGTATTCTATCATCCCACAAAAGATCGATAAAATCAAAGTGGCACAGTTCGGGCCCTTGTTAAAGACGTGAAGGACCCACACCCCTGGTGTTTTTACAAAGTCACTACAGCTCGGTGGGGTTGGGGGCACTATACTCTGCCCGCAAGGGTATGTTACTTAAGGGTGCAAAGGGTTAAAACTGAGGGTGTACGTGTCGCGGTGCATCCCGTCTAGGCGAGACCCCCTAAGACTCTTCAGGACCCCACATCCCATTCTTCTGTCCCAATGACCGAAACACTTTGAGCTGACGGTCGATGTGACAAGAACACACCAACACGCTATATCTCTTCCATGAAAGTGTGTCTGTGTATGTATCAAGCTTTCTTCCCAACCGATAGCAACGGCCCTGCTTTTCAACGTCCGCTGCGGGGTCGTGTGTGTACCCCACCCCACCCCCTTCTTTCGGTCCTTTCCCACTATGAGCAGCGAACTCGACGGCGGCGGTGGCACTTGGTATCGCGAGCAACAACGCCCGCCACCAAGTTCTACAGTTTGCAACTCATGGCACACGTGGCCGTCGGCTCCTCCGTCGAGACAAACAAGCGCGTGAAAAAGTGTACAAGCGGGGAAAATGTCGCCGCCTGTGAACCGATGGGCCAGCCGGACGCGAAGGACACGATCGCCGTGCAACAGAGGCAGCAGCCGTTCCCGCTGGATGGAGGATGGGGCTACGCGGTCGTCCTTGCATCCTTCTTAATCCACGTGATCAGTACGTAATTGATGTTCTCTTAATTCGTCACCCCGTAATCGCGAAACCATGGACACCGTGGGACTCGACGTAGCCTCCTCCCTATTCGTCGTGGTCTCTTTTTTTTTTTTTTTTTTTTTTTAAATAAGGATAAGATACTTAAGAATTTGGATTGTCGGTTGCAACATGAAATTAATACGCATCGACGTCGCTGTAGTTTTGTGCGGTAATACCCGATGAAAATTATTGTTGGATTACCGATTTTTGCGGTAAACTTGGTACTGTTGGGAAAGGGACTGGGTATCGTATGTGTCAGACAATTCGAAAGTAATGGTGAAGTACAAATTGAAAATACTAGAGTTCTTGTAGTAATATTCAAGATTTTATCGTTAATGAATTGTATTCATATGAATATTATTTTATTATATTATATTATTAGATGTATATTTTCACGATTTATCAGTTATAGAAGTATGAAAAAATTATAAGAAAACAACTATTACATATCATGAACTAACTTATAATTGATGCCGTTTTTGAGTCATGGATTAGAAATGTTAACAAGGAAATAAGAAAGAAATGACTGATCTTCCTACTTTTTCTTTCCTTAAAAATCAGCTGTTGTTTTAAACATTCGATTAGTTACTTTGATATTGTTTTCTGTTCACAATATGTTTCAATTTTTATGGTATCTCAGTATACTTAATGTCTAATTAGGTATTAAAAATCGAGTATCGTTTAAAAAAAATGGTTACACTACTTGTACATATGCACAGAAAGAAATCTATTTGTAATATAAATCTGGATTTATATTTGAATCCGACTTATACCGTACTACCGACAATCTTCGATTCTATTTGGACGGCCATTACGAAGTATCGGTATTAAACCCATTCTCAAAAACACCGGTGTACGATTACTCATTTGCCCACATCATTACCAGTCTTCTTACTACGACTGTTTACATAACTTTTCATCACATCTTCACGAGAAACAAGTTTAAGGCAACACAAATATTATTACACAATATTGAATGTAAATGCGACACTTTCCCTATACACACGCGCACCGTGTGTACAGTTTAAGACGTTACATAATGATCGTGATGATCCGATTGAAGATCGTCTTTCCTTGCACGATCTTGTAATTTACATTTCATAATTGAAATTTAAAATCCGTAGTTTCTATATTTTTGAATTACCCAGTCCTCTCATTCGAGAAACTTTGGTACCTTTACACACAGACACACATTGACCCTTGCCTGGGGGTCATGTGCCATTTGCATTGCTGGGCTATCATCAACCTGCCGATGAGCACAGACCCCAAAAATCGTTTACGCAGCGAAAAATTGAGTATCGTTTTACACATATTCGTGGTGTATTGTAACGGGTCACTATTGACCCGGTCGTCGGCACTGACGGTCCCTATTCGAGGGTTTAACACTAGAACTACCACCAGCATTCAATGCATACTAAATTAAGTTCTATGATATTTTAATATACGTAACATACAATATAATTTAGCATAATACAGTATAAAATGCATAGTAAATTAAAGGTCAACAGAAATTTCGTCTAAAGCACTATTGTAATTTCCGTAATCGTGAAATAAGAAATTTCTAATGTGTCATGTTGTCGGATTTAGTAGTTCCTAGTGTTAAATATGTATGCACTGATCGACATGTGAACCCATAAAACCACATCTCACCTCAGCATACGTGAACATCGCACACTAATACGAATTGTGATTTTGAATGTCTGATAATTAAGAGCTTGAAGATAATAAAAGTAAATTGAACTCATATCACATTTTTTATTAGGGTAATATTTCCTAAAACATGTAACGATAATACGGTGATGTAACAAATTCATTATCTTGAAATTTGAGTGCTGCTCTTCATTATTGTCTAAGCTTTCATATGAAACAAGTCCCATGTCTAACATTTCTAAACATTTTTTTAAAACCCTTCTCAAAGTTTAAATTGTTATAAACAGTGCGGCATTTGTACATGGATTAAATAATGTTTAGGAACTAATTAAATAATGAAAATACGCCTATTAATGTATGCAAACCGTTAATTCAAACCTGTTATTTCATACTCTATAATGGGTTCTTAGAATAATTGGTTTTACATACTTTGAATTTGTGAATTTTGTCTTCAGAGTGATTTCAGCGCACATATAATTATCTAAAATGGCTAAATATTTCAGATTTCGATGCTTCGAAGGGTTATCAATTGATGTATACTATTGTATCCATTTTGGCCACGAAAGAATGTGTTTCCAGCCCATTGTGCGGTGTCTGGGGGTTAAATCACGAGAAAATTACGATCATGCTAAATCATTCTTTTTCTCCGTGTTACGTTTCCATGTCTAGTCGAATCAAAGGAATTTTCTAGGTTATCGAACACGACAGGGTCAACAGTGGTAATCGTTGTGTTCTTGAATACACCGATCCCGTCCTGTTTCGATCGAACCGAAGTGAGTTTCTCTTTCGACGTTTGCACACCAAGTGTACTCCATACTCTTTCAACTACCGATATTTTCGTTGTACCCTTTTAAACACGTATTAATATTTACGTTGTTAATTACATACATATATGAATGGTCGTTGTGCATTTGAATTCGGCCCGTCACCCGGTTTATTCGATTATCGCGAACGTGTGTACACTCCGGCCCCCTGGGGACGCTTCGCGCCGATTTATTTTTGGACTCACCGTCCTTTTTTTTGCTCTCTCCTCGTCCCGAGAAACTTTTTATCGGCGCCCCGATTCCGACAGCGTTCCGAATACGCTTTAATCGAAGAAACGATATCGTGACGGGGCGCGTAAAACGCGAACCGATACGTCACCGCAAGCACAAACGGTTCCGATGATGGAGGCAGGACCGCCGGTTCTAATAGGTGTGCAGTGCGGACAAGTACACCCGCGAGCAAAGTTGGCTTCCACTAGGGGAAAAAAGGGGCGTAAAAAGGAGCGTCTCCCTTCCCAGAGGAAAAAAATTACATTGCCCCCCCCCCCCCCCCCCTGTCCGACTAATCTGGCTACACCCATGGTAATATCTACTGTGGCGATGCAACTATGCAATATTTAATATACTATTCTAATAGAAGCTATGTGGGGCTCTTATCATTACAAAGTATTGCTACATACCATTGGTATAGATCATGTTCGTTTCTCACGTTCAATGCTTGCTAATAATATTGTTCGAGTAAACTGCTTATTTAGTTATCGGTGAATTCTTCTATCGTTAGTTTTATTATTCTGTTTGTATTGGAAGTAAAATTAATATAAAGGGTGGACCAGGCAACTTGGTCTGCTCGGATTATTCTGTTGCTTGCTGTTCAATCGAAAATTTGTTTGCATGCTTAATAATCCGTGCAGACGTCATAAATGGAACTATGCAATCGTGGCTTCACTGTTTACGCGAGTGTAGTATTGCAGCAGAGAGATACCATTTTGATCATCGTTTGATATTTTTATTTTCTTAATGTATCTTTGGTTTAGAAGAAAAAAAAAATGATTTGTTAGGATGCTTGCTGAATTCATCTAAGTATTCGCTAAAAGATGGGCGTAAAAAAATTATAGGTTTATTTATAAAAAAAAACTTGACGGTGACCTTGAAAACCCTGAAAAGAAGGGTTTGACAAAAAATTTGGTACCAGTTGTGGTCCACCCTGTATATTTATAAATGCTATGCATGGAATGTTGTCTATCTACTGCATAAAGAATTCTGAAAAAGATTCCCCACAATCTGCCCCTTGATAACTACAACTAGCTTAATTTTTTCAAAATTACTTGGTAATTAGTTTAGTGAATGCAATAAAAGTTTCTCACTTTTGAAAGTCAGAATTTCAGGAATAACCGGGAAATTCCATTTACAGAACGGCAATTATTGGCATTCAATTGTTAAACATTTACTTAAATTTCAACATTATTATATTCATTACATGTACGGTCAATATTGGTAATAACACGGAAATATCCGTCGTAAGTAACGTAATCTTCAATATATCACACATTTACCGTGACATGAACAAGGTTACAAAATTTTGTTGTTCGAGGAAGTTAAACAATTTCTTGATATCGTCATACAAGTAGATACACACTTACACGATGGCAGGTTGAAGGCAACGCAATAAATACCTCAAATAAAACTGTTCTTAACCAAGTACAAGTCAAAAAAACTTTAAAGTTCTTTTTTTCTCTATATGTGTACGCGTATAGTTTCATTTATTTCATTTTTCAAGTCGAAGAAAAATTCATTAGGCAAATTTAAATGATTTCGTGTGATGCATCACATGACGCGTGTATCTGCTCCGGAAGTGAAGGCGTTTCAGAGATTTCAAGGTTACCTCTATTTTGTTAACATGAAACCGGAATTGGACAAAATGTAATCTAATTACAAAATCCAAATTACAATTACGATGTAATTGCAAGACAAATACAATTACAATTGTATTGTAATTAACTATAATAAATTTGCAATAAAAATTACAATGTATTCAGAATGTAGATTTTGTAATTAGATTACATTTTGCATGAAACTATACATGTATATAGAGATAGACCGATTTTTCCTGCAAAAACAAATGAACATTTTAGAATAGTGTTTGGTTTCGTTTTGCAGGAAAAAAGGACTTTAAAATTATTTTCATTTGTACTTTGTTAAGAATAGTTTCATTTGAAGGATTTATTGCGTTGCCTTCAACCTGTCATCGTGCAAATGTGTACTGCTTGTAAAGAAGATATCACGGGATTGTTTAACTTCCTCTAACAACAAAATTTTGTAACCTTGTTCATGTCACGGTAAATGGGACATATATATAAATAATTTTCAAATGCACCAAAAAACTTTCCATATATGTTCATTCGGGAGTATGTGTAACAATTTTACTATTAAATTATTATTAAAATACGTTCTGGCTTTTTAATTCTAAAATTACCGCGAAAAAAATGGAAAATTAATGGGTCGCTCTAATTTTTTAGCTAGGCACTGTACATCCTAAATAACCAAGTAACGCATACCAATCACCAATCGATCCAAGTTTCATTAAAACCACAAAGTTCCTCGAACTCCAGAGCGAACGTACAAATGAGTCAACGCGGCCGCGATTGATCCGAATCATTTCCTCCGCGTATGCATCATCGTCGGTTCCGGTCGAACAAAGCGCGGACAAAGTCTACTAGTCACTCATTATGGACTTTCTCTATCTAAGAATAACGCTAGAGAAGTGTGCAGCACATTCAGACTCGTCGAGAGGGGCACTCCACGCGAAATGGGACACTTTTTGGAGTAACATTTCAGTTTTTTTTTACCCTTGGATATGTTATAGTCTTTAGTGATATACAAACGTATCTCGAAAAATTTTGCTGTAGGGCCAACAATTTAAAAAATTTTTAAAAATCCTTCGAAATACGTTTATACAGGGTTTTGATTCTCTTGATTTTCTCAAGCACTTCCGGTGATTTTACGAAAAGGTGTTTTAAACAAAAGTCGATCAGTTTTTAATCGGGTACATGTTACAGAAAAAATTTTTCCAGAAAATTTGTTTTGGATAAAAAGTCATGGTGAGCTATATTTTTTTAAATGGCATTACATACTTTTAACTTCATAGTATTATAGAGTTCAACCACCTAGTTGAGGTATACAACCACACTGTTACCTTGAAATGACCTTGCATTCAGAAATAAAGTGTATAGCAAATTAAAAGCCAACATGAATTCCATCGAAGGCATTATTATAATTTTAGTAATCATGAAATAAGAAATCTATAATCCGTCATTTTTACAGGTTTGGTAGCTCTAGTGTTAACATGAGCTACAATACTATGAAGTCAAACATATGTAATGCCATGTCAACAAATGAAGGTCACCTTGAATTTTTATCCAAAACAAATTTTTTCTGTAACATGCAGCCGATTAAAAACTGATCGACTCTTGTTTAAAACAGACAGATTTAAAGACAGCAACATATCCAAGTGTCAACAAAATCCGAAATGTTACTCCAAAAATTGTCCGATTTCGCGTTTCCAAAACAGAGTAGTAGTGTAATCAAACACGGAAATACGCAGACACGCATCGTATTGTACGTGGGGAAAAATGATGACACGCGTGTCAGCACGAAATCGTTGAACGAAGAAGAACGCGACCTTGCGAATGCGCGCATGTTCGAGACCTTCGTGTTGAATAAACTCGTGACTCGATGGTAAACAATCGTTTTTTGTGTTTCTTTAAGTCGCCTGAAAATGTTAAATATTTTTCATAAACATTTATAGTTGATCCTCGTTCGGCACGTCGATGACGGGCGGATCACTATGGGACCATGAACAAACAGATCCAACACGTGTTTGGACATTTTTCACTGGAATGTGTTATAACAGTTCGAACAGTTGTTCGGACGTTTTAAACAACTATAGTTTCCATGAAAAAATGTGATAAACAAAACACTTGCTACTATTAAACGTCTTTTATTATAGTTGTGACATATTGACACTAAAAACATTACAACAAACAAAAAAGAAAAATTAATTTCTCCAGGCCATGGGGTTTGGAAAACAATTACAGCCCGTCTCGTATGTATTAAATTATTTCCGTTACCATTGGTGATACGAAAGAATGAGTAAGACAGGTCACACGGTTCAAGGACCTATATCTAACGATAAGGAATGACAACTTCAAAGTGTTCGAACCATATGACCCCCATATTTTTCTGATATTTAAAGCTTGGGGTAGGAGTGCCGGGCCAATCGTGACTTACAACTACGACAAAGACATGAAGTTTGCGATCTAGTAGTGAGCTAACTATAACAGACCGATACCGAAGCATAAATTACGAAAGTACTTTGTCCTATCACTGTGGTTCGGTACTTAAAAGAATTTATGCATACGAATAAATCAAACTTTTAACACTCATTTCGACTATTTGTTCTTACTGCCGTTGGAAAGTCCACTGTAGCTGTGCTCGACGAGAATAACGAAACCAGGCGCAATGAACCCGCCCGATACGATAGACCCAGACAATAAGGAAACCGCGAGATACGCTTTTATTTTACAGAAATCAACCGCTATTAAGGTTTCGCAATTTACATAACTGTTATCGCGTACTTCTGTGATAAATTGATACGGTGATTATAACGTGCTTGTAATCTTTTTTCCCGTACGAATGTGTATTTACAGCGGAGTTTCGCGTATCTATCAACCCCTAGAAACTCACAAGGAGAGTTCACAGTCGTTGGATCGTCAATTGTAATGAAACTTTCTGATGAATTTAGAGCAGAAATAAGCTGACACATATTTTGCCGTTTTCGTCAATACTCATTTTTTATGAAAATATTTTATATCTAATTTTTATGATTTCAAAAAGTACGGGATTAATAGAAGCTAACTGCAACAGCTGTGGTGGCGAAAGTGCTTAAGTGCTAGGTTCTTAAACCACTGTATCGATAATTCGAATCCCGGAAAATTAATTTTTTTTTTCTTTACATATACAGGTTTCTTTTTTTATTTTGTATTATTTGTTAAATTTTGTTTTCTTTTTTATATTTTTCAAAGCTATTTATTATATAGTTATTATTGTAGTAGTAAGTATCGACGAAAACGGCAAAATACGTGTCGGTTTATTTTTGCTCTAGATTCGTTAGAAAAAGTTTCATTAAAATCGACGACCCAACGACTGTGACATTTCTTTGTCAGCAACAGAGTTGGGTAAAATGTAATCTATATAACTACAAAATCAATCATAACTACAAATTCAAATCATACAAATGAGTAATCATCTGTTAGTCTTGAATCAACAGAGCACTAGCCTGATAACTTCTATGCAGCTACCGTTTCCCAAATATGTTATTCGTCATCGCTTCGCTTTCCATTTCAAAGTCTAAATTTGTACAAAGTTCGGTTTTCCTCTTATTTAGTTGTTAAGGGCCTAAGGTCATTGTGTCCCCTCCTAATACTACAGTATATATTGTATAAGCTCTCCGAAAAGATGCGGGTCCCAGATTTATATAAGACTCGTAACATCCTCAATAACAACTCAATTCCATAGTACAGTGGACTTAGTCGTATCTAAATACAAGTCATTTGTTGTAAGCCTTGCAGTTTCTAAAATACATTTATTACATTGTCATCAGTGTATTATTGACTTGCTGGGTTTCCAACAATGTAATTGCTAAGACAATTATAAATTACTTCCTGTAATTGTAGTTGTCACTAACTTCGAATACGATTGTAATTACCAGATGTAATCGTAATATGTACTTGTAATATAATTTCAAGATAATTAAAATTACAATATAATTTATGCATTCGATTACAATTACATGCATAGGTATTTGAGAAAATTGTATTTCTATCACGTAGCTTCGTCGAAAGAACCAAGCGCGCCCGGCGATGGATCTTCCGAAGAAGAACCATGAATAATTTCTAAAGAAAATAGTTCAAATAAATTCTTCCGTACAACAATCTTCTTGTTAAAAAATCAGTTTATGAAGATCGTTATCATTCATCGTGCGCCTATTATTTCAGCGGACGGCATCACTTACTCCTTCGGCGTATTTTACTTAGAACTGCTGCACTATTTCCAAGAAGGAAAAGGCGCGACAGCATGGATCGCGTCGATATTAGTAGGAGTCACATTGTGTTCAGGTAAGCTACCTTTAACCGATAACTAAACTACGTATATTTACGTGAATCCCCATTTGCAGAGACTATTCTATAATAATCAGAATCAAGAATGACTTTATGTAATTAATTCGTCGCATTAAAAACAAAAAACGAAACGCGTTTTACATGCACTCACGCTCGTAAGTATTAGGACACTTTTCGAATATGTAGTAAATGCCGTAAGGCATTACGAAATTACGAAAAGTCTGAAGTAAATATTGTTTAGGGAATATTAAAGCTCGATAGAGAGACTCCTCTCGATTATCATCTGGTTTGTTCTACAAAAAACGATGTTACGTGGGCCTGAAGCATTTATCCCTATATGATTATTGTCCCGGTGCGAATCCGAGGTCGGGACGATAATCGAGAGGAGTCTGTACGTACTTATGAGTGGTAGTATAATTGGCGGTTCTGTGAACGTATAATATTGGCAGTCTAATCGTCATTTTGCCTGAAAATTGTTTGAATAAAATAACGATATAAAACAATTTTCTGTTCAGGACCAATATCGGGCTCTTTTGTGAACAAATTCGGATGTCGAGCGGTCAGTATAGCCGGCGCCATATTGGCGAGCGCGTGCTTACTGGCGAGCATGTGGGCTCGCAGCATCGTTATGCTGTACTTCACGATCGGTATTGGAACAGGTGAAGTGAGGAATATTTTCATCTCTTAGACGTGCATTTTTAACCCTTTAGTTACGGCAGAACTTTCTAAGAACTGTTACCGCTGAACTAAACCGGAATGCATTTCTTCCGCGGACAGAGTATTCGTGTTATTATCAGTCGTTATGATAATAATGAAAAAATATCCACATTTCGGGCGGTAGATAAATAGGGGTGAGAAGATATCCATTATAATGACGTTTCGTCCCGAAAACATTGGTTTTAGAGGAAAGCCTACAATAAATCATCGATGAGTATTCAAAGGCTCCTCTGCACTGAACACTAAATATTTCATAAACTAATGGCCATATTCGGGTGAAGGCGCGCAGTACCTAAGGGGTTAATAAGATTAACATTCCAAAAATCATTATTTATTTCTAACGATGAAATATTCGATCTACCGATAAGTAATCTACTCTTTTTAGTAAATTTAGTGAGACACAGTATACGTACATCCAAAACATCTTCGAGATCATTTCTGTTTCAAACGTGACGGAGTCCGTTGATGAATTAGAAGAAGTTCTATTAAAGCAGCACTCGCTTCTGACTTCTCCAAAAACAAATATTAGACCTGGCAAAAAATATAATGGATTACTTATTGGTGCATTAAGTAATAATGCATGGTCGCCTCTTAAGCAATACAGATTATTTTTATGCAGACTTGTATATGAAGAAAAGTAATAAGTAATAACTCTTATCTTGATCTCCGTGGATTATATTCGAAATTTTAGAGATACCTTCATTATTTTAACTCTCCAGTTGAATTGTAACGACGAACATACATGTATATATAAGAAATAAACAACAGACAACGATTGAAACAAACACCAGAAGAAAACGAGATATAATCTTTCTGCAGGCTTAGGCTTTGGTCTGATCTATTTGCCAGCGATCGTGAGCGTATCGTGCTACTTTGAAAAGTATCGTTCACTTGCCACGGGAATTGCAGTGTGCGGTTCCGGCCTGGGCACCTTGGTCTTTGCTCCATGCCTAGAGTACCTGATAGCATTTTACGGATGGCGAGGAACAATAATGATCTGTTCCGGGATCGTGCTGAATTGTATCGTTCTCGGAGCACTCTTCAGACCCCTGGAGACCAAAAAGTTGCAGAACGGAGATTCGCCAGAGGTACAGGATACTTGTATGTATTATCATATGAAGTATAATAACGTAGACTGCACTGCATGTTAGACAACACATGCACACGTAATTAAAAATAGGCCAACAGAAAGAGAAACAAGATTATTTATGTGAAATAAAAGTGTAAACCCTGTATTCGATGAGAATACTATAGTCCGTTGCATGTGTTGCGTCATTAAGAAGAAAATCTCACAGGTTACCTCAAGGAAGAATTCAAAAGAAGATAAAAATTCACATACAGTTGCTTTCCGAAAGGAGAACAACAGTGTCGCTGTGATATCCACCATCAGTCAGCCTGCTTTAATATTGAGGGATGGGTTGCCCGAAGAGAGCCTGGAGGAGATCCAGATAGTGTCAGTAGTCTTTGTATATTCACCTGTTTCATGTTAATTATTCTTCTTTCATTTTTACTTTTATACTGAAAAGTACTTTCCCGCATTAAAAATATTGCATAATATAAAAATTATAAGGGCTATATCCACAAGTATACTTTTGTTTAAACAACTGCATTTCTCTTTTGTGTATTTATAGTCCAAGTTTTGCAGAGAAGTACACCGAAGAAATGATTTATATTCGTGGATCTTCAAAAAATTTACCTAATTCGACGGACAATGCAAAAACAGAAAGTACAGAGCTTAAAACTAACTGTGAAGAAAAGATGGGTAACCTTCAAGAAATATTCGATATTTCTGTATTAAAGGAACCAGTATTTATTTTGTTTACTTTCTCCAACTTCTGCACCAGTATTGGATTCAATGTACCATACTTATATGTAATGGTGTGTATATAAATTTTATTTTCTTCCAAGAAAAACACTGTAAAGATATACCATTTTTTTTGCAATTTAAATTTATGTAGCCTCAAGCAGAGGAACGAGGGATTAATAAAGAGGATGCGAGTTATCTTCTTGCAGTGATTGGAATTGCTAATACCGTGGGTCGTATAGTATTAGGATACATATCCGATAAGCCATGGGTAAATCGGTTATTAATATATAACTTGTGCCTTACTGTATGTGGTCTTTGTAAGTTCATTTACAATATATTTTTTTATTACTAAGAAAGATTTGTATGTCACTGTGAATACAGGTAACACATACGAAATATTTGATACATTTGAGAGATCACAGTTTGTTAAAGCAAATATCTAGAACATACTATTTACCCATTCCATCCTATCCTTCCAATCCTATTTATCCATTCCATGAAAATCAAAAAGAATTCTTTTTATCATAAGCAAAAACATAAACTAGAACCACCAGGCTGCAGTACAAAAAATTACATGGCTTCGAAGTGAAATATTTTAACAATCAAGAAGTCTGAGCTAATAATGATTTAGCTTCTAACTTTAAAGGTTACTTTACTTTTTGGAAAAGTAAAATTTGGTACAGAAGTTTTCGTATATTTTATCTGATGCAATTTTTGTGTGTTTTGTAACTTCATTATATATTCCTGGACATCAATAGTGTTTTTATTATTTTCTAGCTACAATTCTTAGTACAGAATGTATATCTTTTGCAACGTTTGCAATTTACTCTTCCGTGTTTGGATTTACATCCGGTGCTTATGTTGGTCTTACATCTGTACTGTTAGTGGATTTACTAGGTTTGCATCGTCTTACAAATGCTTTTGGTTTACTTTTATTATTTCAAGGTGTTGCATCACTTTTAGGACCACCCATTGCAGGTATAATTGTAATTTTATGATAATTATAGTTATAAGGTATTTAATACTTCCAAAAATTGTTTGTTTCTTTTAGGATGGCTATATGACGCAATTGAGTCTTATGATCCCGGATTCTATACCGCTGGTGGCATGATTACTGTTAGTGGATTAATTCTATTCTTCATACCACTTATTCAACAAAAAGTACAGCATAATGTAATCAATAAAAGAAAGAAAAATATAATAAATAACGAACCTGCTTAAAATGACTCCATTTATGCAAATGTCCGTTACGTTTTTTTACTTTACTATACGTTAACTATTTGTAACTTACTGCAAATTACTAGATAACTGATAACAATAAATTTTTTAAAGTCTAGTAACATAAGGGTACAGTCATAAGCACTAATAAGTATTTTTTATATTCTCTATGTGGTATTGAAAGAAACACAATGCTGATAATAATTAGATAATTCAAAATTTTTCAAATGATACTAGTATTATTTTCTATATAAAACTTAGATTCCATAAGAATGCATCATCACGATCGTCAATTTTTATTATATTGTACAAAATATTAGCAATAATATTTGCTAAATTTTAAGACAAATTATGTTTTTTGAAAATCTATTGTTGTAAAAAAAGTATGACTTAGTTACGTACAAGTACATATTTCGCAAAACCTGTAATACCTGACTTGGTTTTCTATACAAATGAAACTGCTTATACAGCTTTCTTTGTATCTTCTCCCGGATTATTTAGCATATTTATACAATGTTTGTATTAAAAAGAAACGGAAACAATAAGCAAATCATTGTTCTAAAAAATGTCGTAGATAATTAATTACATCAACTCACCACTGAATCACTTGACTCCTTTAAATTTATTTCTGTACACTAGACCGTTCATTATACTTATTTTCCAATTAAATCCAATCGACATTAATCAATCTGTACATTTCTCTAAAATATATATACAATAACGTAAAAGCAGAATAAATATTGAACATTTGAAATCAAAATTATAACTTAATAAAAACTGAAAATAAATATAAAAAAATAATAAATTCGTACCATTTTGTTTGAGATTCTTTTAAGCATAGAATCGACATTGTATGTTCCATGTGGTTTTATAAAATTATATACTTTCCTTGCAGTTGAATCTGTTATTTTATAATTTGTTTCTGCTAAATAAGTTATTATCTGCAACAATTGTAAAGATTATAAAGTAATTAATAGTTTCTAGCACTTTTGTTAGTACTTATTGTGTGGTAACTACTTTTAAAAAGGAAAATGAGGATTCTTGCCTAATACCTTTATTAACCGTTTGTGATCTTTTGGATAATAGAACATATAATCCAATATGTGCCTATCTATAGATACAGGGTTTATTCTTTTTAATGAGGCAATGTTTTCGATACTTTCAACATTTGGACATGAATGATGTACTAATTTCACACCGATATTCACATAATTTCTTACATCGCTTCTGAAAATGTAAACTTCCCTAAGTTCGTCTCCAATTGCATTATACATATATGGACCAGGATAAATGTTCACTACAATAAACAAAAACAAAAATTTGTTAATTTTGCTACAATATACGTAGCATATACATGTTAACTGTTTTTCACTTACTATAATAATCAGCTTTTATTGATTTATATTGCTTTAATAGGAACAACACATAAGCATTATCAATTACCACTTTATCTATTCCATAGATTGATAACAGTTTTCTTACAGTCGGTATAGTACCGAAACTGAATGGTAAAACATAGTCAGAAATTGTCTCAATACAGGGTACCACTTTAAATTCTCTCCTCATAATCATAAGAATATCTAAAATACCTATAAATGGAAAAAGTATATATTCACTCCATGTTACCCTGTCTTACTCTATCTACGATAAATGAGTTCTATATATTTTTGTTCAAAGTATATATACCTTTAAAGTCATACAACTCTGCGTTTTTTATTAAAAGTGGCCAAAAATAATGCGGTTTTATCTTATGACGATATTTACAAACTTTAAGTAAAGTAAGACACACACGTGTATCATCGTTAAAAAACGAATAATAAACTGCCCATAAAAAAGGGTCTGCACACATTTGCATTTTTTGTAAGAAGCTGCACATACTAGTAATTACATAATTCTTCTGAAATTGTTTCGATTATTCAGAGTAATTAATAATGTAATAGAATGCATAGAAAAATATCAAATTTTGTCTCACCTTACTACTGTAAACCAAATTCTGTAAAATTAATTGTGCAACTTCTGCATCTTGAATACACGAAAGTATCTTTGAAACAATGTCTATTTCATTAATATATATAAATTTCAATAAACATCGGATTTCATGAGACGAAAATCTGCTGGATGTATCAAGGTATGATAACATCTAAAATTAAAAAATGACTGAATTACTATTTCTTAATACAAACATGAATAATGATTTGCTATATACTTTTACAAGATACTTACACTATTAATATATTCTGTATTCTTGTTTACTGTTAACGTATAAATTAAATCAAGGATATCTTTATTGGAAAGCTTTATGTTTAATGATCTACACTGCTTCATTAATGCTCTGATTTTATCAATCTCATTCTTTTCAGCATACATACACAGAAGGATGGTGTATCTTTCCGTGTTTGTAAAAGAATTTTTCATTGTATTCATATAGGCTAATATTGCATTTACACTTTTCATGTTACTGAGTAAAAAAATTCATGTTCAAAAATTATAAAATTCAATATGCAACATTCATTATACATATAATATATGTACAGTATACTATACATATACTATAATATGTACAAAATATTTCAACAATTAATTACACATAGTTACCCATTTTGATAACTTCCCCATAGTAAAGAATTATATATACTTTCAGTCGGTGTTAAATTCTGATTCATCATATGTCGCATAAATTGTGTTGCCAAATCATACTTTCTTTTCTTGCAACAATACCTAATACACTTTTCATATGTAATGATATTTGGAGAAATACCATTATTAGCCATTTCTTTTAAGAATTTTTCAGGTGAAAAATCATAATCATTTTGTAAATAAATTTGTAGAAGTTCATTATAATGATGTACACCCAGTGGAATATCTATAAAGTATATGTACATATACACTCAGTATTAAAAATCAACTAATAATAATAATATAATATGTACACTGTTGATAACGTACTGCACACAAATAAATGACTCCATACATATTCTCCAAATTTAACTCTCTCTAATGGTAAGCAATCCATTATTTTATCACACCACCGAAGTACTAACAGTGCTTCAGAGGGACCTATATCATCTAAAATAAAAATAATACTACTAATAAACTTATAAGTCATTACTTTATATTATCAAGTAGTACTGTTAACCAGTTATTTTGTATTTTTGTTATGTCTGCAACTAAATACTTTTCATTATAGCACAAAATGATACAATAATTTACATAGGCATCTGTAATGTAACTAGGTATACGGCTACATTTAGCTATTATATAAATTATATATCCATTAACGTGGGCAACATTCAATATAATAAATATTTAATACGAATTATACGTAATATGAAGTCTGTGAAAAATGTTGTTAGAAATATAAATATGCCATAGTCTGTACATTAGCAAGAACATCTTTGCTCAATTATCCCATAGTGTGTATGATGATGGTAATCAGTTCAATAAAACAAATAAATATAAGAACTTCATTATTACAAAATGACAGAAATTAAAACAAAAAACTATTAAAAAATTATATAAAGCAAAAGCAGAACAATAAATCAATGTTATTCGAAGAAAAGTAAAAAAATTTTGCTATACATAATTTACATACCCTTAGACGAAATATCGTTTAAAACGTGTTCAATTTCAATTTTGTTCGTCCACCTGCTTTGCAACATACGTATTTCCATATTCTTTAATTTTTCAGATAGTTTCTCCTTATTCTGTGTGTGAATTCCTGTTGACGATGTCACATTTCTAGCAATAATTGTATTTATTGTAAATTACGTTGATAATAGTTATTTCAACTATTCAAAAAACTAACCTTGTCACAACAAACAATTGACTATTATCACATGGAATTATAAAGTTTGCCACTTGATTTACCGGATTAAGAAGTACATTTACTGTAAGTTGTCCGTAGAGTCTGGCGCGTTTTAATAAACCACTTATCATAATTAAAAACTATTTGATATTACAAACTTAACTGAAACCGTACAACTGCTTTACCTATTTATATCATATATACACTGCGTATCGAACAGCACGTTTTCACTATACATACATAAACATTGTAAATTCTAAATTCTAAATACAGACGAGGTATAGAATAGACTTACATACTACATACATAATGTATTATGAATGGAGTATATGACACTTCATTTGTACTAATAATACTCAGGATTCATGTTTTATCGGTAACGTCGGGTATTAACACTAAAATGGTAATGGGGTCCTGGGACTCCAGAAATCTAGCCACGAAAAACAAGAAATTAGATGACAGGTGTATTCATATATGTACCTCGTCTCTGAGATTAATTAAAACCGTTAAAACCATAGATATATAATATTACTGTTAAAACTCTTGTTAAAACTACAAGTACGTTATAACAGAAGTATTGAAATTTTGTTCATTCATTTTTCCGTGACAACAATAGTGATCAAATCGTAGTACAAGTATTTTATTGAAGTAGTAGTACATAGTAGAAGTATTAAAATATATTAGAACAAGTTAAAACTTTTATTGTTATATGGACAAGGAGATTTAAATAAATAACTGACTTCACTGAAACTTTATTGAATGCTTTTGAAAAAAAAAATCTGAAAAATCTGATAAATAATATTTTATTAATTCAAAAGTAGACAATAAAATTGGATTACACAAGTTATTAGTAAACTGCAGATTTTATGCATTCATGACATACATAAATATATAAAATACAATGAAACAAAGACTTTAACTGGGATTTACAACATTTTTATTTTAGTTTATCTTTAAAAATCCTTTAATTGTTAAAATAGATGAAGTCATTGTATGTTATTTTGCTGACACAGATTAAAATTATGTAAGTTGAAATACAATACATGAAATTGTGTTGAAAGAATAATTCATTTAATAAAATGTTCATGTATCAGAAAAAGTAATATAAAGGTATGACACTACATTGTATAAAGTGAGTTTAAATACTATTCAAGGTTCATTAGTTTCTTAGTTTCAACATGTATCTTATTTAATTTAAAATATTTATCATATTAAATTTAGATATATGTATACTTGTGGTATACTTTCAAAAATATATTTTTAAATTAAATTTTTCTTTTATTTTTCACACTTTTGTACAAGAATGAATATTAAAAATGCTAAAGTATTATATATAAAGCATTCACACACTGAATGATTTATACATATTTATAGACACAAGAACTGTAGAACGTGTGCCATTTTATAAAGTATGTGGATATTAAAAAAATAAATGAGATGTAACTGAAAACTAGAGACACAATTCTCACTCTTGAATAAATTTTTGTTAACTTTCACTGTTAAGAACTTTAATTTAAATTAATAATTTAAACGACGTATTACAATTGTGCCAAGCTAATCACATTCCTGGACATCGGCCTTCAGTTATACTATTATAAAGTTATCTAAAATATTAAATTCACTAAAGTGAAACAGTTTTTATATTTTGCATTAAAATTTTGTAAAAGATATTCCGCTATATTAACAGTTTCATTTTATTCATTTGATATTAACAGTAACCTTTGTAATCACTTTACAAAAATTCTTCACACCAATCAGAGAGGCACTGGTAACAATCACTTGACTGTTTTGCATTTGCAGAACACGCATCTTTCATCCATTCTTGAAATAACTCTCTGTTCTTCTTCAAGACCAAATATTGTCCAAGTACCACATATGCCTATATATTTTCAATCAATATAAAAACGAATTAGTTTCAGTACAATAAATTGAATAGAATTTATTAATTTTATGTACTCTTCAAGGTACACCTTGCGGTCGCATTGACTTCATATGAAGTACATTTGCTATAAAAACATCTACTCAAATCTCATTGATATTACTGAACATTTTAACAATACATTTTTAAAACATTTTAAAATTTATTTAACTTCTTGTATCACTTCTTTAAAGGAAATCATCTTTTTTTAATATACTCTGTGTACATGCATTTTTGTATTGCAGATTCTTATTGTATTTTATTTAATCATGTTTACAGATATCAACAAATTTAGAAGCAGTTTTAGAAGCATGCAATACTTCTAAAACTTTGTTCACTTGTTAACAAAACCAAAGTTCCGTTAGACAAACAAATCACAAAGAAACTATATCCAAAATTAGATATATGATACCTTATCAAAACCAGCAGCTTCTAATCTACGTCCTAGAACTTCTCCAACTCCAGCAAGATCCGTAACGGGTTTATCTCCCATTGGTTCTGCCACAAAATTTTTATGCTTTTGCGATGTACTAGACATGTTTCTTCGCTAATAAAAAAGATTTTCATTCATTAATGTAAGAATAATAACAAAATTATATGGTAATACATTAATTTCACCTTTTACTACTAGTTAAAATCACACGTAAAGTCAATAAAGTCGATAAAGTTAGACATTACTTTCATGAAACATCATACATTTTCTTGAATATATGGTACGAATATTAAAAAGTCTAAGTACAATAAGGGTAAGTACGAAGATTTAATAAAGTAATGTATTTTTATTCAAAAAACATACCCTTTCTTATACAACTTCGTAAACAATAAGCTTAAATTACTGAATCCTGGCAGTAGCTACGTGCAATTATCTTCTCCTCTTCGTCAGATAAACTTGTTTAATGTGACTATGCTACTTATTATTATTATATAATGTTATGTGATAAGACTAGAATATACATATATCTTTTTCAATGAAATATGTACTTTTAAAAAGAAATCGCACAAACACAATATCTATCATAATTACACCCGTCCAACACCGTCCTAAATTCATATGAAAGTATAGAATGGAAACTCCCGCAGTATCTCATTCAGAGAATTGTTGGTTTCTATGACAGTGATACCACAATATAAATATTATTCACAATCCTGCACAATTTACATGGTTTTTTCGTGATTGCTTCATCTTTAACTGGAATGAATAATACATATATTTTCATTAGTATTTACTATTAATATCAATCAATTAATACTTTAGTATTAGTAGTATTAATACTTTACGGGTAAAGAATATGAAACACGTTTATGAAATCACGTATAATAAATGTGTTCTGTACGTATATATAAGATGTTAAAAAATTTGTCAAATACATCTGTATACGTTCTTGATATTAAGATTGTAAATACTTACATGCTAAATTGTACTTTTATTACTCAGATCATTATTCTACAACTAATTGTATGTAGATGATCGTTAATGTTACTGTTTAGAAATTGAACGACGTTTTATATAATTTGACAGTAAATAATATTAATAATTTTCTTCGAATTTACCGCTGGTAAAAAATCATACCTATTTTAATATTTTCGTTATGTAGTATTTCGACGGTTTGATTTGAAACTCCCGCCTCCATTCACAAAATGTTAAGTCTGATACGCAAGTGATACGCTATTAACTTGCAAATTTCTTGTGAGACACGCCGTAAAGTGTCGACACCAGCGGTGCATTTGTAAGCAGAAAGCGTTTCGTTTCTTGTCTATTCGTCTATGGAATCGGGTTATTGTTGGGAAGTTGAGGCGGTCAATATGTGAAACATAAATAGAAACGTGTATTGTTGCTACAGTGTTTTAAATTTCATTTCACCGTCTCGCAACAACTTTTCGCAAAGTTCGAATTTATGTGGCCAGTTGCAAGAGTATTCGCTGAAGTTGAATTTTTGGCATATATACTCTACCTGAATCGCGGAAGAACCGTCATGTTGTGTCAACGTAATCCACGGCAGCACTGACGCCTCTTCAGTAATTAACCAAACAAAATGGACACCGAGATAACGATTACGCGAACATTTGTGCAGTAAATTTACATGGAATGTCCAGGAAAATGGGATTAACGTGTACGCTACAGTGAGTTTTACTTAATCATTGCTAAACGCTAAATCTCTATAATAGAGCAGTATCACTTAAATTTTTCTGAAACTGTCGTGCCTTTTTCAATTTTACAATATTGCAACTTAATTTTGACACTTCAATCGAGATCAGAGCTGCACAGTGCTGTTGTTATATACATAAATATTATTTTCATGCTTACAATTAAATTTCTCACTAGATTTTCCTAACGTTTCACGTTTTAACTCGACGCGTTATAAATACCTTTTTACAGTTTCTTAAAGAAAGAAAAATTTCAGGTACTTTTGCTGTTTCTTCTGTTTGAGGGAAAAAAAAGAGTACATAAAAGTTTAATTCAGTACCATACACACATACTCATTGAGTCACATCGATCATCAATAATTTATTTTTCATCATTTTTAAGATTGAAAAATTGATTTATCAATATGAAGTGTTAATATACATTGTAATAATAGATCATAATATACATATACCAAATTTATATACAGAACCATCTTCTTTAATATAGTTGCATAGATCTCTACTCTACTTAACCACATTGCATGCTGCTTGCTTCATACATTGTAATTCTGTAGTTTTTCTAACATAGTAGAACATAAAAATAGAATTTAAAATAGTTGTTCAAGTGCTAGTTTCAATGTAATAATGAAACTGAATTCATTGACCCTGATGTTCCAAGCAAGGTAAGCAGAAGATTATTTTTTATAAGTTTTTGATCCATCATTTTTTTCAAAGCGTCATTGCTTTGCACATTACAATAAACCTACAAAACAACTGATATCAGTCAGCCTATTATTTTAATAATAATCCGAAATATTTCATTCTGTATTCGACAAAAAAAATTTTTTTATTAAATTTGATATTTAACTGATACGTTTTTTTAATGAAGCAATTTGAGATTCGTCAACAATTAATGGATTACGTAACTTTATTCGTTCGTTACAATTTTATCACAAACCGTTGAACTTGTTCCAATTTTATATTTACGTGTAATCAAGAAAAAGTTCAATGCAATGACGAGTACGGCCCTGTTTCATTGAAGATGTTCATGTGAACGTACACAATCGTGCGGATACCTAGAGGACAGGATTGGTTAATCGAATATCCTGCCCTGGTATCCTACTTTATAAGGTAAAATCTGATTGGTTCTCTTTGTGGTATAATTCGGACTCCGCCTTACTACCACCAATTGCGTTGTGTGTTTTTACCACGATACCAAATACTTCATGTACTAGGAGTGTAATTCTTGAGAGGTTGCAGGCGTTCAATCCCCTTCTTTTTCCCCCACTCGATTTTCTCGTTTTATTGTTTTCACTCGATGAATTTCGGTGACTTATAAGGGGACTGCGCGATCTGTTACTCGTCGATTTTGATGAAACTTTACAGAAAAGTGAGCAAGTAAATTTTTATTCCATGTTGAAATATAAGTGCAGATACTCAACAGTTTACGAGATACATATTTAACAATGAAGGATCACATTTGACCGAGTGGCGGGTAAAATCTTAATATCATTGATCTTCCAGGAAGAAGTAACAGCGTAATGGTAATGGCCGTAGCTTCGTAAACCAGATGTGAGGTTCGATTTCTGTAAAATTTAGTTTTTTTGACAGATCAAGCAATAGTTTGTAATAGTTTACTGTATATTTTTTGAATCATAATTGGCTTTCCGCGTTTATTATAATAATTGTCGATTATAATATTAATTACACATATAATACGATATGCAAGGTATGTTTCAAAATCGAGTATCAGGGCATGCTATAAGTAATGTCGTTTCTAAAATTAATTTTGAAAATCAGACATTAACACTATCCATAATAAATATAGATGTATTGATTGTTCCTTTCTACGACTATCTTCTATCTCTGATTAATTTTTGGATTTTCTCTTCCCATATTTACTAATTCTGAATTTATTTAAAGTAAGACGAGAAACGACATTATTTGTTGGATAACGTAATATTTTGTAGCGTTATGCAAGTAGTGGTTTACGACGTCTGAAGAGAAATATGCACAGGAAAGTATTCCGAATAGCGGTGTATTCGTGATACAATTTATATACTACCGCATATATTTTAAAAATTTACTTTTCGAAGGAGGCTTTAAATGCAGAGTATATATATCACACTTTTAACATTTGTTGTCTCATTTCTTCAAACAGTTGCATTTATTAGGTTCGTTCTATATATTTTTACGATAAACACTGCTCGCGTAGGAATAAATTGTACAAAAAAAGAATGAGGAAAGAAAAGAATATTTGTTAATTATAACTAGACAAAGGATGTTCGTGCAAGAATCAGAATCATTGAAAAATTACTTTCAATACTGAATATGAAAACACGGATTACAGTTGTTTGAACATTTTATACGGTTATTTGTAATGAAAATACGCGAAATGTTTTAGTTACAATTATTAAGAAGCTATCGAATGTCTTTTAAAATTATAAGTCCACTGCAAAATAAGTTACTTCGAGATAATTACTTTTTCTATTAAAGAAACGAAGATTTGTACGGAAAGAAATTGTCCTCCTTGCGGGGGAATTGAACCCTCAGCTTGGTTTCGCTCGTGAAGCTGCGACCTTCCCACTTGCGTCATCACTCTCGAGAGATCAGTTCAGCGAAGTTAAAGGATTCTTTATTTACAACTCGGTCGCGTGCGATCATCATTGTCAAATGTCTCGTAAACTACACTATCGCCGAAAAGAAAGTTTAGAATGTAAAAAATTGAAATTTGTGCCCTGATACCTACATATTAATTATATTCCATTAATACATAAACATCATTTTTACACGACTAATCTTTCTCTCCATTCTCGGTGGTCAGATATTTATCACTCGAAAATACAACGAAGGTAAAAGTAGGTACAATTACAGCTTTCTTTATAATAACACTATTGGAAAATAATAAATCCATCGAAACTGTCTATCCGCATTATGGTAAAATCACATCATCCCGACAAACTTTCTCCTAATTCAAAATTGTTATTTTTAAAAACAATCATCGAGTCTGCCGATTTTTCCATTTACTGGTGAAAGCAATTTTGTATATTGCACTCTTCGTTCGAATTTCTTTGACAAACTAATCTCTGTTTCTTTCGACTCGAAGAGTGATTCGAAATTCTTCGTAGTGTATAAAACTTAAAATTCGTGTTCCTATGGCTGGGTCACTGATGACCCATCGACGAATATAGGTCACCGAACCGTCTTATACGCATGCGTACGCGAGTGTAAAATTTTGCAACAGGTCAAAATTGACCCAGCCGCCGGCTTCGATGGATCTGTAATGCTGGAGTAAATTGCACACCTAAGAGACTACATGCTGCAATAGTAGTTACACAAAATGCAGTAATGACAAGTGTATATAGCCTCGTGTTTCCGGAAGTAACCTGTCGCGCTGTTCATTCTTATTATTATAAATAAACTGTTTGTCATTTCAACGTTCACTCTGTTATTATTGTCTTGGTTTTGTGTAAATGCATATACGCGCGATAAATAGACTCCTCATTGGTAAATCTACTTCATATCCATTAAATTATCCTCGATTTTGTTAACACGTATCTATTTCAAACATGCGACCGCCATTGTTTTGAATGTCTACACTTTCGGAGTTTCTGCACGACCAAGAATCTACATAACTTGTCCACTACCTTTCCACCAAGTTTTGTCAAAATCGGGCGCATAACATAT